GCGAGTGAGAAGTTGAGTATGTCTTCACTGTGAAGTTCAGTGAGTGTCCCAGATGCCAACTCACCTCTGGCACGACCACCACCACCTCATGCCCTCAGTGGATGAGTTTCTCCACCACAGAGCGCATGGACAACCAGTGGCTGCCGTCCATGGGCACCACCAGCAGCTTGCCTGCCTGGGCAGAGCCTGAGGCCAGCAGCAGACAGGCACACACAGGAAGGAGGGCAGGCAAGACTGCAGGAGCCATGGTGAGTGTAGTCAGGAGCAAGCCCGCTGTTTAGATACTGAGCTCATAAAACACAGCAGGTAGAACAGACAGGGTAGAAAAAAAAAAAACAACAACACAGAAGCAGGTGTGTCTTTATGCTATTCCAGCTTGCAATGATTTACACAGAAAAAAAAATTCATGAACTGATAATTCTTAACATTTGCTGATATTTCTACTTGTATATTTTCCAGATAAGAACTGTTCATGACCTTTGCCTTAGAGATAATCAGGTAAAGCACTGCAATTTAAATACACAGATTTTACCAATGATTTTGGGCCTGGAGAGCTCAGAGAGACAATAAAGGAAGTTGGGACAAACATTGGCCTTTTGGAACATTTCCAGGAGTAATTATTGGATGTTATCTTCAAATTATACAACTTTCCTTGCTCAGAAACAAATAAGTTTCCCAACTTTAAAAGAAAGTCTTCACATGGGCTGGGAAGGTGGCTCAGTGGTAGAGCGCTAGCCTTGCATTCATGAGGCCCTGGGTTCGATTCCTCAGCACCACATAAGCAAAAAGAAAAAAGCCGGAAGTGGCGCTGTGGCTTAAGTGGTAGAGCACTAGCCTTGAGCTGAAGAGCTGAGGGACAGCGCCCAGACCCAGAGTTCAAGCCCATGACCGGGCCACTCCCCCCCCCCCCCCAATAAAAAAGCCTTCAAGTTCCTTATTCCAAGCCCTTCACTGGCAATGGACTTGCTCTTTACAGACTCTGTCATGGACAGCCATCCCTGTTTATTTGGGTCTATTGGTAGCACAGTACATGTTCCACTCCCAACCCTTCCAAGGCCTTCCTTCAGTGCTGGGAAAGCCTGACAACTCTCCTACTGGGACTCTTCCAGGGCTGCCAAGGTATTGAGGGACGGAAAGGGGAACTGTTAGGAAGAGACAGAGAAAAAATTGGCAAGCATAAAACATGGCCAACAATGGTGTCCCACATGGTGTTTATTCTCCCATAATGCCTCCAGCTACTGTTCAATGGCCTGGGTGTCCTCTCACCTAATCAAAGGAGCCAGCGTGGCACGAGCACAAGCTCTCAGGCAACTCAAAGGCCAAGGGAGGAGGCATGGGCAGGACCCTGTACTATAACACCGTCCTCTGCGGAACTCTGATGAACAACTCTCAGGCGCTTCTGCGGCTGGAGACTTTCCTTACCTGCTTTCAAGCCTCTCCTTTCACTTTCAAATAAACTTGGTTTACCACCAACACTTCCCCTCCTTTTACTTGTTTAACTGGTAGGGAAAATAAACCTGCCCTAGACAGTATTCATATGTTAGGACCATCTTTTTTTTTTTTTCTCTCTCTCTCAGTATTGAGGCTTGAACTCTGTCTCTCAGCTTTTTTTGCTGAAGGCTAGTGCTCAACCACTTCAACCACGTCTCCACTTTTGGCTCTTTGGTAGTTTATTGGAGATAAAAGTCTCACAGATTTTCCTGCATGGACTGGCTTGGGACTAAGATCTTCAGATCTCAGCCTCCTGAGTAGCTAGAATTACAGGTGTGAGCCACCAGCAGCCTGCCTACGATCACCTTTTAAAATTACTTTCTCCTAATGAATCCAGTGTATCAAAGTAGTTATTTAGTTCAGGCTTCCTGAGAATTTTTTTTTTGAAATGCCTCTCTCTTTCCTACATTATCCCATCTAGAGATTTTTGTCCTGTGGAATGAGTTCACACAATGACTCCATAACCCGCTTTCATGTTTACTTGAGTTTCCTTCTCACATTCTTGGAGCTGTCCCTGAGAGCCACATATTCATATTCGTTATGGCTTCTCCATCCACAGTATCCCCTCTACACTCTGTTCACAGCACATGTTCAAGAAATGTTCGTGGCCTTAGACTCAACTACACAGAGGCAGGTTTCTAGAAAGCTTTAGGTGAGGCCAGTGAAACACATTAGGGCACCTGAGGACCATTTAGTGAGCGATTCCTCAAGCAGCCAAGGAAGGGCCTTGCTCCCGGTTAGGAGCACAGGATGGCCTTTTCCAGCGCATTTGCCACGTCACCTCTTGTCCCTGTGACTGGGAACTTTCAGGAAATTGTCTTTGCAACGCAAAAGGTGAGCAGACAGACAGTATGATGGCATGATGGAAACTCATACTCCCCTGTCCCCCAGGAAGTTCCATTAGCAACTCCTAACTGTACCATTACAGTAAGCTGGAACCACCTAGATGGTGCCCAGATCTAACAGAAAGATAAGAACATCTCATCATGACCTGGTTGCCCCTTTACTGTCTCCAAATTCACCAAACACCTGGCAGAGCCCTTCCTGGGTACACAGTATGGGGGGGAGGGGGATTGCAGATAGTCATCCACTTTCTCTTACCATTCTAAGATGATTTGGGAAGCCCATTCCAATCCTACCTCAAACTAGAGGAGATGGCCCAGTTAGACTACTAAGGCCTGGTAAAAATAAAACAAATAAGAAGAGGTAGTGGTCATAATGACTAGCACGAGGATTTTGCAATAATGAGTTGCCACCAGCTGTGAGGCTTGCTCATAAATATCTACCAGCCACAGAGACCAGCCACTGTACTCATTCCAATAAACGCACAGAGATTTCCATCTCTACAGCAGCATAGCTGTAGCAACTGCAAAGGCTGCAGAGGCAGCAGCAGTGACAGGTGACAGGAGAAAGGAGAAGAATATTGCAGAGTTTCAGAGATTGGCTGGCATCGAAATGGTAGGGAGCAGAGGCAGCAGAAACAAGGAGGGCCGTGAAGAGTCATAGAAGGAAAAGTGTGTGCCCCTGGTCACTGGAAGAAACAACTGCCAAGCTTTAGGAGCTAAGAGTCTCAGTCACCCTGGACCAAGAGCTGTTACATTAGTCACTGCAAATCTGAGAATTCCAGTACCCAAGGCCTGTAGGACACTGTGACACCTAAATTTGCCACTTTGGCTGCTGTCCACTGCCAGGTTCACTCTTGCTGGAAGCAACGAAGCCTGTGAAGTGTCAGGGTTGCTGATGGGCAAAGTCCAGAGCAGCAAGCCTCCAAACTGAGTACTGACAGACATGTTTAATCCACCTAGAGCCTGAACAGGCTAATCTCATCTGTAAGTCTCTGGGTCTGCCAGTTCAGCTCCTAGGTTTGGGCACTCAAGAGCCCAGTATGCCAACACTTAAAAGAGCTTCTCCTGGCCTACCCACAATCCCTTTCTGGCTGTCCACAATCAGCTGATTGGCACATTGTTACAAGAAAACATAGGAGAAGACTTAACACATTGGTGTGGGCCATGATTGTTTTAGATAGGATCCTCCCATAAAAAAATAAAAATGGACAAATAGGATCATATCTCTCTTTTTTAAACTGTGGTTGAACCCAAGTAAGAAAAACACTCACCATATTTGCCACTTCAAAGTAAACAACATGAACATTCATGAACATTCTGTGCAGTCTTGGTGTTGTAGTGCCATCCCCACTCTGGTTCCAGATGGTCTTCATCACCACTAAGAAACCCTTTCCCATTCAGCCCTCACGCACTTAAACTTGTCCCACCAATCTCTAGTATCTCTCCGGATTTGCCTCCTCTGGGTATTTGGTACAAATGGAATGCCGCTATCTGTGGCCTACTGTGTTTTCTTTCATTTTACACAATGTTTGTGAGACTCCTATATTTTGTAGCATGCGTCAAAGTTTTGTTTCTGTTTAAGTGGAGTATTATTTTATTGCTCAGTTTGAAAAGACAAAGGAGAGCAGTCAAAGGGAAGAAACAGCTGAGGATTCTGCTGGGACTTTTCCCACCAGCCAGAAAAGAGTCACGAAAGAGGAGGTACTTAACAGGCAATAGTCAGTCAAGACTGGTGAGAACAAGTGTATTCTCGCTGGTATTTCCTAGTGGAGACCTCGATTCCAGCCTGTCCTCTGCCTTTCCTTCTTTCCTTCTAACACCTCCTGGCCTTTACAGCCACAGCAACCTTGATCAAAGGGTTCCAAAACAAAATCCTTAGGCTGACATTCATTTTGACTCATGTCCCAACGTCCTCCATGATTCCTCTTCTCAATTTCCCAAACCTTTAGCTGAAGCTGAAGTAATTTTTATTGGTTTTATTTTTTGCTGAAGTTATTTCCTCCCTGTCCCTCTCATTCATTTCTGGATGGAGACTGGATTGGACAGGGAAGATAAGTGGGGCTGAGGGCTGGGGGTGTCGCTCAGATCACTTTCCTAGCAAGTCCAAGGCCCCGGGTTCACTCCCCAGCACTGCCAAAAAGCGGGGCATTAAGGAAGGGGTTTAAGGAACCTACTGGAAGAGCCGAGGGAGTTGTTTTGTTTAGGGGCGCGCGCGCAGCGGTAACGGGGCTCGCATGCGGGGCCTGGAAGCCGCCCCTCGGCTCTCTCCGCTCAAGGCTGGCCCGAACCGACGCGAGCGGCCCACAGGAAGTGAGCCCCGAGCGAGGAGCACCGGCTCGCGGGGCGGGGACGCCGGCCCCGGGTTTCTAAGGGAAACCACGTCGGGGCGACGGTGCTCGGCAGACAACGAGGGCCCGTCTGCACGGCCCAGCCGGCAGAACCACGGCGCGCGGCGCACACAGCCTTCCACACGCCCAAGCCGAGCACGCGGAGCACCTACCCGCCGCAGCGCGCCGGCCGGACCCCGGGTCCCGCGCCCCGGCCGACCTCCTCCCGGGAGGAAGCGCGAGACCTGTCAGCTCTCGCGCGACCCGCCGACGCTGCCGCGGGGCACCCTGGGAAACGTAGTCCCGAGTCCCCAAAGGGAAAAAATCTGTTCGCTGAGACCCGTCCACGCCAAGATGGCGGCGCCCATCGGGGTTAAGTCCGTTCGCCCTGCGTTCGGGCCGGGGCGGGGGTCTGGGCTTTAGGCTGTAAGTTGAGGCCGGGCCCGGGATCCAGGGAGGGATGGGAGAACACGTCGGTGTTGGGACGGCGGCGTGGGCCGCAGGGCCTGAGGAGGGCGCGGCGAGGGGCGGCCGGGCCCGACGGCGGCGTGGCGCCGACGCCCGTCCGGGCCGCGGTCTCGGGCCGCCCCGACCTCGCCGGGCCGCCGGGTGGAGTGGAGTCGGACCCAGGCCGCGGCCGGCCGGGGATTACAAAAGATGTGGGGTCCTCGGTGTGGCCTCGAGGCCGGACTCTGGAGTTCACGTCTTGTGCTTCTCTCCCCGGCCCCGAGTTGGAAAGCAACATCACTTCGGGTCCGTCACGCAGATCCCGCGCCGGCGCTCGGCTCGCCTGCCAGCCTCGACGGCAGCCCTGGCCCGGGACCCGCGGCCTCCGCGCGGACGCTGGCGCCAGCGTGCGGCGCCGGGCTTAAGCCCCACTTTTTTTTTTTTTTTTACTGACATCACCTCCCCACCTGCCTAGCTGGGGACAACGCGCTGCCACCACCGCGGGAAAGATTCGTCTCTTTAATCCACTGAAGTGTCAGAATCTGGCACGTGGGACTGAGGGGTGTGAGTTGCGCAGATTTTAGTCATTGATGGCCCCAATTCTCTGTTACCTCCCAGACGGTAGAATTGGTTTTGTCCCCCTACCGTTGACTTGGATGTAGTTGATGATTTTTATCCTTTTCATGAGTAATGTGAATCCACATTTTTAAGAACGGCTCTGATTTCTTGTGGGCCAAACTCTGTACAAGGTGCCTTTCTTTCGTTTGCCAGACATGTATTGCCACATTGTATTTGTCACGTTGTAGCTATAGGGAAATAGTTTGAGGAACGTACCCAAGGTCACATAGACGAGCTAAGATCGTGGTAAAATTTTTAAAAAGTTCAACCTTACTGCCTCCGAACTACATATTGTCTATAAGGAAGAATTTAACAAAAGTCAATCATCCAAAGTGTAAGGAAGATGTGGGGAAAACTTGTTTTAAAAGTAAAAGCATTTCTATAACATTTTTTTTTAAGGAGAAAAATTCCACAATGTTTGGGGACCTATTTGAAGAAGATTATTCCAGTGTGTCTAATAATCAGTATGGAAAAGGGAAGAACTTAAAGACTAAAACTTTGGAGCCACCTGCTCCTAGAGAATTCACCAATTTAAGTGGAATCAGAAATCAGGGTGGAACCTGTTACCTCAATTCCCTTCTTCAGACTCTTCATTTCACACCTGAATTCAGAGGTATGCTATATTACATGCATTTGAATAATAGTACATACCATTGACTTTATGTGTAGCTAATTATATGAATCACAGAAGTTCTTAAAATTGTATTCCACAGTATGTTATATTGTTGCAAACATAAGATACAAGTTAGTGGTTTTTCTCTGCAGGGAAATGTGAAGGTTAAATTATTTTAAATATATTCTAAGTTATTCTAGTAATGTTTAATAACAAAATTTAAAAATAAGACAATATATTTATTCTCCAGTTCCTGTGATTTAAAACACAACCTAAAGAGTATTCTGTCTTGTGTACTGGGTTTCATTATTGCTATATCACATATATTGTTGAATTTAATCCTTTGTACAAAGTAACAAACACCTAAGCCAGATTTAGTTATATCCTGATTTGGGGGAATGGAAAGGGGTGACACAATATTTATACACATTCACAGTTGCTTAGCTGCAGTTCTGAAATCCAGAAAAGTGGCTCATGTCTATAATCCTAGTAACTCAGGAAGCAGAGATCTAGTATTATGAAGCCAGCCCCAGCAGAAAACTTGATTAATCTCCAATTCACTACCAAGAAAGCCAAAAGAGGAGCTGTGACTCAAGTGGCAGAGTGCTCGCATTGAGCCAAAAAAAAGCTGACAGGGCCCAGGTCCTAAGTTTAAGTCTCAGGACTGGCACATATTCATGCCCATGCACATAACCACACACACAACAAAATCTGTTGTGGAACTATACAGAGTCATCTCTCACTAGGACCACTATTCATACCTTGATTCCTGGAATGTTAATCTGTATTAATGGGTTCTGTCTGCCCAGACCCTGCTGAGAATGAAAAGTCATGTCTATAACAATTTCTTCAAGAAATTCTGAAATCCAAAGACTCAATTTTAGGTAAAGGATTATATGTAAAGACTAGAAACCCAAGCCGGGCGCCGGTGGCTCACATCTGTAATCCTAGCTACTTAGGAGGCTGAGATCTGAGGATCACGGTTCAAAGCCAGCCCGGGCAGGAAAGTCTGTGAGACTCGTATCTCCAATAAACCACTAGAAAACCGGAAGTGGCACTCTAGCTCTAGCAGTAGAGTACTCGCCTTGAGCTGAAGAGCTGAGGGACAGCGCCTAGGCCCAGATTGCAAGCCGCGCGACGAAAGAAGGAAGGAAAGAAAGAGAAACCCACTCAGATTCATTATATTTTAACAAAAAACAAGAGTTGGGGAGGGTTATTGTGAGGGTAAAGAGGACTCTCAAAAATCAGACTGACAGGGGGCTGGGAAGGTGGCTCAGTGGTAGAGCACTTGCCTTGCATGCCTGAGGCCCTGGGTTAGATTCCTCAGCACCACATAAGCAAAAAGAAAAAAGCTGGAAGTGGCGCTGTGGCTCAAGTGGTAGAGCGCTAGCCTTGAGCTGAAGAGCTGAGGGACAGCGCCCAGGCCCAGAGTTCAGGCCCCACGACCAGACCAAAAAAAAAAAAAATCGGACAGACAATAAGCCTTTGATTTCTTGCCTCTATTTTTTTTGTTTTGTTTTTTTTGGGGGGGGGTCCAGGTGTGAGCCGCCAACACTCAACTCTGTTTCTTTTATTGCAGTCTGGATATTTTGGCCTTGCAATGATTAGGCACCCCAGTGTTATGTGACTTTGTAGACTCCGCTCAAAGTGTCCATGCTCCTAGGACAGCCTGACTCATCCTATAGCTGAGTGCTATAGAAGAGGAATCTCTTCTCACCAACTCCCAGTTTATTAGATCTTTATGATATATTAGATCTCTTGGTTCTAAGATTAAAAAAAAAACAGCCACCTTCCTTTTCTGGAGATTTAGTAAATATTTATTATTGTCTCCGATTCTATCTATTCCATAAAATTTTCCTCGTGATACAGTGAATAATTCCACTCTTAGAAACTTTCAGCATCAATGAAGGAAATACCATAGTAAAACTCCAAATGAAGGGCAGGAAAAACGAAAGGCAAGAATATGAAACATGTCCTGTTTGTGATGGGGGTACAGGTGCAAGTAGGAAAGAGTGGAGAAAGTTAAGAAAGGTGAATTTGGTCAAAATACTTTATGTACATGTGGAAACGTGGAAAATGAGCCAGGCCCTGGTGGCTCACACCTATAATCCTAGCTACTCAGGAGGCTGAGATCTGAAGATCATTGTTCAAAGCCAGCCCAGGCAGCAAAATCTGTAAGTCTTATCTCCAACAAACTACTCAGAAAAGGCTGGAAGTGGCACTGTGGCTCAAGTGTTGGGTGCTAGCCTTGAGCAAAGGAAGCTCAGGGATAGCACCCAGGCCCTGAGTTCAAGCCCACGACCAGCACCAAAAGAGAGAGTGGTGGTAAATGAAGCTTGTTGAAATTAGGAAAGGAAAATAAGAGAGTGATAGAGGAGGTAAGTGTCTAATCAATATACATCATATGCCTATGTGGACATGTCGAAATAAAATCTCCTTGTACAACTAATTGATGCTAGTTAAAAGTATAAAAAGAAAAGACATTTTCAGCATTAGCCAAGAGGGATAAAACTTTTTCAGGTTTTAATGTGGTTGAGGTTAATATGCTTGAAGTAGAAAAGTAATCTCAAGAAGAGACTGCGAAACACTGAGAAGGCTGAGGCAGGAAAATCACAAGTTGGAGGTCAGTCTAGGCTACGTAGTGAGACTCTGTCTCAAAAAAGGAGAGGAGAGGAGGGGAGTGAAGGGAAAGAGAAAAGAGATAAAAGAAGAGAAAAGAAAAGATGGAGGGAAAAAGTGAGGGACTGGGGTGTCTTGGAGGCTAGCAGTAGGCAAGAAGGGCTGACAGCTGCAAGCCAGCTTTCTCTGGCAGACCAGTGACATGGTTTTAGCTTTGTAGTACAAGATGTGTGTATTTTGCACAGTTCAGCAGGTTCCTGTCACATAGAAAGTGGAGCTATAATTTGGAAAAGGTAAGGAGTAACAGCACCAGAGGAGAAAATTTGGAGGAGGTATTTTTTAATAATATTTTAAAGTAAGGCAAATTGAGTTCATTGTACTACCAGGATAGTATAGCCAGGAGTAGTGAAGATGATTTGTAAAGACCCTCTAGGAATGGTTTTATGCTTTAACCTGTAGGCCTACAGTTAATTTTTGCCCAGTCTCAGATCTTCATTGGGAATATACCATAACAGCAATTACTAGAACTGCAAAAAGACATACCCTCACATCCCTGACCCTCCTGAGGCATATCAAATTTTCTCCAGAGGAATTCAGGATACAGACTTCCCAGAAGACTCAAATATGACCTCATTGGGTGATGAACCTATATGTTAAATTACCTTTTTTAATTATAGAGACTGGCACGAGGTTGGCAGCTTTTAACCATTATCCATAGAAAAGACATTTGTACACCCCACTCCCCAAAAGGGAATAGCATAACGTCATAGTAAAAGATGACCCTTCCCATGAAAGGTTGGCTGTCAGCCTTGTGTTTGAAAATGCACGTCACTCTTGTGTTTCCCGGGATTCCCCATGACTTTGTGTTCCCACTGCCATAGGCAATGCAAATCAATTATTTTTGATGATACTGTTCATAGATGGTTTGGGTATGTTTTTGTGGTGCTATGGATTGAACCTAAGGTCTTGCATGTGCCAGCAAGGGCTCTACCACTGAGCCTTGGGTTTTTGAGCCAGAGTCTTGCTAGGGAGCTCAGGCTGGCTTCTAACTTGATATGTAATCTAAGCTGGCCTCGAAGTCCTCCTACATCTGCTTCACAACTGTTGGGATTACAAGTGTGCCCCACCATGCCCATGATGTATATACTTCTATGGGTATGAACTAATCATTGGTGAAGGTTTTCTGAACCCCCTCACCCCGATTCTGAAACCTTAGCAAAATCACTTTATCTTCTTAGATTCAGTGCACAAAAATGTTTTTAGAAGCAAGTATAGATTAAGGGTGTAAAAATGGACACAGTCCTATTTTCGGATCTTTAAGGATATTACTTAGTTGTGGTCTGGCTTTCTAAAGATAGTTTCTAAGATGAAATCATGTCATTCACATCTCTGGTTCTACTTTTGTTTAGAAGCTTTATTTTCTCTTGGTCCGGAAGAGCTTGGTTCCTTAGAAGATAAGGATAAACCTGATGCAAAGGTATTAAACCTATAATTTACTAGAGGCTTTTGGAATATTAAAAAAAAATGGTTTTTAAAGGAGGAATTAAACTACTTATTCATAGGAAACAATAATGTTATTTATTACCAGTATTTCTTTATTTTCAGAAAGTGACTTGCCTTATATTCTTAGCAACGAAATTATCTTTCTGAAAAACAGAATTTTCCAACATAATGCTGTTAGTACTTTGACAAACTTACCTTATTGTGCTATGTTTATAAATCATCCGTATTAGCCTACCAAAACATCTATTTAATACACTTATTTTCAACAATATGGAAAAAGAAATATGGAAATCATTATTTTTCAATTTGGTCTTATGGAAATCCCAAGTAGAGAATTGAGTTTATCATTTTGTACGTACTGTAGAGAAATTGTATTTAAGGCAAAGCTGTAAGTTATGTATTCCCTGACTAATCCCTAGTCCTCACTTTGATGCTTAAGTCTGTAAGTGTGTGTGTGTGTGTGTGTGTGTGTGTGTGTGTGTGTGTGTGTGTGTGTGTGTGTGTGTGCGTGCGCGTGTGTGTGCGTGCGTGTGCATGCACATGCGCGCGTAAGCGCTCTCTTGGTTTTTTTTGCACAAGGTTGATAACCACTTGAGCCACACCACCACTTGAGCTATACCTTTGCTTCTGGCCTTTTGATGGCTAAGTGGTTTTAAGAATTTCTTAGATTTGTCTGCCAGGGCTGGCTTTGAATCTCAGTCCTCAAATCTCTGCCTCCTGAGTAGCTAGAATTACAGGCATAAATCACTACATCCAGTAATCCTTTACTGCAGTGCTTCTCACACCAATTGTGTGGCCAGTTTTTGTGGCATTTTCCCCTCTCAACCTGTTACAGATCAATATAGTAAAATTTCCACAAAAATTTCTAAATGTTTATCCTCTCTTCAACCCTCCAAGTCTGACTTGCAGGCTGGATTTTGAAAAGCCTTGCTTCATATAAGGCAAGAGCAGTCCCAAACCCAAAAGTTGGGAGACAGGGTACCACTAGCCCCAAGAAACACCAGGACTCCAGAGGGAGATCTGTGTGCCTGGAAAATTCCTATATTGTCTGTAACAATCTATTAGCGATAGAGAAAAAATTAACTATGAAAGATTCTAACTTGCTCTCTATGATGACTTGTGGTTTATTTGGGTTTCTTTTGAGGTTTTTTGTTGTTTTTGTCGGTCATGGGGCCTGAACTCTGGGCCTGGGCACTGTCCCTCAGCTCTTCAGCTCAAGGCCAGCGATCTACCATTTGAGCTCCAGCACCACTTCTGGCTTTTTCTGCTTATGTGGTGGTGCTGAGGAATTGAACTCAGGGACTCATGCATGCAAGGCAAGCACTCTACCACTGAGCCACCTTCCCAGCCCTCTTGAGTTTTAATATTGACTTGAAACTACACATGTAAAGATTAAAAACTCTTAAGGTATCTAAAGCGTTTTGGACTACATTAGAATTCCAAAGGGCTGAATCTTAGTTATTTGTAATAAAAGATTTATAAACTCTCTGTTGAATGAACAAGAGATAGGGGAAAACTAGTCTTCTTTTATGAAGCTTTACTCAGTGTGTTAAAAGGCTCATGTAGAACACATCTGTTTGTCCCCCAGGTTCGAATCATACCTTTACAGTTGCAGCGCTTGTTTGCTCAGCTTCTGCTCTTAGACCAGGAAGCTGCATCCACAACAGACCTCACTGACAGCTTTGGGTGGACCAGCAATGAGGTATGAAGGCCTGGGAGGAAGTTCCAGGAAGTGGAGGGAAAAGGCCACACTGTTTCAGCATGTTATCCAACTGCCTTTAATCTGCCTTATGATCACAGTACGTTGGTTGAATGTTGTTTTACATTGCATAACTACAAGCCAGAAGTATTTTTGTTTCATAGGTACTGTAAGCAGGGGTTTATGTCTGGTTGTGACTTGGGGTACAGGAACTGATTTTTCTTTGCAATCTCTATTCCAAAATAATCTTCATCAGGTCTAGTTAAGATTTTAAAAAAAAAAAGACACTTAGAAATAGCACATGGAAATTATTTGCCATGTATGGGGCAATCTGCTCATCAGCTAATTTTTTTTTTTTTTGTCGGTTGTGGGGCTTGAACTCTGGGACTAGGCGCTATCCCTGTGCTCTTCAGCTCAAGGTGAGCACTCTACCATTTGAGCCACAGCACCACTTCCGGTTTCCTAGTGGTTTATTGGAGATAAGAGTCTCACGGACTTTTCTGCCCAGGCTGGCTTTGAACCGTGATCCTCAGATCTCAGCCTTCTCAGTATTACAGGCCTGAGCCACCGGTGCCCAGCTAATCATCAGCTAAATTTTTAGTCTACCATCCTTGTCCAGTGTTTTCATGTTCTCTGTCCTGATTTATCTCTGACTCTTCCTTTTCTTCTATATTGGGGGAGTGGAGGTAGTGTTCCTCTCATTTATCTATTAGAAGTTCCTAAAGGGCAGTCTACCACATACAAACGCCAAACAGTTGTCAGCAACAAGGAAACATGCTTGTTGTCTGTCTGCATTGCCATCACTAAATAAATCTGATCTGTCCTCCTCTGTCATTTCCCATTCTCCCCTCTCTCTCCCCTGACCAGTCTCAGCAAACTTTGTTGTTCTCTTTTCATGCAGTTTCCTATTTCTTAAGATCACACAAACTTCTTCCCTATTTGTGCGTTTTCTAAATAACATTTTGTAGGAAGCTTTCCGGGACTACACCTGTAGTGGCACCATTGCCAAATGATGGTGTGTTTAGAAACAGCTGGTCAACTGCCACAGGTGTTCTGTCCCTTCAGGGCCAGTACTGTCACCTGAATTTACATTCTCTGGTTTCTCATATTTTAAAAGGCAAAAAAAAGATCCCAAGTCCCATACCTTGCTCAGTTTTCAGCCCCCTTCTCTGCCTCTCACACTTCAATGTGTCCTCCCTCACACCTCTCCTTCTGTATCACTCCCCATTCCTTTGCCTCCTGGCTATGCTTTGGTAAAGTCTCTCATGGCATCTATATGCCAAGACCAAAAGACACTTCTGTGTCCTGAGGTAGGCTGGGTCAGTGGCACACCTCACCTTGGCAAAGCTCCAGCATTTCCTGTTCCTCACATCTTCTGAAAGTCCTCTTCTACTGCTCCTTCTCCTTTTCTACAGTTCTCAGTGGTGGTGCACACTGTGGCTTTGGCTTATAAAATGTGTGTGTGTGCATGCGTGCGTGTGTGCACGCCGGTACTATGGCTAAAATTCAGGTTCTTAAGCTTTTGTGCTCAAGGCTACTGCTCTATCATTTTGAGTCACAACACCATTTCCAGCTTTTTGGTAATTAATTGGAGATGAGAGTTTCATGGACCTTCCCTGCCCAGGCTCGTTTTAAACTGTCATCCTCAGATCTCAGTCTCTTGAGTAGCTAGGATTATAGTTTTGAGCCACCAGTGCCAGACTATATAAAGTGTTTTTAAATAACTAGTTCATATACAGTTACATGATTCACAATGGATTGAACCATAAAGCAAGATCCATTTTGATTTTTTCTGAGTAGCAGTAAATATTAATCTTGTTTTTGCTGGTTTTCACTTCAAAGCAGTAAGTTCTAGTTCTTCAATAGTGACAGTTGGTAAAGATCACCATCCACTGTGATCTAAATTGTGCACATACTGCTGGTTCTTGTTTGCTGACGGGAACCAGTTGTACTATTCCCTACTCTTTGTCTGTGGCATGGCCCAGTGTGCTTTCTCCTGAGAATTGTGGTTCAAAGCCAGCCTGAGCAGGAAAGTCCATGAGACTCTTACCTCCAATTACCACAAGGAAACCAGAAGTGGCATGGCCCAGTGTGCTTTTACCTTTCAGCTGTGGGGTGAGTTCAGTTATACGTACACACTGAACACTGCCTTTTCATTCTGTAGTGAAATCAAAATAGATGGTGATATTGTAACCTGCTATCAGCTCATGTCACTTAAACATCCTTGTAGGGGCTGGGAAGGTGGCTCAGTGGTAGAGCGCTTGCCTTATATGCATGAGGCCCTGGGTTCGATTCCTCAGCACCATATAAGCAGAAAAAGCTGGAAGTGGTGCTGTGGCTCAAGTGGTAGAGGGCTAGCCTTGAGCTGAAATGCTGAGAGACAGTGCTCAGGCCTAGAGTTAAGGCCCCATGACTGGCAAAAAAAAGCAAAAAAACACATCCTTGTAGTGAATTAAGCTTTAGCATGGATTTCTTGATTCCTCTTGGAGTTTTGTTTGAACTATTTTTTGAGTTTTATTTTTTAAAGTCTGCAGCATAAAATCACATTTAAAACATACCTGTTTTGCAGGAAATGAGGCAACATGATGTGCAGGAACTTAATCGAATTCTCTTCAGTGCTTTAGAAACCTCCTTGGTTGGGACGTCTGGCCATGACCTCATCAATCGTCTGTACCATGGAACTGTGGTTAACCAGATTGTGTGTAAAGAATGTGAAAACATCAGTGAGAAGCAGGTGAATGTGCAGGACCATTTTAACAATAAACTATATAGTCAACTATAAGTCATGATAATCTGTGGTCTGATTACAGACCATGAAGATTAAAATGTTTATTTCTGGTGCTGGGAAGGTGGCTCAGTGGTAGAGTGCTTGCCTCACATGCATGAGGCCCTGGGTTTGATTCCTTAGCACCATATAAACAGAAAAAGCCAGAAGTGGCTCTGTGACTCAAGTGGTAGAGCGCTCGCCTTGAGCTGAAGAACTGAGGGACCGCCCAGGCCCTGAGTTCAAGCCCTACGACTGACAAAAAAAAAAAAATGTTTATTGCTAGACTATCAGGATTTTTTTTTCCTGTTTTACTCTAAATATGCCCAAATCATCACTTTACTCCAAATTTCTTCACATAAAATGAAAGAAACAAATATCTTAAGATAATATTTATTCAGGACTGTGATATTTGGAAAATTATATGTGGAGAGTGTTTTCAAATAGAAAACTATGATCTCATGAAAGGAGTCAGTATCATCATGATTGGAATGGTATAAGGAATGCTAATTGAGGAGGAATAAAAAACAAATCTGAGAGGTGTTTAAATTGATAAATGTCTGTAATTAAATAGTAGATTTAGTTTATTATTATCCTTCAGAAAATTGTATGTATGCTATGTTTATTAAATATATGAACTATATATGTCACATTTAAAGCTATAATAATGCTGCTTTAGTTTTTACAACTTTCACTTCCTTGTAATACAAATTGTTCATTTGATATGATGGAAAATAGAAATTGGAAAGCTGTAAATCTACTCATCTGTTTGAGATCCTAAGCCATTTAATAAAAATTTCATTTTGTTATGACGAGTTACAGGAAGTTTCTGTATTTGACTATATGAGTGAAAATTTTAGTGCCATTTTAATGTATTAGTTGCCTCTTTATAAATTGAATATATAAAACTATATGACATAAATATGTAAGTATGTATGTGCCTATGTATATTTTTTAATTCTCTTCTTTGTTTTTTTTTTTGTTGTTTTGTTTTGTTTTTTGTTTTTTTTGTCGGTTGTGGGGCTTGAACTCTGGGCCTGGGCGCTGTCCCTCAGCTCTTCAGCTCAAGGCGAGCGCTCTACCACTTGAGCTACAGTGCCACTTCCGGTTTTCTGGTGGTTTATTGGAGATAGGAGTCTCACAGTCTCTCCTGCCCGGGCTGGCTTTGAACCGCGATCCTCAGATCTCAACCTCCTGAGTAGCTAGGATTACAGGTGTGAGCCACCAGCGCCCGGCTCTTCTTTGTTTTTGAGACAAGATCTTATTCTGCAGCCCAGGCTAGCCTCCAACTCACAATGCTCCTACTTTTTTTTTTTTTTTTTGTCAGTTGTGGGGCTTGAACTCTGGGCCCGGGCGCTGTCCCTGAGCTCTTTAGCTCAGAGCAAGCTCTTTTCCACTTGAGCCACAGTGCCACTTCTGGTTTTCTTGTGGTAATTGGATATGAGTCTCATGGAACTCTACTGCTCAGGCTGGCTTTGAACCACATTCTCAGATCTCAGCTTCCTGAGTAGCTAGGATTACAGGGTTGAGCTACCAGTGCCCAGCTTGAATTGTCATTCTTTACTTTATGGTACTGGAGATCAAAGCCAGGCCTGCACATGCTAGATAACCCATTCTACCACTGGGTTTACCATTGTTTAACCTAGCATTTGAGAGGTGAGTCCTAGGAAGTCTCCAGTTAGAGGTCAGCCTAGTTTACTCAGCTTCTAAAAAAACAAAACAAAAATTCTTAGCCTTTCTTACCTATACTAATAGAAGTTAATCTTTGTCAACTAGTTTGAAAATAACCAAGGTGTCCTGTATGTTTGAATTAGTATCTGATTGACTTGGTTCTAATGTAATAATTCACAAAGTAACTAAAAAGGACAATGTACATAAAGCACATTATAAGTTGTAAATATGAACTTTTCACAACAATATTTCAAATGTTAGTTACGTTACTTAGCAATTTTACTATAAACTAGTGCCTTGTTACTTTCTTATCCCTATAATTTCTTAATTTCATTACATGTATGCACAAAAGTATAAATATGATTTAAACTTGCCAAATTATAAGTGCTTATTTCTAGAGATATAATTCAAATGTAGAATTGATTGATAGATTTCCTTCTTGCAAAATATCATCTTCTTAATTTTCTTAGAAATACCTTTTATCCTGGTTCAAAACATTTTTTTCTTACAACTTCCTCAGTATATCTTAAATCAACATTAGCAGAATAAAAATGAAGAGACGGAGTGTGCATTAGAAAATTGTCTCTGCCTTTTCTAATTCTAAAACTAAAACAGTGCTACTAAGCACTGTGGGTTGTATTTAAATTTCAGTTGGTTTCCTGAAGAAGATATTATTGTTTTACATTGAAACTCACAAAACTCTTCCTTTATAAATGTTTTCCAAAATTTTTTTAGTTAGATCATAGTTTGATTTAGAAAGAATGTTAGGAATTCTACTACATCTGATGGAGACACCCACATCTTAGTATAAATTTTTAGGTTGGTGATGTGTCTATGAAATTGTTTTTTTCAGTACTCCATTCTTGTGTATTCTAGGAAGACTTTTTAGATCTAACAGTAGCAGTCAAAAACGTGTCTAGTTTGGAAGATGCCCTCTGGAACATGTATGTGGAGGAGGAAGTCTTTGACTATGACAACTTGTATCACTGTGGAACTTGTGACCGGCTGGTTAAGGCAGCCAAGGTAAAGTGTCTTCGTCTCCGTGATTTGAGATAGGAAGGCATGAATGTATTTGAAACTTTTTTTTTTGGTAGTGGAGATCATCAAACCCTAGTGTTGCTAGGCAAGTCCTTTGCCACTAAACAACAACCCAGCCCCTGCTTAAAGCTCTTGACCCTGAAGATGGAGAAAATATTTACTTTGTTATATCTCTTAATTTTTTTTTTTTTTTTTGGTCGGTCATGAGGCTTGAACTCTGGGCCCGAGCAGTGTCCCTCAGCTCTTCAGCTCAAGGCTAGTGCTCTACCATTTGAGCCACAGCATCACCTCCAGTTTTCTGGTGGTTCATTGGAGATAAAGAGTCTCTTGGACTTTCACACCCGGGCTGGCTTTGAACCTCGATTGTCAGATCTCAGCCTGCTGAGTAGCTAGGATTACAGGTGTGAGCCACCAGCACCCGGCTCTCTAAATTTTTTACAAGGGAAATATAAAACTTTCAGCCTATAGCTCTCTCTCAACTTACTTATTTCCCAGGAAAACTTTATTTGTACCCCACAAGAGAAACACTTGGTTTCTTCAGTATACCTTTTAGGGTAAAGTCCCTACTTTTGGTAAATGACTGTTAGGAAGGAGACTGTGTTTATTTTTGCCAGGAAGCAGCTTGCCAAGCATTAGTTTCCATTTTCTATTGTGAAAATGGTTGATTGTCTCCATTTTTCAAAATACGGAGTTATTTTATAATCTTGATATATAAGTTCTTCATTCTAACAAATCCGGTATGCTATTTCATACCTGCAAACACCTTGCTAATTACAAACCTCAACAGACAGGCCAGGGACTGGGCAGGAAGTAGGTCCTGACAAGGAACATCCCGTTAGGACATTTTCATCAAACAGTTCTTCTGGATAGCTACGCTAAAATTTAGAACTTGCTTGTAAAACTGTAGTTCTAAACATAAATGACTGATACCATCCTTAGCTCCATAAGGCATGAGCTTGTATCAAGAGTTCTATTGAATCCACAGTGACGAGCCTATGTGATATAAGGACATATTCTCTTATATCTGTGTCACAGGTTGTTTCTACATAACTTAAGTAATACTATTTGCTTTCTTATAGTTCTGCATTTTAAAACTGCATTTTTCTTTCAACAGTCAGCCAAATTGCGCAAGCTACCACCCTTTCTTACTATTTCACTGCTGAGATTCAATTTTGATTTTGTGAAGTGTGAACGCTACAAGGACACTAGTTGTTATACCTTCCCTCTGCGGATCAATCTCAAGCCTTTTTGTGAACAGGTTTGAACCATTTTATTTTTAAATTCTTCCTTTTCCTCTCCAAAGAATTTTTTTATTGACTTAATTTTCAGTCCATTTATTGCAGTTAAATACTGTTTTGCATCCCTTGCTCTATAGGACAGGTATCGGCTTCCCTGGCTTTTGCCTATTGGATGACAATAGCAACACCACTCCCCAACTATAGAACACAAATCATCTTATACATGCCCAGAGTCCATGTCTCCTAGAAGGATGGGAGGTGGGAGGGATTTCCAAGAAGCCCAGATTTAGTGTGTCCTTTTGAATATGTATAGTATGGATTTGTTCTTAAATTCTTTTCATTAAACTGTTCTTGAAAAAAATCTTTGACGTGGACATTTTACAACAAAATTGGACATGACCTTGCTTTTAGAAAACTTAGTATTGATTGGTACTTTGCTATTTGAATTTAGTTTATTTTGGATGCAATAACAAATCACATTTCTAGAAGTTGAACATGCAAATAGACTTTTATGGGTTTCGAGTTTGTATGGCTGGTGATGTAACTTGGTAGCATGGGCAAGGCATTGGGCTTAATCCCCAGTATTTCAAAACAAACAGAGCAGCACAAAAGCTGGACGATGGTGGCCCACATCGATAATCCTAATTGCTGAGGAGTCTGAGATCTTAGGATCACGACTCGAAGCCATCCCAGGCAGGAAAGTCCAGAGAGAATCTTTAACTCCAATAAACTACTCAGAAAAAGCCAGAAGTGGTGCTGTGGCTTAAGTGGTAGAGCGCTAGCCTTGAGCACAGAGAGGCTCAGAGACAGAGCCTAGGCCTGAGTTCAAGCCTCAGGACCAAAAAAAAAAAAAAGCACAAAAATAAAGTTTTAATCCTTAAGACACAGGGAGAAAAATATTTGGAAAACAAATTCTGAAATCATGAGTTTTTATGTGTATCTCTCATGTTTGCCTGAACCAGATAATTTAAATACTACCCACTTTAAAACTACTACATCAGAAATTTAAAGTATCTCTTGAAACATGTCCTCATTGAATGTGATTTTTTTGAAAAGATTTTGATTTACTTGTTAGTACAGTAGTTTTTCTGTCACTGTGGTTGTAGAGCCTACTACAGAAAACTTTGATCATAGAATTAATAGTAAAGCAAGAAAGAACCTCTTCCTTTCACGGAACCACCTCCGAACAAGACCAGCCTGGTATTCACCATTGTTAAGTTCCTTCTCTCTGAGGAGTCTGAAGTGTCAGGAGCACTCTGGCTTTCACTCTAAGGCATATTACAACCTGGTCAGAATATACAGCAATTGTGATATTAAACACATAAGAGAGTCACCACAAAAACAGTTTTCTTTTGCTAAAAGCCTATCACTGACTTACCTTGTGTATATCAGCTTACATGATCTAATCAAAGCAGGTAAAAATAACAGCTTTTTCAGATACATGGGTTCATATAACTAAGAGGCAGAAACTGATTAATATAGTATGATTAGCAGTAAATCAAAGAATTAAAAGTTTTTAAAGTTTAAAGCTAGATATTTACCTTTATGTTTTATGACTCCTTTTTATTTTATTTTTATTATTGTACCTTAATTGTACAGAGGGGTTTTGCTGTGATATTTTCATACATTCATATATTGTACTTTGATCAGATTAACCCCTCTTTTTTAACCCTCAAATAATAATGATAAACTGTGAGGTTGACTAATTTCAGTAGCTAAAATTCTTTTTTCCTTTTGATTATATTTCTCACAATTTTATGTAGGTAATGGATACATCTTTTTCTGCTTTTAGAGTGAATTAGATGACTCAGGATATATGTACGACCTCTTCTCTGTCATTATCCACAAAGGCGGCTGCTATGGGGGACACTACCATGTCTACATTAAGGATGTTGACCATCTGGGGAACTGGCAATTTCAAGTAAGCATAGAAAGTCCTTCAGATACAGTACAGTGTCTTTCCCTAGCCCTGCCTTCCATCTGCCTACTGTAGTTTGCTTATCCAGAGTCAGTTGAAACATTTTTTCCAGCTGGCAGTATGTATCCTCTTTGTTGAAACATGAAACATTGATTTGCAAGTTTGTTATCAAATTTATTGTTGAGGTGGTACACAGAGGGGGCGGTACTTGCTGTAGTTAGGCAGCATATTTCAAAAGTAATGATTTTCTTTTTCTTGTCTTCCTTTGGGGTTATGGTTTCTTAAACATCTGTTTTATAGTCATGTCTTCAGAATTGATCAGGTCTTTCCTAGAAATGCCAGGATCTTTCTTCTGTTAAGTGACTGGCATGAACAGGCAGGCATTCTTGGATATGGTTCTGCTCCCTTCACTATTTATCCGGTCTTTTATTTTTTAGGCCTTTGTGGGGGAGGGAAAGGGAAACATGTTCTTGCTTTGTAGCTTAGGCTGACCTCTAACTCAAGATCCTCCAGTGCTAGATTACAGGTGTATAACACCATGCTTGGTTGCTAAAGGTCTTCATTATGACTGAAAGAATAGAAGAATGATTGCCAAGTGTGCTTGGTGTCTTGTATTGTCTTTTTCCTTTTCCTCCCATTCCTTTCCTTTCCTTTCCTTTCCCTTTCCCTTTCCCTTTCCCTTTCCCTTTCCTTTTCCCTTTCCTCCCCTCCCCTCCCTTCCCCTCCCCTCCCTTCCCCTCCCCTCCTCTCCCCTTCCTTTTTAAAATCAATCATGAGGCTTCAACTCAGGGCCTGGTTGCTGTCTCTGAGCTTCTTTGCTCAAGTCTAGTGTCTACCACTTTGAGCCACAGTGCCACTTCCATATTTTCTTGTTTATAGGATGTTCTTTGAATTTTCCTTATGGAAGTGTTTTTTATTATTCCTCATGAGGAAGGTGGTGCTAATGAGGACCCTCTTAGACGCTTCAAGGTGAAGCCTGACAGAGAAGTCATCCTTTTGATTCAGGAGTTAAATTGTATAACACCTCTTAACTTTGGGGAAGGGTAAAGAACAGGAACTTGAGTTCAGTCACAAATAGCCAATAATACAATTGATCATGCTCCATAATAAAATTTTAATGAGGAGCCAAGTGTGATGGCACATGCCTATAATGCCAGCACTGAAGGCTAAAGCAGGAAGATCATAAGTTCCAGACCAGCCTAAACTATATAATGATACTCTGACACAAAAAACAACTAGATGAATAAATTGAAGGAAGATTCTCTCTCTCTCTCTCTCTCTCTCTCTCTCTGTATATACACATGCTCACTTTAAAAACTTAAATGAAAACTCTTGAGAAACAAGTTTGTGGAGTTTCCAGGTTGGTGAACACATCCATGCTCTGGGAAGGTAGGCCCTGTATTCCTTGGAAACAGAAGCCTCTTCACTCCACCTTCTCATGTTCTTAGGTCATGCCTCAGTGATAGAGTACCTGCCTCGGAAGCACAAGGCACTGTGTTCAAGGCCCAGAACCACCAAAAAAAAAAAAAAAAGTGGAAATCCTTAAATTAGAGTTTGATCAGGCTGAAGAACAATCAGCCTGTAGACCCCAAATCATCATCAGGACTGAGCCCTCAACTGTGGGGTCTGTGATATTAGCAGGGATTGTCAGAATTATAGATGACACTCCCCTGGTGTCAGAGAATTGGAATATTGGAGGTTGTTTGAAAAACCATGGGCCTCAATCCTCAAAGAAGGCCTCAGGCTTCCAGTAGAAGCTTAGTTGTCTGTCAATAGGGTAGCAGCATCCTCGCCCACTCAGATGCTGAGCCAAAGCCCCTTGCACTGTGATCTTTCAGACAACAGAAACATATTGCTTACAACTCTGGGACCCACTCCTTTAGGAAACCCAAGTGCAAGAAGCCAACAGACTTTGTGTTTGTAGGGCTCACATTGCTTCCTAGATAGCACCTTCTTGCACAAGTGGCAGTCAAGCTCCTGCGGTCCCCATTTATAAAGGCCCAAAGGCCTCTGTCCTAATATATTGCAGTAAGGATTAGGTTTCAACATATGTAGTTGGGTAAATACAATGGTCAGCTCATAGCACTTGGGGAGCTAGAAGTATCAGTTCTAGATTTTATCCCTCGATTGTCACTTCATTTCCTGTCTTCTGAGGATGTTTCTATGTTCTTGCTAGTTCAGCATGTTTAAATAGTATATTCTTAATTCTTTTGTTTTTTACTTTAGCATTTTTTATAATTTTGTAGCAGGATGATTGGATGTAGTCTGTTCTATTCTCTCTCTTTCCCTATCTTCAGTACTTAGATTGAACTCAGGGCCTTGAACTCAGGGCCTTGAACTCAGGGCATTCTACCACTTGAGCCATGTCCCCAGCCCTGTTTTTTTCTTGATTATGTATTTTTGTCTTGTGTTATTTAGGTCTATTTGTACTCATGGCCTTAAGCCAGTTTAAAATACTTTTGCAATGCGTAATTAAGAAGGAAAAAAGACAATTTCTCTTTGTTACCCAGTTCAATATGGGATGGGGTATAAACTTTTTGAATGATCAGAAATGGTAGAAAATATTTAAGCTTGAGTCTGCAAACATAGGTAAAGACTTTTGGATGAAGACCAGAAAATATTTTGAACTAAAAACCCATTATACCAAATTGTAAAGGACACCTTGAAAGCTGTGCTCAGCTACAAAATGGGTTAGAATCTACTTTGCTTACCTCGTAATTCTAGTATTCAGATATAGCCAGAGAGCTAGAGTGACTTTTCAAGAATTGTATACTGGGAAGGGGTGACATTGCCCCAAAGAAATATACTCATGACTTATATAACTGTAACTCCTCTGTACATCACCTCTATAATAGCAATTAAAAAAAAAAAAAAAAAAGAATTGGCCAGGCACCAATAGTTTATGCCTGTAATCCTGGCTAGAGATCTAAGGATCATGGTTCAAAGCCAGCCCCGGCAGAAAAGTTCCTGAGAATCTTATCTCTAATAAATCACTAGAAAATCGGAAGTGGCGCTGTGGCTTAAGTGCTCAGGGACAGTGCCAGCCCCAGAGCTCAAGCCCCACAACCAACAACAACAACAAAAAGAATTGTACAATGAAACCTGGAACTCAAATCCAGGACGCCTGATTCCAAAGTGCAGGCATAATGATAATGATGCTTTTACCATCATTTCTCAGTGGCATGGACTTTCCTGTTTAATTCATTCCGTTTAAAGGATTTGTCAAAGAATCTCTTTTAATACTTCTCAGGAAGAAAAGAGTAAGCCAGATGTGAACTTGGAAGCTCTCCCAAATGAAGAGACTGATGATCCACTGATGATCCTAAAAGCCATCTTATTACAGGTAGCGTGGGTCTGTCTATGTATGTATTTGTGTGTATGTAGGTATTATAAATGCATCTATGTATGTATTCACTTTAGTCAGACTGGTACAAAGGCTACCATGCAATTGAAAGTGGTTACGTCGTAACTTAATCATCTCTTTTAAAGCCCTATCTTCAAATACAGTCATATTCTGAAGTATTTGGGCTTAAGAATTCAGCATATGAATTTTGGGGAGATATAGTACATCCTATATACAACTACATTTTATCCATTTTTAAGATTCAATTATGCTATGAAATATTCATTGGGTTGACATTTAAATAGTTCTTCTAAAAATTGTAAATAGGTATCCAAACCTCTTTGGATACCTACTTAGTGATTTGGGATATCTTTTTAAAATTTTTTCTATAGGTCCTGGGGCTTAAACTCGGGCCCGGGCACTGTCTCTGAGCCTCTTTGTATTCAAGACTAGCACTCTACTACTTAAGCCACAGTGCCACATCCGGCTTTTTCTCTCTAGTTTATTGGAGATAAAGAGTCTCATGGACATGTCTGCTTGGGCTGGCTTCAAACTGCAATCCTTGGGGAGGGAAGGGATGGTAGGGGAAAAACCAAGGAGGAGGTAACAATGCTCCATAGGAAATGTACTCATTACCTTACTCATGTAACTGTAATCCCTCTGTATAGTATCTTTACAGTAAAAAAATATATATTTAAAAAAACAACAACAAGGGGCTGGGAAGTTGGCTCAGTGGTAGAGCGCTTGCTTTGCATGCCAGAGACCCTGAGTTCGATTCCTCAGCACCACATAAGCAAAAAGAAAAAAGCCAGAAGTGGTGCTGTGGCTCAAATGGTAGAGCACTAGCCTTGAGCTGAAGAGCTGAGGGACAGTGCCCAGGCCCAGAGTTCAGGCCCCACAACTGGACCCCCCAAAAAAACAAAAAACAAAACAAAACAACAACAACAACAACTGCAATCTCAGATCTCAGCCTCCTGAGTAGCTAGGATGACAGGTGTGAGTCACTGGTACCCAGCTGATTTTGGATGTCTTAAGACTTTGGGTTTCTTTTGTAAGGAAAAGAGCAGTCTAATATCTGTTGATCAACTGGGACAAAAACTCTTGAAAAAGACAGGAATATCATGGAACAAGAAGTACAGAAGACAACATGGACCACTGCGAAAGGTGACGCATGATGTCAAGTTGATAGGCTTCTGTCCCTGGGACTCTTACTCTGATATCCACAGCACAGACTCTTCTGTAGATGGATCTTTAAAAAGGTGAAAGTAAAAACAATGCTTCTAGTATATTAAATAAAACTGAACAAAACTAGAGGTAAGTTCCTTACTATTTCCTGTTAGGCTATTTATCAAGAAGTAAGCAAAACTAGGGGAGGTGGCCGCTAGTCACAACAGAAAAAAACAAAAATACTGTTACTCCAAACCTCAACTGGTTCCCTAGGCTGTAAGACTAGACGCAAAAGTGATATTGCCAGAAATATGAGATAACAACTGTCTGGAAACAAAAGCAAAGCATCAGAACCCTCTTAACATTTTGGAGCAATTTCTAGCACTGAAAAGCAAAGCATTTACCCATTCCTGTAAGTGTGTAAATGCCTTCTTTATTTACATCACTAAAGAAATCAACTATTACTAGCATGGTTTTGGAAAATTGTCTTTTTAGGGCATTTGTCTATGGTATCAACTTTTTGGCATGAAGTATGTAAATAATCACCATATTACATGTCTTATTGTCTGTAGGGCCTGAAGATATGTTTGTTCTCTTTGTCATTTTTGTTATTGCTAATTTTACCTTTCAGCTATCTTTTTTACTAATTTCACTTGGCTTTATCAGCTTATTGAACTTTTCCAATTACACAGCTTTTCCTTTGTTGTTTTCTCTCAGATGAGTGTGACAATCTCTTCCTTTTCATTAATTAATTAACTAATTAATTAATTAATTCAGGGCTGGGAAGGTGGCTCAGTGGTAGAGTGTTTGCCTTGCATGCCTAAGGCCCTGGGTTCGATTCCTCAGTACCACATAAGCAGAAAAAAAGCAGGAAGTGGCGCTGTGGCTCAAGTGATAAAGCACTTGCCTTGAGCTGAAAAGCTGAGAGACAGAGCCAGGCTGAGTTCAAGCCCCACAAGTGACCAAAAAAAAAGATGTTTAATTCATTACATTTAATTCATTACATCAAATTAACATAATGACTGATATGGTTATATTTGAGGCTTCCTCCTTGTTATTACTTTTTAAATTTTCCTTTATTTTATAGTTTGTTTTTCTTCTTCCTTTGGAAAAAGCAAGTAATTTTTAATGTTTCATTTTATCTTTTGCCTACTTGCTTAGTTTTTAGTGGCTGACCTCTGGATTGCCATATATATATATATATATATATATATATATATATATATATATTTATTTATTTATATTATAAACTAATATACTTTTTTTTTTGGGTCCAGTCGTGGGGCCTGAACTCTGGGCCTGAGCGCTGTCCCTCAGCTCTTCAGCTCAAGGCTAGTGCTCTACCACTTGAGCCACAGCGCCACTTCCGGCTTTTTTCTTTTTGCTTATGTGGTGCTGAGGAATCCGAACCCAGGGCCTCAGGCATGCAAGGCAAGTGCTCTACCACTGAGACAACTTCCCAGCCCATATGTTTTTTTTTTGTTTTTGTTTTGTTTTTTTTGGGGGGGGGGCGTGTCCAGTCGTGGGGCCTGAACTCTGGGCCTGGGCACCGTCCCTCAGCTCTTCAGCTCAAGGCTAGCACTCTACCACTTGAGCCACAGGGCCACTTCCGGCTTTTTTTTTTCTGCTTATGTGGTGCTGAGGAATCGTAAACTAATATACTTTATATCCATTGTAATTCCATCACTTTCTACTATTGTTGACTTATATTCTTGTTATTACATATGAGGAAAAATTCTACCATATGTTAATTAATTTGAACATTTTAACATTTAAATGACTTTGAGAGAAGTTAAGGAAAAATACTGTTTTAATTTGGTCTGTTATAGTGCTCATTTCTCCTTCAGGTTCTCCAGGTTTACATTGAATAGCACTTCCTCTCAACCTAGAGAACTTTTAGCAATTCTGAGAGTCCAGAGCTGCTTGTTAAAATTGCACTCAGCTTGTTTGTCTGAGAATCTTTGTTTAACCTTCAGATTTTAGTGGTATTTTTCTTGGATAGAAAGATTCTAGGTTAATAGTTTTTTGTTTACCCATCAGCACTTTAAAGATGCCATTCCATTGTGTTCTGGCTTCCACTTTTTTTTTTTTTTTTTTTTGGGGGGGGGGGGTCTAGTCGTGGGGCCTGAACTCTGGGCCTGGGCACTGTCCCTTAGCTCTTCAGCTCAAGGCTAGTGCGCTACCACTTGAGCCATAGCACCACGTCCGGCTTTTTTTTTCTGCTTATGTGGTGCTAAGGAATCGAACCCAGGGCCTCATGCATGCAAGGCAAGCACTCTACCACTGAGCCACCTTCCCAGCCCCCCACTTTTTTTTCTTAAGATGAGAGGTTACCTGTCATTTTAAATTTTGTCTAATGTACTTTCCTGCCCTGGCTGGATTTGAACCAATATCCTCAGATCTAGGCATCCTGAGTAGCTAGGATGACAAGTGTGAGCCACCAATGCCAGCACTTTTTTAGAAAATGGTTCTTGATATGTAACCCAGACTGTCCTGTAGCTCATGATCCTCTGGCTCAGCCACCAAAGCTCTGGGATTACAGACGTGACATACCATACCCAGCTGAGATTTTTTTTTTAATCTTTGGTTTTCAGCACTCTGGTGCTTGCATTACATTTGCTAAATTTTTGTATGTGTGTTCAGAAGTCTTCTGGAAAGAATTTGGCCACATTTCTTCTGCTTTTTTCCCCCCTTTGGCTTTGAGGACTTCAATTACATGCATATGAAATCATTTCATATTTCCTTGGACATCCTGGGGTGTGTTTTTTTTTATTTCCTCCTCTTCTTCAATTTGGATAATTTTCATTAATCTATCTTCAGCTTTATTCAGTTTTATTGATTTTTTTTCTTGCTATGTCAGTCTTTTTTTTTTTTTTTTCTTTTGCCAGTCCTGGGGCTTGAACTCAGGGCCTGAGCACTGTCCCAGAGCTTCTTTTGCTCAAGGCTAACACTCTACCACTTGAGCCACAATGCCACTTCCAGGTTTTTCTGTTTATGTGGTACTGAGAAATCAAACCCAGGGCTTCAAGCCACATTTCCAGTCTAAGTCTTCTGTTAAGCGCTACCAGTTGAGCTTTCTATTTCAGATAATTGCATTTTTTAGAATTTCTACTTAGTTCATTAAAAGTATCCATTTCAGGCTGGGAAGGTGTCTCCATGGTAGAGTGCTTGCTTTGTATGCACAAGGCCCTGGGTTTGATTTCTCAGCACCACATAAGCTGAAAAAGCCAGAAGTGGTGCTGTGTCTCAAGTGGTAGAGCACTAGCCTTGAGCTGAAGAGCTAAGGGAGAGTGCCCAGGCCCAGAGTTTGGGCCCCATGACTGACAAAAAAAAAAGTGTCTCATTTTTCTGCTGTTTAATTATATGTCATATACTTTACATATAAACTTTTCTTTCCATTTGTAATAAATTATAGTTGTATATGCCTATGGAGTACAAAGAGATGTTATTTTTTACAATTACAATGTATAGTAACTAAACCTAACTAATTAACACATTTAGCATTTTAGATTTTTTTTGTGATGAGAACATCTAAAATTTCCTTTCTGATTCTGAGCATTTTATTTTTTATTTATTTATTTTTATTTTTTGAGTCGGTTGTGGGGCTCTTCAGCTCAAGGATAGCCTTCTACAACTTGAGCCATTTGCCACTTTTGGTTTTCTGGTGGTTAATTGGAGATAAGAGTCTCACAGACGGACATTCCTGCTTGGAGTTGCCTTTGAACCATGATCCTCAGATCTCAGCCTCCTGAGTAGCTAGGATTACAGGTGTGAGCCACCAGTGTAGGCTTCGAGTGTTTTTCGTTTTTTTTTTTTAATTTTTTTGGTGGGTCCAGTCGTGGGCCTGAACTCTGGGTCTGGGCGCTGTCCCTCAGCTCTTCTGCTCAAGGCTAGCGCTCTACCACTTGAGCCACAGCACCACTTCTGGCTTTTTTTTTCTGCTGAGGAATTGAACCCAGGGCCTCATGCATGCAAGGCAAGCGCTCTATCACTGAGCCACCTTCCCAGCCCCGTGTGTTATTTTTATTTGCTCATTTTTTGCTTTTCATGGGGCTTGAATTCAGAGCTTGGGCATTGACCCCAAGCTTTTCTGCTGAAGGCTAGTGCTCTACCACTTGAGCCTCAGCTCTACTTCTTGCTCTTTTGGTTGTTAATCAAAGATAAGTCTAAGGACTTTCCAGCCTGGGGCAGCTTTGAACTGTGATTATCAGATCTTAGCCTTCTGAGTAGGATTACAAGTGTGAGCCACTGGCTCCCAGATACATTATTATTTTTCATATTCCATCTACCATCCAGTATATCTCAAAAAGATGTTTCCTGTCTAATGGAAACTTTGTACACTGGCCATGGTTCCCCTACTCCTCCCCCAAGTACATGTGCTAGACCCTGAATGTCATGGAGGGTGTGTTCTAGAGATTCAGAATGAGGTTCTTTGTCTTGAGGAAGTTTTACATTGCATTCTGTCAAGCCCTTATATTATCTTGACTCTCTTTGGACCCATGGAGGCTGCAGTTTGAGTTTTGGGGGTGAGTCCTTTGCAGTTTTGCTTTTACTCCTAGAAAGTAGCTGTCTTGGGCTGGGAAGGTGGCTCAGTGGTAGAGCGCTTGCCTTGCCCTGGGTTGGATTCCTCAGCACCACATAAGCAGAAAAAAAACAAGCCGGAAGTGGTGCTGTGGCTCAAGTGGTAGAGCGCTAGCCTTGAGGTGAAGAACTGAGGGACAGCGCCCAGGCCCAGAGTTCAGGCCCACCACCAGACCCAAAGAAAAAAAGAGAGAGAGTAGCTATCTTGGGGCATTAGTCTTGGGTGTGGTCTTTCTTCCTAAGCCTGGGTTTAGCTGACTGCCTTGTGGGTAAAATATAGCCTGCTACCCATTTTCACACTGCCCTGCACCAAGAATCTTTCAGTTAATTGGTTGCTTTTTCAAAGATTATTTAAGTGTATTAACAGTGTCCTTGATTTGGTCTCTAAAATGTCTGCCATCTAGCTCTTTGAGAAGAGCCGTCCCCTTCTGACTTGGCAGCTCTGCTCAGCTGCTGAACTTCCCAGCTGGGTACCTTGGAGTTGGTCTTGAGCTGTCATTCTAGGAGTTAGCCACGGATTAAAGAGGATTATTTGGGGCACCTTTGTAAGATTTTCCCCCCTCCTTCTAACTGGTTCTCCCAAATTCCAGCTCAGCCAAGTGGCAATGTACATTCTATCCCAGCATGCACTGCTGTGAACTGGAAGGTGAATTAGATTAGAAATTACCTAATGTAATCCGTTCTTTGAATTATGTTTACTCCACTTTATACCTACCTTTGGGTACAAGCTCCACAGCTCTTTGCACTGTTTTATCTGTAGGTTATTGCATTTATCAGGAGGATTAGGCTAATGAAAACTCTGCCATTTCTAGAACCAGACAACACTGAAGTTTGAGGCTGAGAATTAATCTCCAGTTATTGAACAAAGAAAAACAGCTAGATGTTCAGAGAGTTTATTACTTAATACTTTTAAATTACTGAAATTTAATTGTCCCTAAAACAAATTAGCTATAGGATTGTTTGAACATCTGTTCTCATAGCAATATTGGGTGGCCATATGGCCTCGGCTCTTCAGTTTGTAATAAAATATGAGGGCTTTTGTTGTTTTGTGTTTGCGGTGCTGGGTGGAACCCAGAGCTTTGCACGTGGTAGGCAGGTGCTGTACAGTGACCTGCTTATGATTAAAGAGTTGACATGACCGTAACTTACCTGTTTTTTTCCAAAATAAAATGAGAAAATAACCTTTCTCTGTTGAATAATGAAGTAAGCCCCAAGAGCTTTTTGTTTTGTTTTGTTTTTTTGCCAGTCCTGGGGCTTGAAGTCTGGGCCTAGGCACTGTCCCTGAGCTGCTTTTGCTCAACCACTTGAGCCACAGTGCCACTTGTAGCTTTTTCTCTATAGGAGATAAGAGTGTCATGGACTTGTCTGCCCAGGCTGGCTTCGAACTGTGATCTCAGATATTAGCCTCCTGAGTAGCTAGGATTACAGGATGAGTCACCAGTACCCAGCTCTCAAGAGTTTTTGTTTGTAAAATGCTGAGGAAGAGGGGCTACCAGGCTACATAGAAGTTAGGGAAACCGGCCAGGACAGAGCAGGTGGGGAAGGACCGGGAGGAAGTGAGAAGGGAGTTCTGTTTTTTGTGCTTTTTTAAATCCAACGCTTTAGTAAGAACTTGAAATATGTCTTTTGCAATTATGACATTTGCCTTTGTGCACTGGTTTTCTGATCTTTCCTGTCAGCTTCCAGAATAGACCGCATTCACTACAGTTAACATTTAAAAGGTCACTTAGTCTTAGGATATTACAAAAGCATTTTTTCTCCCTAGTAACTTCTCTCACTAGTAACTTTTTCATACAACATCATTCATGTGATGTAAAATTCAAATGCTTTTTAGATTGTGGTTAACAGCTTCTCCCTTGCCACAGCTTTTAATCTGTTTGAGCCCTCTGACTTTTATTAAAAGTTTATCATACACAGATGGACTTTTTTTTTTTTTTAACCTTACAGGATGGGCTAATAATAAAGAAGAAGTGGAGGTTGGGGGAGTTGGGAAGGGATAGGAAGGGGAAACAAAGGAGGAGGCAACAATGCTTGATAAAAAATGTACTCATTATCTTGCCCATGTAATTGTAACTCCTCTGTACGGTATTTTCACAATTAAAAAAAAAAAGATTATCACACACACAAAAAGAATAAGAAGTTAAAAAAAGAGAAAAGCAAGGAAGGGAGGGAGGGAAAGAGGGTTTTAAGTGGTAGAGCATCTGCCTAGCAAGTTTGAGGCCGAGAGAGAGAGACAGAGACAGAGAGAGAGTGAGTCAGAGAGCGAGAGCATGTGTATCTCAGAGAGAGAGGGGAAGGAGGAGGGGGGTAGTGGTTGGGAGGGAGAAGGGCAGGAAGGGAGGGAGGGGAAAGGAAAGGGGAATAGAGAAGAGAGGGAAGGGGAGAAAGGGAAGAAAAGAGAAAGGATTTTTTTATCCTAATTTAAAAAATATTTGTTTTTTATTTGTTCTATATAGTTCTTACAGCTCCATTCTCAGATATTTCTGCTCAGCTCAGATGAAAGTACAGTTAGTCTTCTGAGGAATGGTTCTCTCCAGGCTGAGTCTGATTTCCAAAGAAATGATCACCAGACTTCAAAATGCCCGGGATTAAATGGAAGCCCCACTTTCCCCCACTGGTTTGATATCAATGATTCCAAAGTGCAGCCAATTGAGGAGAAGGATATTGCGCAGCAGTTTCAGGGGAAGGAAAGTGCCTACATGCTGTTTTACCGGAAGTCCCAGTTGCAGAGGCCCCCTGAAGGTACGGAAAGAAGGGTGCTCTGGCTTGTATTAGTTGATGACTCCAGAAGAACATCAATGGTCAATGCAGTTTATCATTTTAAGAGATTTAATCTTGGGATTTTTTAAATATTTTAAAGCTAAAGTTAGAAAGTGTATTGTGCCAAATCTAACAGTTTTTCGTTTTATAGAAAGAGTATGTGGGGGGAGGGGAGGAGTATGGGAAGGAATGGGAAGGGGAAACAACGAGGAGGCAACAATGCTTGATAAGAAATGTACTTGTTATCTTGCCCATGTAATCGTAACTCCTCTGTACGGTATTCTTACAATAAAAAATAATAAAATAAAAAGAAAGAATATGTATCTATGATAATATTTTTCTCCCCTATAATAACTGAGGCCTTAGTTACATTTTCAGAATGTTTGTGTTAGCAAACTTGGGTATGATATTCTAGTGTGCAAGCTAGGCTCTGTAGTTCAGGCTGTGTTGTCTTTGAGTTTTAAGTGCCCAGGGTGTTATTTTTTCCCCCCTTTAACCTTCCTTTACATACAACTGAAATATCTTTGAAGCACTCTGGTTAATCTTCTAAGAGAGTCCTTAGATGCAGGTTAACCATTTCAGATTAGTAGTAATGAAGAGTACCATTTATCTGAAGCTAGTAATGTGAATAAATCAGTAAGACTTTCTGGTCACTTAATAAAGTCCACTCCAAAGCACACCTTAGATTGACTTAATGTGCTTAGATTGATTTATCAGGATTAGAAATTAAAATGTTACAGCGGGGCACTGGTGGCTCACGCCTATAATCCTAGCTACTCAGGAGGCTGAGATCTGAGGATCTCAGTTCAAAGCCAGCCCAGGCAGAAAAGTTTGTGAGACTCTTTATCTCCAATAAACCACTAGAAAACTGGAAGTGGCACCGTGGCTCAAGCAGTAGAGCGCTTGCCTTGAGGGACAGTGCCCAGGCCCAGCATTCAAGCGCCAAGCCTGACCAAAAAAAAAAAAAAGATAAGAGAATGAGAGTAGTGATCATTTTTATAAAGGCTAGGAATAGGGGCTGGGAAGGTAGCTCAGTGGTAGAGTGCTTGCCTTGCATGCATGAGGCCCTGGGTTCGATTCCTCAGCACCACATAAGCAAAAGGAAAAAAGCCAGAAGTGGCGCTGTGGCTCAAGTGGTAGAGCGCTAGCCTTGAGCTGAAGAGCTGAGGGACAGCGCCCAGGCCCAGAGTTCAGGCCCCACGACCGGACCAAAAAATAAAAAAATAAAAATAAAGTCTAGGAATAAGGCAGTGAAATATTGACAGAAGAATAAAAATTAACTTATTAAATTTCTAGATCTCAAACAGTTACAAGTCTATGCTGTTAACCAGAAAGGCTTTATATTTTTCTGGGATGGGAAAATTTTTTTAAAAGATGTGATAATACTTTTTTTTTTTGTTCTTGTTGGTTGTGGGGCTTAAACTCAGGGCCTGGACTCTGTCCCTGAGCTTTTTTTTTTTTTGGGGGGGGGGGGGTGCCTAGTCCTGGGGCTTGAACTCAAGAACTGAGCACTGCCCCTGAGCTGCTTTTGCTCAAGGCTAGCACTCTACTTCTTGAGCCACAGCACCACTTCTGGCTTTTTCTGTTTATGTGATACTGAGGAATTGACCCCAGGGCTTCATGCATGCTAGGCAAGCACTCTACCACTAAGCCACATTCTCAGCACCCCTAAGCTCTTTTTTTTTTTTTGTCAGTCGTGGTGTTTAAACTCTGGCCCTCAGCACTGTCCCTGAGCTCTTCAGCTCAAGGCTAGCACTCTACCACTTGAGCCACAGCGCAACTTTCCTTTCCCTTTCCTGGTGGTTAATTAGAGATAAGTCTCATGGAGTTTTCTGCCTGGGCTGGCTTTGAACCATGATCCTCAGATCTCAGCCTCCTGAGTAGTTAGGATTATAGGCATGAGCCACTGGTGCCTGGCTCCCTGAGCTCTTTTTGCTCCAAGCTAGCACTCTACCACTTTGAGCTATAGCCTTGCTTCTGATTTTTGAGTGGTTAATTGGAGATAAGAGTCTTAGGGGGACTTTTCTGCCTGGGTTGGCTTTGAACTTTGATCCTCAGATCTGAGCCTGCTGAGTAGCTAGGATTACAGGCATGAGCCACTGGCTCCCAGTTCATTGTAATATTTCTGATAGAAATATTGTGGCTTGGATTTTATGATGACAGAAATATATGTTAACAGAAAAAAATCTTATTAGATGATGAATTCTCTTTCACCAAATTGAGTTTTAGAATGAGCATAGATAGAATGCATACAAAGGGTAGAAAAAGCATTACACAATAAATAAAACCTGGAGGTTGCTAAAGGAAATAACAAATGTATTTTCTTTTTTTTTTTTGGTCCGTTCTGGGGCCTGAACTCTGGGCCTGGGCGCTGTCCCTCAGCTCTTCAGCTCAAGGCCAGCACTCTACCACTTGAGCCACAGCGCCACTTCCGGTTTTTTCTTTTTGCTTATGTGGTGCTGAGGAATCGAACCCAGGGCGTCATGCATGCAAGGCAAGCGCTCTACCACTGAGCCACCTTCCCAGCCCAACAAATGTATTTTCTCCTAGTCACTTTAGTGAAGTCATAGTTCCTCTGTGTAAAAAAAGGAACTTTAGGTTGGGTACTGGTAGGTCACATGCCTCTTCCTCTCCCTCTCCCTCTTCATTCCCTCCCCTCTCTCTCTCTTTCTACACACACACACACACACACACACACACACACACACATATCAGCATTATATTCATGACTAGTTAGAAATCACTGTAAAGTTTAGCAGAAAACAATTGGTTAGCATATGCTACCTCCAGACTGTACTGATGTGCAATCATTTGTTTAAAACAGTGTATACAATGAAAAAGCAATTTCAGATTTGCTGACTATTCCCAGCTGTTTACAAGGAAAGTTTTGTGTGAGTATTGTATTGGGAATGAAATGATATAAAGTATCTGTTACACTTGTAAAAATAATTCCAGAATGTTTACAGTTGCTGATTGTTATATTTGTAATCAGGACAAAAATAATGTTGTTCTCTTTTTAAAAGTATACTTAAAGAAAATTGAAAAAAAGAAAAGAAAAGAAATAACCAACCCTTTAGGGGTTGAAGGAGTGAATGGCTCCATTGGTAGAGTGCCAGCCAAAGAACAAAAGCAGAAGGTGCTGAGTTCGAGCCCAGGTCTCAGACCTAAACAAAAGAAAATTGAAGAAATGGGAAACTTCTAGCTTGGCTGGAAAAAAATCCATTTCTCAGGTGGAAAAACTGAGATCCAGAGAACATGTCTGTTCACACAGGTACTTAGTAGCAGCTTTCCTAGTTCCCAGTGCCGTTCTTTTGAGTTTTCTTGCTGCCTTTCAGGAACTCGATTTCATTTAGTAGCACACATTAATGAAAAGTTTCATTCACAGCTCGAGCTAACCCAAGATACAGGGTTCCATGCCACTTGCTGAAGGAAATGGATGCAGCCAACACTGAACTGCAAATGAAAAGGTAATTTTAAATTCCTCTGGAGAACACAGAATTAATTTAGGCATAATTAAATGCTTAAGCATTTAATAATGAGAATGTAAAATAAATAAAAGTCATCAGCCAGCCTCTGTTGGGCTGCTGAATTTTTAGATTAGGTCATGATTTACTTTGCAGTTATCCTTATCTGTGAGATTGAATAAATGGCCCATGCTAAGAAAGATTCATAGACTAAAAAAACATGGAGCACGTAATTGTGCTATATCCTGGCCTGGCCTGCTAACTTACTGGGGTGCCAAGAGAGCTTGTCATTAAGATCTCCCCTTGTTTTCAAGTAGTTGTGTTGAATTGATAGGTGACATGGCCAATTTTCAAAGGAAAGGAAATATGAAATGTATAAACTACTGAGTGTGGTTTCAGTCTTAGCCAAAATCCTGTAATGAGAAGCTGGTGATTCAGCAATGGGTCCTGGAGAGCTGATGGGTCATTTGGCTTTCCAGTAGGGTCAGTAGGGCATTGGGCTAGGGAAATGTATGTTTTCCTTGTGGACTCAAGGGACAGACTGTGTGGCAAGGATGTGTTCAGCATTTGTATGATGGAGTTGGAGCAGGAAGCAAAAAGACCAGGTACGCTGACTGGCACACTGGGATCAAAGGAACTCTCAACAAAGATTAAAAGTCAAGAAAAAATTTAATGGATGGGGCTGGGAAGGTGGCTCAGTGGTAGAGTGCTTGCCTTGCATGCATGAGGCCCTGGGTTTGATTCCTCAGCACCACGTAAGCAAAAAGAAAAAAGCCAGAAGTGGCGCTGTGGCTAAAGTGGTAGAGCGCTAGCCTTGAGCTGAAGAGCTGAGGGACAGCGCCCAGACCCAGAGTTCAGGCCCCATGACCGGACCCAAAAAAAAAAAAAAAAAATTTAATGGAATAAAACATCTGAAGTACAAAAAATAGCCTGCAGGAATGGTCTGAATTAGTTGGTATTTAAAAACAATGACTAATAATAATCCCTGAGAGTTTTGTTGGTACATACTAAGATTCTTAGTTGGTCATCCAAAACAGCTAATACTTTTTATTGATCACATTAATAGAATTGTATCTTTAGTGTGACCGCTCATTGCAACTCCTTACCAGTCACCAGGTGTGGAGTGAGAGGAGCAGACAGCACCCCACTGTTACTAAGGTCTGGGAGCCTGGAGAATATACTCTCACAAAGGTCTTGTTAGTGACTGCAGATACTATTGGGAGATCCTGGGAGGTGTAGTGAAAGTCGGGATATTGTAGAATTTGGTAGATCTGTTTCCGAGAAAATTACTTGAGCAAGTGTTATTTGTGCATAACTAGCTAGCATTTTGTCCCTCGCTGCAGTGCATCTCAAGCTCAGAGGAATCCAGGTGTCAACGTTTGCTCAGACAATTGTAGTTAACCTCGAAGTTAACTCATGGAACTCATGGTGCCAGGACCGAATACTTACTGTTCACTAAAAAACTTCAAATGAGTCATTTTGACAGAAGATTCCACTAAGCTAGAATGGAAAACACATTAGCAGTGTCAAGTAAATATGTTGGTGTGAGATGAACAGTGTCTTTATAAAAACATGCGCATGTATTTTTATGTTTCTTTATAGAACAGAGTGTGATTCTGCGAACAATAATTTTGAATTGCATCTCCACCTGGGCCCTCACTATCGTTTCTGCAATGGGGCGCTGCACCCGGGAACCTCACAGGCAGAGAGTGTGTGGGATTTGACTTTTGATAAAAGGAAAACTTTAGGAGATCTCCGACAGTCGATATTTCAGGTAATTTAGTCTATTTCCTCTTGACAGAAGCATTAGTATACATCCCAAGCTGACGTTCTCCCTTTCATCTTACTTAGGTTACAACTTTTTTCAGTTACTTAGGTTACAACTTTTTTCAGTCACTTAGGAAAATTCTGTCAATTTATAGCAGGGTAAATGAACCAGACCTTCTCCCCTGACTCCTAAGTCTTTTTTTTTTTTTTTTTTAAACAAGGTATGACCAGGCTGGCTTCAAACTTGAGATCCCCTGTCCCAGCCTCCTGATGCTGGTGGGTGCCTTCCTCCCAGCACTGTGAGTCTTTTCGACAGGTCTTCCTGCTCACTTTCCCAGCAGCTTTTCAGGTGGAGAATAGGGCCTGTCATATTTTGGTTAGGAGGGCCGGACAATTTGGACTTGTTGCTTATTTGAAATATAAATAAAAACCAGACGCCAGTTGCTTACGCCTGTAATCCTAGCTACATCTCCAGCAACCACTCACAAAACCGGAAGTGGTGCTGTGGCTCAAGTGGTAGAATGCTAGCCTTGAGCTGAAGAGCTGAGGGACAGTGCTCAACCCCAGATTTCAAGCCCCATGCCCTACAAAAAGAAAAAAAAAAGATAAATGAAAGAAACTTCTTTTTCAGAGAAATCGAGAGCATAAAGTTGAGTGTGTTGCATAAAACCAAGAATCACTAAATAAAAGCACTAATCTTGTAATCTTGCTTCCTCAGTGTAGCATAACATTTATTAGTGAAATTCTGTTTTTCTTTTCATTTTGCACTTGTGGGCATCAAACCCAGGGCTTCACACACACTAGGCAAGCTCTCAGCACTGAGCAACAACGGAGTGCTAAGATTCATTGATAAGATATCCAGCTGTGTTTCAGTGATTACAGCAGTAGAATATATGTCCTGTTTTGCCAGTGCTTTCACATAACCTATGCTAGCTGATTCTTCAACCTTATGAGGATATACTGAGTCCATTTTGAAGATGAATATTGTGATTTAAAGAGACCTAGCATTGCCCAGGTGTTTAGTTAGTGATGGCACAAGGCCCAGCCCTGGCTGCCACCTCCTCATCTGTGTTCTCTCTGTAGTCATATTTATTTGTCCCACACCATCTCCTGATAGGAAAATGGGGCACAGGATTTCACTTTTTGTGTCCACCATGGGAGACCTTCCTCTCTAGTTCCTGAAGCATAGTGTGGGTGGAGCCAATGCTGCTTTCCCTCAGCAGTGTCCATTTAAAATGTTAGTGTTCTTAGCGGGGTGCCAGCGGCCCCCACCTGTAACCATAACCACTTAGGAGGCTGAGGTCTGAGAACTGTAGTAAAAAGCTAACTAACCTAAGCAGGAAAGTCTGTGAGACTCGTCTTAACCACCAAAAAGCTGCAAGTATAGCTGTGGCTCTACCGGTAGAGCACTTATCTTGAGCGCTGTAGTGTCCAGGCCCTGAGTTTAAGCCCTAGTACTGGCACAAAACAAAAAAACAAGTGTTCATAGGAGTAGAAATTTGGAGGCTAGCCTGCTTGAGTAGTTTGTTCTTGGTAAAAATGGCCTTCTCATAAATTAAATAGAATTGTTAAAAAGGTGATTGTGTTATATCCACCAGAATTCTTCTGTCAGTAATAAATATGGTTAACCAGCCGGGCGCCAGTGGCTCACGCCTGTAATCCTAGCTACTCAGGAGGCTGAGATCTGAGAATCGCGGTTCAAAGCCAGCCCGGGCAGGAAAGACCGTGAGACTCCTATCTCCAATAAACCACTAGAAAACCGGAAGTGGCGCTGTAGCTCAAGTGGTAGAGCGCTCACCTTGAGCTGAAGAGCTGAGGGACAGCTCCCAGGCCCATAGTTCAAGCCCCATGACCGACAAAAAAAAAAAAATATGGTTAACCATACAATTTATTTTATTCTTTTGTTTTTGTGCCAGTCATGGGGCTTGAACTTGAACCCAGTCTAGGGCCTGGGTGCTGTCCCTGAGCTTTTTTGCTCAAGGCTAGCACTCTACACTTGAGCCACAGCTCTACTTCCAGGTTTTTGGTGGTTAATATGAGTCTCACAGACTTTCCTGCGTGGGCTGGCTTTGAACCCACTTGATTAACCATCTTAGAGTTTGACTTATTTAATGAGTAGTGTCTTAGTCCAAATTTGGTGTTGGTTCGGAATGAGAGTGTTCATATGCTGTGGGTATTGAACCTCGAAGTGTGCTAGTCCTGTGTTACTCTGTATTGTTCTCTCTCCTGTGCTACCATCCTTTAGCTGCTGCAGTTTTGGGAAGGAGACATGGTTCTCAGTGTGGCAAAGTGCGTGCCAGCGGGACTTCACATTTACCAGACCCTGGATGGTAAGACAGCATGGCATCCCAGGGCCCACGGCTCCCCCGCCTTGACTATAGTACGTGATCAGTGAAAGAAAAGTCATCCATTCGACTGTTAACACTGTGTGAAGTCTTCCTCACACAGAAATGGTCTATATGTTGAGAAACTAAGGCTTCCTTTCTACCACACACATTTATTTATATTAACACAAATTATTGAACCAATGGCTTAAAACTATTTGAGTCTTATTTATGTAACGATTTTTCTACTCAATTCACAGCTTCGCAGTCTGCAGCAGGACAAAAAAAAGTACTTAAGTCCTTGAAATAATACCAAACAAAGATAGCAGTGGTAACATTGTTTTGTTTTATCAGTCCTGGGGCTTGAACTCAGTGCCTGGGCGCTGTCCCTGAGCTTCTTTTTGCTCAAGGCTAGCACTCTACTATTTGAGCCACAGCTCCACTTCTGACTTTTTCTTTTTATATGGTACTAGGAATTGAACCCAGAGCTTCATGCATGTAATGCAAACACTCTACCACTAAGCCACATTCCCAGCCCAATGGAAACATTTATTCTGGGGTTCACTGTGCCAAATATTGTGCAGGTTTTGTGCTAATCTATCTCATTTGATTTGCAAAACAATTCCTTTATACCCATCTCATAAATAAGAAATGGAAGCTGTGAGGCTTGAAGCTCACAGCATCTGCAGCAGCTAGTGACAGTCGAGGGGCCATTAGAGCATGAGTAATGTTCTGATGTTGGCTCTGTACTGACTGCTGGCCTGTGCTGGGCACGCAGAGCTGGGTATTGGCCTTAAATCAAACACAAGAGAAGATAATGTCTGTAGGATGAAATAATTACTGCTTGTGACTTCTCAAACAAAGGCTTAAGTGTCCATCCTTTTTTTTTTTTGTCAGTCGTGTGCCTGAACTCTGGGCCTCAGCGCTGTCCCTCAGCTCTTCAGCTCAAGGCTGGTGCTGTACCACTTGAGCCATAATGCCACTTCCGGCTTTTTCTGTTTATGTTTTGCTGAGGAATCGAACCCAGGGCTTCATGCATGCAAGGCAAGCACTCTACCACTGAGCCACCTTCTCAGCCTGAATATCTCCTCTTTAATCAGTGGTATCTCAATCATTCTAGGAGATGAACTGACACTGTGTGAAGCTGAAATTGCTGATGGAGAAGACATCTTTGTATGGAATGGAGTAGAGGTAAAAACAAAATTACTCAAGAAATATACTTTAGGACATTCAGCATGTAGTTAGACTTTAGAAAACTGCTGACATGTTCGATATACTTAAGGTAGAGTCAAGTTGTATGCTAAAGATATACGTCACTCAACTAGATATCATGGCTCAGGCCAGTAATCCTAACTACTCAGGAAGCAAAGAGAAGGAAGACTGACTGGCGACTTCGTCTCACAATAAGAAGTTGGATGTGGTAGTGCAAGCCTGTTGTGCCAGCTGTGAGGGAAACCTGGTAGGGGGAGCAAGGCCCAGGCCAAAATGCAAGACACTATTCAAAAAAAATAAGTAAAGCATAAGGAGCTAGGGAGCGAGCCTGAGAGGTAGCCCTGAGCTCAAACCCTAGTACCACCATCAAGAGAGAGAAATGTATTGTTACCTCCATTGTGCCAGGCTGTGTCATGAGGGTTGAGGGTGCGGCCAGAACCACTGAGCTAGAGGGGATATCAGAGGTGCGGGACCATAGTGAAGGGGGTTCAGAATATTTTGCCCACCCTGGCCATCCCTGATTCGTTCAAAACCTCATCTCCAGCACAGACAACTCCTAAGTCTCTACCTACAGCCCAGCTTGTTCTTCTTAAAGAAAATATGGATAAGAGGATATTTCAAAATAAAATCTAAAATGGCTCCTCTGATATTTGTGAAACGTGGTTTTTGCTTGGAAGAAAATGAAGGTCATCTTGGAAGAGCAGTTGTTCACAGTGACATGGCGCTGGTTTCCTGTGGCAAAGGTCAACTGTGCTGGTGGTTGTCTCCATGTTGCCCCAGGTTGGCGGAGTCCAGATCCAGACTGGTGTGGACTGTGAGCCTCTACTGATCCACGTTCTTCATGCGGAGACAAGTGCGGAAGGAGAGACGCAGGGGCGGTTGGTGGAGACCCCACATGTTTTCCCGGCAAATGCGGAAATGCGGACTGTGTTCACTACCTTGGCCATGCCAGTCGGCGTCATCCTGGTAAACCTTGCCGAGCCTGGCGGGGACGAGTGGACTGCCATTCCCCAGAAAGACTTGAAGAAGACATTCCGAGAGCAGGGGCTCAGAAACGGAAGCTCGCTTTTACTTCAGCATTCCCACAGTGCCAATAACAGGTAACATGCTGAAAAGAGGAAAGGGGAGAATTCTTAGAGTTAGTTTTATCACAATACCATCCTGTAGAAGTCTGAAGCTTTAATGGTCAGAGTTAAATATGTCTTCATTTCTAGCATTCTGAAATGTTTTAGGTTACACATGTTAGAGGAAAAAAATTGTATAGTGAGTTGTTTGTGCATAAGTAAATAATTCAGGTGTCTCTCGTTCTGTAGATTAGTGTTAATTAGTTGGCTATAAAGCAGAATCCTATCAGTTGAATTCCACTTAGCACCAATTATAAAACTAAACACCTATTCTCACAAAGGGAGTTCCTGAAATTCTTCATGAGGAAAGAATTAAGATTGTGTCTTGATGTTTTGTTAAAGAGATCCCAAAGGCAACTCAGCTTTCCTGTGACCCTTTTCGGATTTTTGGGTATCCCCCTCCCCCAGCTGCCAGTTGGGGCATCTGCTGAGTAATTGACCTTAAGTCCCGTAGTCACACTTGAAGCTCAGAAGCACCTCCCCTGTCACTGGGTGTGAGTACATTTCTTAGTCAGCGTGTTATAGCTGAGATAAAACACTTCCAAAAAGGACTCTTACTAGTCCATCTCATCTTCCATCTATAGGAAGATTTTGTTAGAACAAAATACTGTCAGCACCTAATACGACTGGGAAAGTGGCTCAGTGGTAGAATGCTTGCTTAGCATGCATGAAGCCCTGAGTTTGACTCCTCAGTACCACATACACAGAAAAAGCCAGAAGTGGTGCTATGGCTCAAGTGGTAGAATGCTAGCCTTGAGCAAAAAGAAGCTCAGGAACAGTGCCCAGGCCCTGAGTTCAAGCCCTTGGACAGGAAAGAAAGGAGGAAAGAAATGGAAGGGAGGAAGGAAAGAAATGGAAGGAAGGAAGGAAGGAAGGGAGGGAGGAAGGAAGAAAGGAAGGGAGGAAGGGAGGGAGGGAAGGGAAGGAAGGAAGAAAAGAAGAGAAGGAAAGAAGAGAAGGAAAGAAAATGCAGATCTGCAGTATATACAATAACATACATGATACCCTGAGTCATGGAACTCCTGTGCAGTCTGCACAACTGCACACACCTACCTGTTATAAACGAACTCCAAAGCCTAAGTGGTAGGCCTTGGTATTCTTTTAAAGATCCCTTAGTTCTGAAAATAGACTCCATGGTCTGCTGCCTAACACCACCTTGTTTTTAAATGAGGTCAAGTACTAGTGGCTTACACCTGTAATCCTAGCTGCCTAACAGGTGGGGATCAGGAGGATCACAATTTTAGGCAAAAACTTCATGAGACCCCCTTAACCTATTCCCATCATCACAGCTATATGGGGAATATGAATTCAAAAGAATTCAGGCAAAAAGGTTTGTGGGACTTCATCTCAATGGAAGAAGCTGGGCATGGTGGTAGGCTACGGCAGGAAGCATAGACTCATAGTCCAGGCAGGCTTGGAGAAAGAGCCAGACCAGACCCTGTCTCAAAAACAACCAGAGCAAAAAGGGCCAGAGGTGTAGGTCACATTAGAGTGCCAGCCCAGCAAGCACAAAACCCTGAGTTCAAGCCCCAGTCTACAAAAATAATGATAATTAATTGGTTGGACAGATAGAGGTAATAAAACATGATCATGATTAGTCACTTACTTGACAAGTGCTGTTTTTCTACACCCAAAAGACACTTTTACAGATGCTTTTCCCTTTACCTATAGTCTGTTGTCCAGACAAGGGAAATGGATTGCTGATGTGGAAGAGAGCAACTGGCTCCAAGTTAAAATTTTATGTCAGTCAGAATCTGAAGAGAACCAAGTGAAAGTAGCGGCAACTGCTAACACAGTGAGTAGGAGGTCTTTGCTTTAGCTGACAGTTCTGCCAACCCGGTTTTCATTCAGAAAGCCAGTTAGTCCTTCAGTTGTCTCAGTAGCTTTTCAAATCTTGAGGAATTGACTGCTTGTTTTTAACATTTGATTACTGTTCATTTATCTCTATTAGCACTTGGCCTATTTCAAGACAATATGTGTCTAAAAGAAACAAATTCTAAAGCCAAGAATTAGAATGTAGGAGTTACCTAGTAAGGTCATGTCATCCTTTAACTTTGGTAAACATAAAATGCTGTTTCCAAGGGTCTCATTGGTATTTTTTTAAACTAAATGTGAGTGTAAGTAGGGAGGACCTGTATTGCTTTGCTTTGGTATTGTGTGGTTTTGTTTCTGCTTTTAGTTGCTTTACATTGTACACTCTTATACTTAAAGCCAAATGATCTTTTTTTTTTTTTTCTTTTTTGGGTCCGGTCATGGGGCCTGAACTCAGCCTGGGCTCTGTCCCTCAGCTCTTCAGCTCAAGGCTAGCGCTCTACCACTTGAGCCACAGTGCCACTTACGGCTTTTTTTTTTTTTTCTGCTTATGTGATGCTGAGGAATCGAACCCAGGGCCTCATGCATGCAAGGCAAGCGCTCTACCACTGAGCCACCTTCCCAGCCCAAGTCAAGTGATCTTAAAAGAGATTCCTTGATTCCATTTGGCTAGTTTCCTTAAATACTATCTCAGGTATTGTCTTTATGTACTTATTTAGTCCCAGTGCATTTTTTTTTCTGTAACAAGTGAAAAGAGACTTACTAAAATATTGCTTAATTTATATCGACATTGAATTTCTCAAGGTGCATTGATGGTTGTTGACACTCTCGGAAGGCACAGTTGAGATCAGTTTCAGGAGGCTAGTCCTGCCCCCTTGGTGGGAACAAAGATGGAGTCTGCCTCTTCCTGTCATGGTGAGGTGCTAAGCGAGTCAGTAGACAACCCCTAAGTTTCCACCTTACACTCTGGAGAAACTGGCCTGAACGAGGCCAAAAAAGGAAGCAACCTAAAACAAAGTGGTTTAGATAGAAACTGTAGTGGCCTGGGTACTTAATTCCATGTATTCTTTGGGGCCTGATGCCTCGGCCCAACACAGAGTAGTGGATTGTTTGCACTTGCTTCCCTTGCTCTTATCAGGGATGGGCCTGGGTGGTCTAGCCAGAACTGTTTTTCTGACTTTCTGTCCCAGCTGACATCAGTTTGGGTATAAGTTCAACAATTTATGTTGAATTTTTGCCTTTGACCTTATAGAAGAACTTGAGGAATTAGGAGAGAAAAGTTTTCAGTTAGGAAAAATGCTCACACATTGACGGTCTTCATTTGCATCATTACTTTATTTCTCTATTTTAGGTGGTGTTTGATATTCGAATTAAAGCCATAAAGGAATTAAAATTAATGGAGGAATTAGGTAATCATTTATAATTGCTGTTTAGCTTTTGACTTAATATAGGTTTGTATTCTTATTGAAAAAAATATATATATACATATGGGAAAGTACAAAGAAAAAGGAAATATCATGTGCTTGCCACCCAAAATGGATGAATGTTAATATTTTGTCACATGTCTGTCTTCATTTGAAATGTTCTGAATGTTCTCACGCCTGTTTGCTCCAGCCACTCAGGCATCACTAGTGTGTCTTATTTGCATATAAAGCTGGTCCCCATATTTGTGTCATACTGCATGCTGTTCTTACATCTATGTGGATATGTTTGGGTTTTTTTGTTTTTTTGGGGGGGGTTCCGGTCTTGGGGCCTGAACTCTGGGCCTGGGCGCTGTCCCTCAGCTCTTCAGCTCAAGGCTAGCACTCTACTACTTGAGACACAGCACCACTTCCGGCTTTTTTCCTTTTGTTTATGTGGTGCTGAGGAATCGAACCCAGGGCCTCATGCATGCAAGGCAAGCGCTCTACCATTGAGCCACCTTCCCAGCCCATATGTTTGTATTTTTATCCTCACACAAATGGTATCATAATAGCACACTCAATATTTATTTAGTTATTTATTTTTATTATTTTTGTTGTTGTTATTGGTCGTGGGGCTTGCACTCTGAGCCTGGGTACTGTCCCTGAGCTCTTCAGCTCAAAGTGAGTGCTCTACTGCTTGAGCCACAATGTCACTTCCAGTTTGCGGGGGTTAATTGAAGATGAGTCTCATGGACTTTTCTTGCCAGGGCTGGCTTTGAACTATAATCTTCAGATCTCAGCCTCCTGAGTAGCTAGGATTATAGGTGTGAGCCACCGGCACCTGGCTCACAGTCAATATTTATAAACTCAGTATTCACTAAGTATTACATTTTCTTTAATGGCTTTGTTGTGATTTTGTTGTTGTTGTTGTCAGTTGTGGGGCTTAAAACTCAGGACCTGGGTGCTGGTAGTCAATTAAAGATAAATATCTCATGGTCTTTTCTGCCTGGGCTAGTTTTGGACCACAATGCTCAGATCTTAGCCTCCTGAGTAGCTAGGATTTACAGGTGTAAGTCACCAGTACTTGGCAAGATATAATTAGATAACATAGAAATCACTAATCTTATATAATTTGGTAATTATCACTGAATGTGTATAATTGAACACCATCACTACAATCTAGTTTTAGAACATTTTCACTGCTCCATAAAGAGCCCTCAGCTCCAAGCTCAGACCCTCTCAATGGCTGGTCTACTTTCAGTTTTTGTAGACCTGGTATGCTTGATATTTCATATAAACAGGACCATACCACATTTGCTCCTACCTGGCTTCTTACGTTTTGAGAACATTATCCATTAGTTAGTACTTGCCAGTGGTTTATTCCTTTTTACTACTAATGGTCAGTGGTGTGGATATGTCATCAGCTGATGGCCACTTGGGCTTTTTATACTTTTAGAACAATGCTGCTGTATACATCCGCATGTAAGTCTTTATGTGGTTATGTTTTCCATTCTCTTGAGTAGATATACAGCATTAGAAACAGTATCAAATGGAAAATTTACATTAACCCTCTAAGAAACCACCATACTATTTTCTGAAGTGATTGAGTAGTATATGGCTCTCCTAATATGTGCCACATCCTTGTCCACATTTGTGATTATCCATTCTAATGAATTCATATCGCAAAACCATACAAATTCCATTATATTTCTAATCTACCAGTAACAAAATGGACATTGAATTTATGAAAACATAAAATACCATGCAATGTCAGGAATATACTTAACAAAATACATGTAAGAGTTATACACTAAAAAAAAAACAAAAAAAAAAAACTAGAAGCTGGGTGCTGGTGGTACATGCCTATAACCCTAACTACTCAGGAGGCTGAGATCTGAGGATCACAGTTCAAAGCTAGCCCAGGCAGGAAAGTCCATGAAACTCTTATCTCTAATTTACCACCAGAAAACAAGAAGTAGCGCTGTGGCTCAAAGTGATAGGATGCTAGCCTTGAATGGAAAAAGTTCAGGAACAGCACCTTGGCCCTGAGTTCAAGCCCCATGACCAACAACAGAAAAGAAAAGAAAAAAAAGGAAAGGAAAGGGGGGGGAGGGAAAGAGAGGGAAAGGAAAGGAGGAAGAAAGAAAGGAAGAAAGCCTAGAAAATATGTTATAAGAAATTAAAGATGTGATAGGCACTCAGTGGCTCCAAAATGCCACCTCCCCTTTTATCCCTACCCACACGGTCTCAGTTCATCTCTGTTTCACACTGACGCCTTCTTTCCTGTCATGGCACTTCCTGTGGTAGCTCCTTTTAACTTGTGTCATTGCCATCTCCTCTCCCATTGGATGAGTCTGTGGGAGAATAGAGTACATGGCTGTGATTCTTTTCTTTTTTTTTAGTCCGGTCGTGGGGCCTGAACTCTGGACCTGGGCGCTGTCCCTCAGCTCTTCAGCTCAAGGCTAGCGCTCTACCACTTGAGCCACAGCGCCACTTCCGGCTTTTTTCTTTTTGCTTATGTAGTGCTGAGGAATTGAACTCAGGGCCTCATGCATGCAAGGCAAGTGCTCTACCACTGAGCCACCTTCCCAGCCCCTGGCTGTGATTCTTTACCTCTCTATCACAGTTTCTAACTGTGTCCTGCATGTAGCACATGGCCAACATGTGCTCATTGGATGAAAATTTAAATACTTGGCTTTTGTACTTGTGGTGGAGGCAAGGTGGGTATCTTGCTGTGTTGCCTAGTCTGGCCTCAGACTCCAGGGTTCAGGTGATCTTGCCTTAGTCTCGCAAGTAGCTTGGGCTACAGACATGAATCATCATACTGAGCTGAAAGTGAAAAGATTTAAGAACACAGTATTTTAAGTATACCTTTTAAGACAAAGAACTCCTTTTATAAACTGTTACAGTTCACAAGAAATTTTTAGTAGAACTATATACTATATTCATATTATTGTCGTATGAAATACCGAGCTCAAGAAACTCAGGGAGAGATTCTGTTCCAGTCTAATAAACTTAGAACTGTTAGGTCTGTGCTGTGCTTGCCAGTTCAAAAGCCTCCTTTGTGCAGTTCATGTCAGAATTATGTGAACTATAAAGTCTATGTATTCCTTTCCATCAAGCAGGAACCCGAATGTTCAAAAATAGTGAATTCTGTCCCCAGTTCCCTTGCTATGCATAAAATCACCGTACAGTTTAAATATAAGAAGAGTTGTGTGAATTTCAGTCCATATTATGTAGTTATATAACAATAGACCCCTAGTAATAGGTCTTGAATTCCAGCAACCGCAATATGTTATGGGTAAATAAATAGGTTACCAGCTGGCCCTGCACAGATCAGTGTAAATAAGCATGCACCATGTCTGGGTCCTCTGGTGATAGGCCTCTGTGGGTCTCTTTCGTAGCTCAGCACACACATAGCACAGTGTGTGTTTGTGGTGCCTCCTTTCCTCCATCACATGTGTGCAATGTGCTAGAAGAATGTTCAGTGAAAGAGAGTGTTGGCCAAGGAATAAAGCACAGGAATAAGAAGCTGTAGAAGCAGCCTCAGTCTCCAGGGAAGTAGATGCTGCTGTCACTCAAGAAAGGCTTTCCCAGGGCGCCCTAACCCACATGAGGAAGAGGAGGTGGCAAAGAGAAATGAAGGTGCCCCTGAAGACCTGGCATGAACGGGGCTGTCAGAGACCGTTCATGCCATTGAGGGCACAAAGTGTGCCACGCTGGGGGCTGGTCTGAGCTCAGAAGGAGGTAGGGCCCTCGCTGGGTCTGGGGAAGGCTCACCCCAGCTGTCACTGCACACGAGGAGAAACCAGACTCTACACTGTTTGTGATATGCGCTCTGCAAAGATGACGCTCTCAGCTCTTAGTTTCTGGTGTTTTAAATAAATGGTCAACTTTTACTGCTTTTTTAAACTTTCTGCTCCATGCTCCATACACACACACACACACACACACACACCCTTAGAGAGTTGTGACAAAAAAATTTAATGTCATAGACCAATTGTGATTCCAACCCCTCCCCTGCCATGCACGTGCGCGCACACACGCACACACACACACACTCTGGCTAAAATGATATGTTTACAGCCCTGAATGACTGCAGAGTGGAAACTGCTTAGACTTGGTTTTGGTTTTGTTCTTTCCGTTGTTGCAGGGGGTTTTGTTGGAAGGGGGAATTTTCAGTTGCTTTATTTATTTTTTGTCAGTCATGGGGTCTCAGCTCTGGACCTGGGCGCTGTCCCTGAGCTCTACCACTTGAGCCCCAGCGCCACTTTCAGTTTTCTGGTGATTATTGGAGATAAGAGTCTCACAGATTTTCCTGCCTGGGCTGGCTTTGAACTGCGATCCTTAGATCTCAGCCTCCTGAGTAGCTCAGGATGACAGGCGTGAGCTACTGGTACCTGCCTCAAGTTGCTTTATTTTTTTGGGATGTGGTCTTACTATATAGCCCAGGCAGCTCACTGTGAAGCTAGCTTTTGATCCTCTTGCTCAACCTCCTGAAGTGCTGGGATTACAGGTGTATGTCACCACGCATACCTGTAATCAGCTGGAGCTGATTTTTTTTTAATTTGGATTTTTTTGTAGCCTATAGTATCTTTCTTCTAATTTGCACAATAGAACATGTCCTCAGTGTTCTTTGTTTAATGCCCTAACCAGCTTCTTTTTATTTGTAGCTGAGAACAGTTGTTTGAGACCTGTTGACAGAAATGGAAAGCTTCTTTGTCCAGGTAAATCTTTTTTTTTTTTTTTTGGTCAGTCGTGGGGCCTGAACTCTGGGCCTGGGCGCTGGCCCTCAGCTCTTCAACTGTAGGCTAGCACTCTACCATATGAGCCACAGCACCACTCCAGCTTTTTCTGCCTATGTGTTGCTGAGGAATCGAACCGAGGGCCTCACGCATGCAAGGCAAGCACTCTACCACTGAGCCACCTTCCCAGCCCCTGTCCAGTTAAATCTTTATGGTAGCTTCCAAAAGCTGATAACTGCTCAGACAATCCATCTTTCTTAACACTGTTGCCTTAAATAATGGTTTCCAGTCCCAGATATGCTTAAATGACCTTTAGGAAACTGGGTTGTGGGCGTATTTCATCTGGCCTTCCATAGAAGCCTTGTCACTAGAATGAAGCCCTCGTCCTCCTGAGGTTTCTCCCTTGTTCTCGTGGCAGTCTGGCGGCATGTTTCTAGCTTACTTCCTAGCTTCTCTGCCTGCTTTATTGGTCTTATTGCCATCTTTGGTTCTCACCTCCAAAACGCATTTTGTCATCAAATATGATTAAGTCACAGAGACTAATTATTATTGTTGGCAATCTCTAGTAACTCCAAAGGTAGAAGAACCCAGTGTATCATGTGTGCTTTTGTTCTTTTTAGTGTAGGGTTTTTTATTTTGCCTAGTCCAGCCTAGACAGTGATCCTCCTATTTAATAATTCCCGTTGAGCTGAGGTGATGGGCATGTGCTACTGAACTCACCTTTTTGTAGGTTTTGCCTGTGCTGGCCTCAGCCACAGCTCTCCTAGTCTCGTCCTGCCAAGCAGTAAGAATACAAGTGTGAGCGATCACACCTGGTGGCTTTTTTTTCTTAATTCTTTTTGGGGGTAGTATATGAAAATCTGTTAGTGTAGCATTGCTTGGGATGAAACCCAGGGCCTTGCTTGCACAGGCTAAAGCACACATTCTACCACTCAGCTACAATCTAGTCCTTCTTTTTTGTTTTTTGGGTTTTTTTTTTTCTTTTGGTCCAAAGTCTGGCCTCAGGCTCTCTTGTTGACCTCAAATTTACAATCCTCCTGTCTCTGCTTCCCTGTGCACCACCACATGCGGCTTTGATCTTGATCTTCCTGATTGTCAAAGAAAGACTAACTTCAGTCATTTTGCCAAGGGAGGTAGGATTGGAAGCATTGACCATGTTGTCAAATGTCTTTCCAGTGCCGGACAGCGCTACCCTGAAGGAGGCGGAGGTGAGGCTGGGGAGCACTCTGGCACTGTGTCTTGGAAAAGCACCAACTTCCTCTCAGGTATGATTAGGGTACCTACAGAAATGCTCTTTATCTCTAATAGTGGTTTTCCTCAAACTTGCCCTGAAGGAATGTATTAGTGTTGCTCTATACCTAAATATATGATACTGTACTGCATCATCTGTATGATATTCCTTTTCTGTAAAAATCTATGTGTAAGGGTTATCTGTAAGGCTGTGTGACCACAAAGGTGAGCATTTCCTCAATTCTGAAGAGCATGTCCAGGCCTGCACGGTTAGGCCCCATCTGATGGTCGTGGTCTCCTGCAGTTGTAGCCAGCAATGCTGTTGTTTCCTCTTTTAGCAGAAAATAATGAATCTAACAGTCAGTGAGTGGTGTTGTACATTTAATATAGCGATTTTGAACTTAAAATTACTCTCTGCAACAATAGGATACTTTCACAGCAGCTGCCCTTTTCCATTGCCTTTTTCAGGATGCATTTTCTCTATAAACACCATGCCAGAAGCCCTATCTAATAAACTTTTATTATGGTCCAAAAGTCATAATAGTAGCCTTACTGTCACTGTGTCAACACAAGCTCGGCTTGCCAACTGCCCCTTAAATGTGCTTCCTGAGTGCTAGCAAATAGCAGTGCAGGACGAGCCGGAAGGAAGACAGACATGAGCAATGAGGCTAAATTAGTGAGGAATCAAGAGAATACATTTACATTTTTCCTATGGGGTCTTAGGAATTACAATATGTGAAAGCCCTAAATAGAAAATCCTATAAAGCTGGGCATGGTGACACATTCCTGTGCTTTGAGAACTTAGGAGACAGGGGATCATGAGTTAGAGTCCAGCTTGGTCTACTTTTCAAGATGGAGGCAAGCCTGGTGTATATCGCAGGACCCTGCCTCATAAAACAAGAGAAGGAAAAAAGAAGTGCTCTGCCTCAGAAGGAAAGAAAAGAAAGGAAAATCCCCCCATGTGGCTCAGAAAAGTGGGGGTTCACTGTGTAGCAGATTCCAGGGTGGGAACCTTAGTCCTGGCCAGAGCTTTTTCTATCTTTATAACATCTTGTGGGCTGTTCAGAATTACCAGTGCAGTCAGATGGGCCTAGGGCAGCTGAGAAGCGAGGAGAACTTCACGCACGAGTCCCATCATGTCCACGTACAGAGGATCCCATGAGCTGTGCACAGCCTGCTGCCAGGGAGAGGCTGACTTAGAAAGGGAGCTGGTAGTCAAAGGAACACTGTCTGTGAAAGGTTTGATTAGCAGTAGAACATTGGTGAGGAAGCATCTTCTGTTTCTCAGTAGGTGAGGTTATTGTTTAAATGGTAGCATTGAGCACAGTCTTGCTTTTACATAATTTTGGGGGTTTTGTTGGTTTTGTTTGTGCATGGAGTATTGGAAATAAAGCCATGGCCTTGAGCATACTGCATCAGCACCCTCCCATCAGCTGCATCCTAACCCTGAGTTTTAATTATGATTGTTACTATTTAATATTTTATTAATATTTACTTTGTGGAACTAAATCATACATTTATAGAAATCCAGGGTCTCAGGGCATGGTTCACGTGGTAAAGTACCTGCCTGGCAAGCGCAAGGCTCTGAGTTCAAACCTCTGGTACTGCCAGAAAAAACCAAAAACTTTTTTAAATTCAGGTTGAGTTGCATTCATACTTTTCTGCCTCGCTCTTAGCTGTTCCTGTTTTTTGCTGTGGGGACTGACCTTCAACCAGGCGTAGAATTGGAGGTCATAGTAGAGGAAACACTGTCTGTGAGAGACGTAAGTCATTTTTCTCTTTGGTTGGGGCTGTGACACTGGCGGGGGAGCAGGGGTGGCCGGGCTGGCATCTGGAGAGCCTAGGGGTGGTTTCCATAGCGTACTCGCAAGAGTTGCGAGTGATTGTTAGGTGAGTGCCAGGACCTTGAAAACTGAAAGACCTACTAGGATTCTTAAATTAGATGACGATTGTTTTAGTCTTTTGGGGTCATAAATAATACTTATGGCTGCATTCCGTGCTTCATGCTTGCTAGGCACACACTCTGCCACATAGCCATGTCTCCAGCCCTGATTTGTGCTGGTCATTTTTTAAATAAGCTCTCATTTCCTGCCCAGGTGCACCTCAACCGCAGTCCTCCTGTTTTAGGCTGCCTGTAGTGGTTGGGTTGATAGGTGCACCACTACGTCCAGTTTTCCTCCATTGAGAAGGAGTCATGGAGATTGGCCAGGATCAGTGATGTTCCCAATCTCAGTCTCCTGTATAGCTTAGGATGTCGGATATACACTACTGCACCTAACTCGGGGTTGATTAGAAGTCTAGCGAACGTTTTTTCCCAGGCTGGCCTCAAATTTGCAATCCTCCTATTTTCAACCTCCTAACTAGCTAGGATCACAGGACATCACCCCTTCCCTCTGTACTCTGCACGCACACACACACACACACACACACACACACACACACACACACACACACACAAGCTTGCTTGGTTCCTAGGAAAAAAGGTATTTGCCATACTATAACTCAGAAATAGAAAACTAATTTTAGACATAATTTTTTGCAGTGTTTAAAGATAATGCTGAAGAAATCTGGTCTGTCAGGTAAGTTATTTACTATGATAACATCATCAAGTCTTAATCTTATCTGCATTCTTAAGTCTAATGAAACTTTTCACGGTTTTGCTTATTTGAGACAGGGTTTCTCTAGGTAGCCCAAAATAACTGACCTCAAGCTCATGGCCTCAGGCTCCTGCCTCAGCCTGCCAAGGGCTAAGATTCCATCAACTCAGCTACTTCTTTTTTAAGCTTTCTTTTTTCCTGGGCTATGGGAAGAAGTGTAGACTGGAAAGAAAAAAGTAAATATCTATACTACCATAATGGATTGCCTCCTTATTTTCAAACTAAAAAAAAAAGCAGAGGCTGGGAAGGAGGCTCAGTGGTAGAGCACTTGCCTCGTATCCATGAGGCCCTCGGTTCAATTCCTCCTCAGCACCACATAAGCAGAAAAAGCCAGAAGTGGCACTGTGGCTCAAGTGGTAGAGTGCTAGCATTGAGTTAAAATGCTGAGGGACAGTGCCCAGGCCCAAAGTTCAGGCCCCACACCTGACAAAAAAAAAAAAAAAGCAATGGCAGATTAAATCTAAGTAAAGAACACTTAGGTAGGATCCAGTAGGGAAAAAATAAAGAGTTATGTCACTCTGAATTACCTAGGTCTTTCACTAACTTTTTAAATCACTGAGAATTTCAGTGCGTCCTGTTTCATGTCAGTATTTTTGTGGTGTAGATGATTAGGGAATGTAATAGAATGAGAAATCTAAATCCAGGATAATTTTGTGTTCTGAGCAGTTGATGGCCCTGTGCTGCTGTCTTTAGCACCCTCTGCTGGTCACACTGCGTTAACACAGAGACTAGTTTCCTTCCCTGGAAGGGGAAGCAGCGTTCTGGCAGTGTGCCTGCTGTGTCTCCAGGGCAGTCCCTCAATCCCACCACCCTGGCTGTTTCTGGCCTACAGCTGAGGAAGGTCAGCCTGCTGGCCCAGCATTCCAGAGAGCAGCTGGCTCACTCTTCAGCCAGCTTCTTACCACTGTGCTATGCTGGGCTCAAAGTATCTACAACTTGTGGGTAATTTTTTTCTAGACCTAGAGCTTGAACTCAGGGCCTGAGCACTGTCCTTGAGCCTTTCTACCACTTGACCCACCACACTACTTCCAGCTTTTTCTGTGTATGTGGTACTAAGGAATTGAACCCAGGGCTTCATGCATGCTAGGCAAGCACTCTACCACTAAGCCACATTCCCAGCCCCTTGTGGGTGATTTTTAAAGGTGCTTAAATTAAGTTTAAAATGTAGTTTTGTAAATCTCACCATATTTAAAACTAGAACTAGTGACTAAAGAGGATCCACAAGGAAGGTACAAAGGTGGGCTCATGGACATAAGTAAGAAATTTGTTTATTTTAAATGTTCTTGGTGGAGGAAAGATGTGTTATTTGTTGATAAACATTACTAAATCACCGGTATTCTAACTTTTCCTGCACTTGCTTTTCTCACCATGCAAAAAACAAAACATCTCATTAATTTCTCCAGTGTAGCAAGTATACTGAAAAATAGAAACCTGATTGAAATATATTTATCATTTATAATATAGATATTCACCCATATGATCTTTGGGCTGTACTAGTGCTGTATTTTTCTTTTTTTTTTTTTTTTGTTTTTTGTTTTTTGGGTCTGGTCGTGGGGCCTGGACTCTGGGCCTGGGTGTTGTTCCTCAGCTCTTCAGCTCAAGGCTAGCGCTCTGCCGCTTGAGCCACAGCACCACTTCCGGTTTTTTTCTTTTTGCTTATGTGGTGCTGAGGAATCAAACCCAGGGCCTCAGGCATGCAAGGCAAGTGCTCTACCACTGAGCCACCTTCCCAGCCCCTAGTGCTGTATTTTTCTTAGACTAACTGCTGAGCAAGTAGGAATAATTTTCTTGCACATTATCAGCTTCTGGGCAATGTGGGCATGCACCTCAGCCAAGACAATGAAGTGAACTCATGAGGATTGCAGAAGGATGCTGTATGCACATGTCTATATATATGTATACTGTATGTGGTCTGTACATGTGTGCATATAAATACAAAAGGTGCAAAGAAATGTGTAATATCAGCAAGTTTTTTACAATTAAACACATAAATATAGTTTTTATTCACAAGTTTGTAGTGAAAGAGAAAATTTACCAACTTAGGGAGAAAACTTTCTTCATGCTATATAAGAGATAATTTAGTCAATAATAATTAATGGCTAGGTGCTAGTGGCTCATACCTGTTATCCTAGCTTCTCAGGAGGCTGAGATCTGAAGATCACAGTTCAAAGCCAGTCCAGACAGGAAAGTCCATGCGACCCTTATCTCCAATTAACCAACCAAAAAGCTGAAAGTGGATCTGTAGCTCATGTGGTAGAGCAAAAGAAAGCTCAAGGACAGTGTCCATGCCCTGAGTTCAAGCACCAGGACTGGCACAAAATGATGGTGGTGGTGATGATGATGATGATGATGATGATGATGATGATAAGGTCAAGATTCATAAGATTCATTTGCTGTTTAATTATCCAGAAGGATCACTGGTGCAGTGACACATTCTGCATTCCTTCACAGGGGGTGCATGGCATTTACGGAAAATGGACTGGTGCTACGAAGCTGGGGAGCCTCTATGTGAAGAGGTGAGACTTTCTACCATCTCACTCTTATACATCATTGTATTTTCCTGCAGGATTTCCCCTCCAAAGTCATGGGGAGAAAGTCCAGGGAAAACCTTTGTCTTTTAGAACACAGAAAGATGTGAATGGGTCTTTTTTCACTTCTTCTGACTGTGGCTTTCAGGTAGAGGGCAAGTCCCAGTGTGGAGGGAGCCATTGGAAAGGGGTGATAACCGTTCCACTGAGAGAGAGAATGAGAACATGCCCCAGGAAATCACTAGGAAGTAAGAACTCTAGAGAGCAAACTATGTTTGGACTCATGACAGCATTTGGACACTGAATTTTTCACCCTAGTTCTCTAATCTCAGAATTTCTCTGTAACATGGAAGAATTCATCTTACCAACCAGTTCTAGAGGCTCTGGGGCTGGCTCCATCCAGACACAGGGAAGTTCAAGGAGCCATTCCATCACAGGTAGTTGAGACCTAGTTAATCTTACTGTTGGTCCACTAGAATATCAAAGCTCCTAGTCCACAGCTATGGCTTTGGAAAGAGGACAAATGAAGCTCTGGGAGCAAACTTAGAAAGTCGTGGGCAGGCCCATCAGGATAGGCTCATCTTTGATCTTCAAGAGTTTGACTGCCCAGAGGAAGAAGTAGAGACTTGAGTTTTGAGCAAGAGCCTCACTGTGTAGCCTTGTCTGCTCTTAAACTTGCAGGCCCCCTACCTTAGCCTCCCTAGTACCAGGATGAGAGACGTGAGCCACCGTACCTGACTATTGTCTTCTGGAGTAATTCCCACATCACTATTAAATAATTTATCTGATAGTAAGCTCAAAACTAGCTTCCCTACCTGGGTTTGCCATCCGTCTTTTTAATTCTAGTCTTGTCAGACTAAACTGTGGCTTACCTACTTATCTTTCCTTCTTCCGATTTCGTCTCAGCCTTCAGGGCCTGCTGGCTTCTTTCCCTTCCTCACCATTTCCCCTGCTGGCCTTTCTTCAAGCCCTTGCCTGTTACCTGAATTACCACAACATCTTCCCTGCGCCCTGTCTGCCATTCTCACTTCACTATGTCATGCATGGAGCAGCCAGCTGGAGGAGCTCCTATGCTTCTGTCCCATCCCAGTTTGGCTTGTGTCCATCGTCCAGGCCAGCTTCACTTGCTGCCCTCTCCAGCAGCTCTTCCCACCCCATGCCACCTCTTATCTTAGCTCTTCACCAAGACAAGCCAGGCTTTATTGGCAACTTTGACTTTTGCCTTATCCTGTTTTTCAAGACAAGTTCCTTCTCTTGTTTCCTCTAACTTTGTAAATGGAATCCTCCTTTTTAGGTGTCATTCAAATTCTATCTTTCATACCTTAGTCTCTTATCCTTTCTCAGATCTCCCTTTCCTCAGCTCTTTTATGATTTTTAATTATTTGTATCCACGAATATATGTTACTTGATTTTATATTCTTAGCTTACTTCCTATGTCTTCACTCTCTGCTTTACTACTTATTTCTTTCTTGACTAGGTGATAAGAGGCATAAAAAAGATTCAATGGTTTCTTTGTTCCTTTCAGAAGTCATAAGTGACAAAAAAGAATTTCTATGTTCCCAGGATGCAACACTGAAAGAACTTAGGATATGCTCTGGAGATACTTTGCTTTTAATGAAAGGAAAACTGCCCCCTCTGGTAAGATTTTGCTTCTAAACAGACATTCTGTAAGTAACAGCTATTGTTGTCTAGTTACAAAGATGATCTCTGTCACAGGACAATGGAAAAACACAGTCATAAAAGGAACAGAAAACTGTTTAAAATCCTGCCAATCAGAAGCATTTCCTTCCTACATTTTTACATAAAATTACACATGGATATTTCTTTTTCTTTGCACAAAAGATTTTATATATATATATATAATATATATATATATATATATATATATTATATATATACATGCATGCTAGCTACCTCATCTGCAGGGTGAGGGAATGAATCATGGCCTTCCCCATGCCAGACTAGCACACAGCCACCGAGCTATCTCCCCAAGCCCATAGCTTACTTATTATATATAAATACTGTAAATATGTATGCATGTGCTATTTTTGTGTATATGAACATATCTACAGGATAAACCTCTAGAACCGAAATTTTTCTGCCAATAATTATGGCCTACTATAATATAATCAACTTTCTGAAGCTGTATCTTGAGGTTGGGTCATGGTGTTGGCATGATAAAAATTTTTGAATGAATAATCCTGTAACTTACAGCTTTGTAACACACATATGTGTCAGACATAAATTCCTAAGTGTGGAATGTCTTGAATATGGAACTTACTTGAACACTTTAAATGCTGACACATTGGGCTAAAGTCTTATAGCAGTTTCTATTTCCATTACAATTTATACGAGTTCAATTTTTCACCAACATGGAATGTCTATTGTTAGACTTTCTGGCTTTTTACATCTTGCTAGGGGGAAACAATGGAATTTTGTTTTTGTTTTTCCACTGCTGTTTTGGTTTGGCTTTTGCTCAGCTTGCTTGCTTGCCTAGAGCTCCACTACTTGAGCTATGCCTTTGTCTCTCATTTTGCTGTTTGGATTTATATGGATTTAACTGAGTGGAGGTTGTGTATTTATTCATTCTCACTACTGCCATAAGAAATACTGAAATATGAATTTTTAAGTAGATATTTTAAATACTACAGTTATTTGTACATTCTCATCCTTTGTTGGAAATTGCTGTAACAGCTTTTCTTAATAAATCTCTTGAATTTCTTTATTGGTAAGGAAAAGAATGGGAAATAAGTAAGGCTGGAATTTCAGGGTGTATTTAAGACACTGGGTTCCTTTCGTGTGTTTGCCTAGAGGAAACCAACTTGGGTACTAGGCCTCAAGCTCCTTGGTTATCCCTGGAGCCCGGTAAGCCTGAAGTACTGTGCCAGCAGCACCTCAGCACCCAGAAGTAGTGTGTAACATGTCTGGAAAGTACCTCATAGTTCTTCATGCTTCTACACATTCTATGTGGTAGAGCACTAGCCTTGAGCAAAAAAGCTCAGGGACAGTGCCTAGGCCTTGCGTTCAAGCCCTACAACCAACTAACCCTCCCTCCCCCCCCCCCAAAAAAAAAATCTAGAAGGAAAAATAATAAATTGAAGAACATTTTGTGTGAAGATATTTCACCTCGTGGAAGCGAGGGTGAAGACTCCATCGGTGCGTCACAGCAGTTTAAACGCTCTGTTCTCTAGGGATTCCTGAAGGTGCCCATCTGGTGGTACCAGCCTTGGGGGCCATCAGGACACCAGGAGAGTCGGTACCAGCCTAACTGCGCCCCTTCTCAAGGCAGCAGCTGGAGAGTTGCTTCCAGCCAAGGTGAGGACACAGGATGACAGCCACCAGCGTTCATAGCAGAGTCAAGAGCTTGCCTCTGCTCTCAGGGTCAAGTGGAACAGAAGGCTGAAAGTACAACCGTTGTAGTCAGTCATTGTGTCCTCTGCTTGGGTTGCAGAGCAGAACTCCTCCCACTCAGTGCTTGCCTGGAAATTGGTTTGCATGGCCAGCCTGCACCACTAGAAATCTGCCTTTCCTCCTCACACCCTGTGATGGAAGAAGCGCGACAAAGTCACTACAGGGAAAGGAGAAAGGAAGGAAAGAAGGGAGGAGGAGGAATGGAGAGAGAAGGAAAGGAAGGAAGGAAGGAAGGAAGGGAGGAGCGAGGGAGGGAGGGAGGGACAAATGGAAGGAAGGAGGAAAGTAGGGAAAGAAAAAGTTTTCAGGATTGTAACAATATGATAGTTTTCAAATGCCTCTTCTGTATTACTCTCACAATCTTTTTTTTTTAATTGGCTGTAAGTAGTTGTACAGATGGGTTTCAATTGAGTGTGTCATTTTGTGAGTACAGGTCATCTCCTTTTGGTGTGTGTATGCCAGTACTGGGGCTGACCTCGAGGCTTGGGCATTGTCCATTAGCTTTCTGAGGAACCTCAGCCCTGGCTTCCACTCCAGCCGTCATTTGAATGGCAAGGCCCCGCTCACCTGGCTCAGGGCCCCTGTTGCCCCGAAGATCGTTAGTGCTTGAGGGTGGGAGAGATGGGGAGCTACAAGGGGTCGCACTGATCAGGTGCCTTGTCCCGAGCCGGCTGCCAGAGGCCCGGGCTGCAGGCCTTGCCATGCAGGTGGCTGCGACCTGAGCGTTGGAGTTGGAAGTCAACCCAAGCAGAAAAGTCTGTGTCACTCTATCCCCACTCCGCCCGCTAAAAGAAACTGGACTGGAGGCCTTGGCTCAAGTGGTAGAACACCAGCTATGAGCAAAAACACTGGTTGAAGCCCTGAGTTCAAGCCCCAGCGCCAGCACGCGCATGCGCACGCGCTTGGTGTGTTCAGAGTCTACCCAGAAGTGTGAACCAGCTGTGCCACGGGCAACCTAGGTGATCGTCATTCCCTACAGAGTGGAGGCAGACCTAAAACCGGGCTCCCGCCGCGGTGACACGCACCGTGCCCACGCGCGCCGGCCGTGCCGGGTGCGGAACCGAGCAGCCTTTACCTTCACTTTCCAGGGAGAGCGGTTCGAGCTTTCCTTTCTCTAAGCATCTGTGCGAGGCCTTCTGGCCGGCTTCCTTCCTTCCAGGAGCACTACCGTCCCCAGACCCGGGCGGCTCACGGGACTGCGCGCGCACCCGGGGGGCTCACGGGACTGCGCGTGCACCCGGGGGGGGGGGGCTCACGGGACTGCGCGCGCACCCGGGGGGCTCACGGGACTGCGCGTGCACCCGGGGGGGGGGGGGCTCACGGGACTGCGCGTGCACCCGGGGGGGGGCTCACGGGACTGCGCGCGCACCCGGGGGGCTCACGGGACTGCGCGTGCACCCGGGGGGGGGGGGCTCACGGGACTGCGCGTGCACCCGGGGGGGGGGGGCTCACGGGACTGCGCGCGCACCCGGGGGGGGGGAACTCATGGGACTGCGCGCGCACCCGGGGGGGGCTCACGGGACTGCACACGTGCACCCGGGGGGCTCACAGGGCGCGCGCACGCGCACCCGGGGGCTCCCGGGACTGCACACGTGCACGGGGGGGGGGGGGGCTCACAAGGCGCGTGCGCACCCGGGGGGCTCACGGGACTGCGCGCGCACCCGGGGGGGGGGGCTCACGGGGCTGCACACGTGCACGGGGGCTCACAGGGCGCGTGCGCACACCGCCTGTCCCAGGGTCGCGGCGGGGCTGCCCTGGCGTCCCGAGGAGGACGGAGCGGGCAGGGCCGTGCCGTGGACAGCGGAGGCGCGCCCCGTCACCCGCGCCCGCCCCGCTGCGCCCCGCCACATGCCGCGTGTCCCTCGCAGGTGCCCCCGGGGCCCCCGCGCCCTCGCGAGCCCGCCTCGAGTACCTGGGCGACGTGGACATCTCCGAGGACGCCTCGCTGGAGGAGCTGAAGCGGCAGGTGAGACCCCTCCGCGCCGCGCCGCCGCCGCCGGGGGATGGCCAGGAACTGCGCGTCCATTGCCTGCCCCCCCGCCGCCCGGGCCTGCCCCCCGCCGCCCGGGCCTGCCCCCCGCCTGCCTCCCCGGCCCGGGCCTGCCCCCCCCCCCCCGCCTGCCTCCCCGGCCCGGGCCTGCCCCCCGCCTGCCTCCCCGGCCCGGGCCTGCCCCCCGCCTGCCTCCCCGGCCCGGGCCTGCCCCCCGCCTGCCTCCCCGGCCCGGGCCTGCCCCCCGCCTGCCTCCCCGGCCCGCGGCGCGCCGTGCTCTGCCTGCCTGCCTGTCCCCCCGCCGCCCGGGCCTGCCCCCCGCCTGTCCCCGCGCCCGCCCGGGCCTGCCCCCCGCCTGCCTCCCCGGCCCGCGGCGCGCCGTGCTCTGCCTGCCTGCCTGTCCCCCGCTCCCGCCCGGGCCCGCGTCCAGCTCCATCTCCGAGGGGCATCCTGGAGCGTTGCGCCGCCTCCCGGGCCCTGGACGCTGGGCGGAAGCGGCCACGCTCTTGGCCCCGGGCGGCCGCGCTCCCTGAGAAGGAGCAGCGGCACGGGCCCGGAGATCAGGACGCCCTGGCTCTTGTACAAGGCTGAAAGGAAACTGACGGTGTTAAGTAAAAACGGCATGTATATTGGCCACTGTGCGCACTTCAGCCTAACCACGCACAGGTGCTCAACGTCGCCTGTGCCTGGAGGACTAGAGGGAGTCGGGCCCAGCCCGTTAGCGCCCGAAACTCCCCGTATGTGTGAACTCAAGTGCGGTCAGTGGCCCAGCAAACAGGGCTGGTTTATGTTAGCGCTGCAGAAAGCGAGGGAGAAGCCCCACACTTTCACTAAAGCAGATTCTGTCTTGTGAATTGTATTTGCAAGCAGTTAGCTCTGAAGGACCCACAATGAGTGTCTGAGCCAGGTGTGCTGATGCCTATCTATAATCCCTGAACTCAGAATGCAGAGGAGGACCATATACTTCCTGGCTATATAATGAGACCTTGTCTGGAATAAATGAACAAACGAATGAAAGCAAGCTTTGGACCCAGATTCAGAAACTGGAAACTCATTTCTCCAGTGGATCTTAGGAGACAGGAGCATGAAATGATCAGATTGACTTCACTTTAGATATCCGTAGTCCTGATGCGCACATGGCTTTGAATCATTTCTGGAGGTGCTTGTTCCGCAGCCATCATTGTGTAGTGCTTCTCTCAGTGTTTCTGAGGGCCTTGGAATCAGTGGGGAAATGTCTTGTTTCTTTGTCCAGGCCATGGCCTTGCCTTTTGCCTCAGAGCTGGCCTTCTGGCCCCCAGCCTTCCTCAGAGCCTGGACGGTGGAAAGCAAGCGCCCCCGCAGGCTGCTCCGCGCGGACAGACAGCAGCTCAGGTGGGTGCCTCGCTCCTTGTCTTGAGTTAACCCCCGCTTTCCACGCTGGAGTAAGTGTAGCTCGCTGTTTGTTTCTGTGCTCTGGAGACCGGCTGATTCTAATGAGAATCGAGTGAGGTGAATTCAGGGCTGAGCAGGCACAGTTAGGAGACACTGATCAGCCAGTCTGTCTCCTGGAACATGTGTTGGGGGCACTCAAATATGATTCCAGTTCCCTCTGGGAAAAGCAGCAAGGGCATGGGCCAGACCTTAGCTGGGCAGTGGGCATTTCTTTCGCCATCCAGCCTTCTTCATAGCACTTAGCATCCATGTATGGCAAAAAGTACGTGAGGTGTGCCTAGGCAAGTGTCCTGCATGGGCCCCTCGGCCAGCTGCCTGTGTGCTAATGTAGCTTGCAGACGCAGTCCTTGCCTTAAAGAAAAAGCTTCAAATAGGCAAAAAGAAAAAAGTTCAATAACATACATGCTATGCTGTTCTTTCTCTCACTGTCATCAGGGAATATAAACTAGGACGGAAAGCTGAGATATGCCTGGAAGCTCTTGAGAAGGAAGAAAGCTTGGGGTGAGTTCTGCTGCACGTGGAGAGCTCAGCGCACTCCTTACCAAAACAGGCAGCCCCCTCCCACCCCACCCCCACACCCCGAAAGTTAGCCACCTGATGAGTGATAGCCTACAAATACACTGTGTTCTAGGAACCTGTTTGTCTGGCTAGTGCAGTAGTACACATCTATAATCCCAGCTACACAGAGGCAGAGGGTAAGAGCGTCACGGGCTAAGACCAGCCCATTATAAAAGTGTTAGCCTTAACTAAACTAAAGCAGAAAGGACTGGGAGTGTGGCTAGAACAGTAGGCCCTGAGTTCAAACCCCAGTAACACACACACACACAGAGAATGAGTGCACCCTGTGTTGTATTTGTTGTAAGCAGTGTCTTTGTATCTTTCTACAAGCAAGCCCTTTGTGCCCCAGAACCACACCCTTCCTCAGCTTCCCCCCCCCCCCCCCCCAGTACTGAGCGCTGCCTCCCCAGGGGCACATCTCCCTCTGAGTGGGGGAGGGTGTGGAGGAAGCCTTGCCCATTCTGCCCGGCAGGTGTGCCGTGTGTCCTCCCCTGGGCCTCACGCCCAGGCTCCCGTGTTCTCTGCCGCAGCCCCCAGGACATGCTGCTGAGGACGCAGCTGCGCATCCCCGGGGAGAGGGCCTACGCGCGGGCCGTGGACTTGGTGTGGGATGCAGCGCGAGGCTGCACCGCTGGCTCCCTCAGGCAGAGAGTGGCCGATTTCTATTCGCTGCCTGTAGAGAAAATTGAAATTGCCAAATACTGCCCTGAAAAATTTGAGTGGCTTCCCATATCTAGCTGGGTAAGTTGTGTGGCTTTCCGGAGAAATCGGGGCTGGCTGGCATAAGGGTCAGGTTCACGATACCTTTTAGAATTTGAGATTGAGCCAGGTGCCTTTAGCTACTCAGGAGGCTGAGACCTGAAGGGACACAGCTGGAGTTGGAAGCTAGCCTATGCAGAGCAGTCTGACGCTGTCTCTAACCAGCAAAAAGGTGGGCTGGAGGCATGAGTCAACTGGTAGAGAGCACCAGCTGAGCAAGCAAGTTCAGGACCCTGAGTTCAAACCCTAGTATCCCCCCCCCAACCACACACACACACACACACACACACAAGAATTTAAGATTGAGTTTTGTTTATTTAAGATACTTTTCTACAGAATCAGCAAATTGCCAAAAGGAAAAAGAAGAAAAAGCAAGACAATTTGCAAGGGGCACCATATTACCTGAAAGATGGAGACGTTATTGGTGTTAAGGTGGGTTTACAGTGCGTCTCCGGTTTATAGAGGCCGTTCCTCAGACAGTCCCCGCATGAGAACCATAGCAGCTTGAGATCAGCACTCCCAAGGACAGAAGAGAATTAAGACCAGTTGTGTTATCAGCACAACCGTGTTAACACTAAAAACAACATGCTGCCAAACAAAGCCAGTCAGGGCACTCTCAGTGACCAAGGAATGTCAGGACCCGTCACCGGCTGGGCGGGCTGGGCGGGCTGAGCGCTGCGGTCCGCGTGCCCTCCTGTGCCCGCTTCTGTGCTGCGTTCTGGTTTTTGGTTGTTTGCTTCCACCTCTTAGCTATTCTAGTTAATGCTGCATGTAAACAATTCTTTGAGATGTGTTCAATTATTTTGAATAGTTCTAGAAATAGGATTCCTGCATCAGAGAAATTTTAGTTACTTTTTACAATTCTGTGCTGTGTTCTTAGCTGACATTTCTTTAAAGCCTCTTTTGTTTGTAGTTGAAGCCAACGTCAGGCTGAAACTTCCCTAATGAAGCTCTTCTTGCCCTAACCCAAATTTGTGGGTTTTGTTTTGTGGTTTTGTTGGTTTGTGTCTCTTTGGCTTGTGGGATCCATTTTTGAGCAGACCTCTTGGTGTAAGTGGGCCTGCCGTGTGGAAACTGCTCATTAATCCTTTTGAAGCGCAGAACCTCCTGGTGGAGGAGGATGACGAGGACTTCGGCACCATCAGCGACGACCTCGGGAAGGAGAGGCAGAAGCAGCTGGCGCTGGGGAAGAAGAAGAGGTAATCCTCGCCCTCCGAGGTGTCTGCCTGGCTCAGCCCCGCCCGGCCCCTTGGCCCCCCCCAACCCCCTCCCCCCACCGCAGGCCCCAGAGCCACCTGCGCATGCCTGCGCTGTACTAATTCAGGCGGGTTTTCTGCTTCCTTTGCTGCTCTTTCTAGAACCTTCCTCCAGGGGTTCACGCCCCCATCCCCACCCCGGGCCTGATCCCGTGTGGAATTGTGCACGTGTCCACACATGCAGACTCCACCCACTAACACCCACACGTATGCACCACGTCCCGACACTTGGCACCAGACGGTGTGTGTGTGTGTGTGTGAGTGTGAGTGTGCACGCCTGTGGATACGCACATGCACAGTGCCCACTGTAGTGCCGTGATTGCCCTGGCCTCTTGGCCTGCTGTGAGCGGCCCCGCCTGGCGCGGGATGCCATGTCCCTGCCGTGTCCTGGCCACGGGCCTGACCTCCGCAGCCCACTTCCTCCCGGCACACCGTGCCGCTGGCCACAGTCGGGCTGCATCTCTGCCATGAGGGATGAACTTGGGGGTCCCCTCTGGTGTGTGGGTAGTGTCTGTCCTTTTCTGTGGACTGTTCAGACCTTTTACCAACTTGAGACTCACGTGTGTGGGGAAGTGGCCAGAGGGCATGGCTGTGGCTAATTTACCTACAAATAGGCAAAAAGACAAACAAATGTAAGTTTAGAAAAATCCCTGTGTTGGCTGGGAGCTGGTAGCTCCCGCCTGTCATCCCAGCTACTCAGGAGGCTGAGATCTGAGGATCATGGTTCAAAGCCAGCCCAGGAAGGAAAAGTCCATGAGACTCTTATCTCCAGTGAACCACCAGAAAACCAGAAGTGGTGCTGTAGCTTAGTCGAGTGCTTCCCTTAAGCAAAAAGAGCTCAAGGTCCTGAGTTCAAGCCACATGACCAACCAATAAAAAATCCAGGTGTGATAGTACAATCCTATAATCCCAGCCAACACTTGGGAGTTGCAGGCAAGAGAACATGAGTTCAAGGTCAGCATAGGCTATAGCAAGACTAGACAGCTTGGCCGAAGGAAGCCAGGTGCAAAGCACTGAGACGCCGCGGGAGGGGCGCAGCGCAGTCTCGGGACGGGCCTGCGGGCCGCTGAGCGCACACCCGGTGTGCTGTTACACCGCAGCGTAAAAGCGCAGACAGTACTACAGCTGCTGCGTCTAGCAGACTGGACAAGGTCCATGGGGCAGGCCACGTGGCCATGGGGGGCTGGGCCTCCATCCTCCCCCCAGGGCAGACCAGTCCAAAGCGCAGTCCCTCTTCTGCTCTGCCTTGGACCTTCGAGTGTGAACTTCACCCCTCGGCCTAGGGCCCCAACCCAGTCCGTGACTCTGTCTCCTGCAGCCGCGAAGCCCTCCGTGCACACAGCAGTGACCTCTTCTCCAGCGCAGGGACGCCTGCCCAGCCCCGAGGACCAGAAGCTTCTCTGTCCATCCACGTTGGGAGCTTCCGATAGGCCTGGCAGAGGACGCTCCCGGCATGCCCAGCGCCGCGCTGCGGCTCCAGCTGTTCTGCCAGTCCCGTGACGCGCTGTGGGGTGGGTCCGGCACCCCAGTTCTGTGCTGCCCTGGATGGAGGTGGAGCGCCCTCCTCAGGCCGGGCCGGTGCTTGTCATCCTTCGGATCTTCAGTACACATGGCCCACGTAGGTGCCAACCTCCCCATGCCCACCCGTGGCCTTTCCCAGAACACTGGCTGTGTGTCGACCGCAGGTGAGACCGCAGCGTGGGCTTCTGTATAAAACACGCGTGGTCCAGTCACCTTCGCTGCGGGGCCGGCGGCTGATGAGCTGCTGCAAGGCAGCCAAGCTCCCCATTCATGCACAGCCTCCCCTGGGCCGGCCTGCTGGCCCGCGTGGCAGCCCTCCAGAGTGGCCCTGCTGAGAAGCAAGCGCCAGGTGTGGCCCCTGCCACTCGGGGCTGGTGACAGAAGCCAGGTGGTAGACAGGGCCATCACAGGCCGCTGGACACACGCTCCAAGTTGGTGTTGATTCAGCCCAGACAGCCGTGCGAGTGAACGCGTTGTGTGTGCGCGGTCACCGGCCCGGTGTTCTCACCAGCCACCCCGAGCTCCTCGTGGCCGCGCCTCCGCCGCCCCCGCTCAGGCTCTGCATCTCGTAGAGGGCCCCGCGTACCCGACACTGCAGGGGACCCGTCTTTCCTGCCTGGTTCTCTTCCAACATCGCTTCCGTCCACTTGCCTGGGCGGCCACGTAGGGTCAGTTGTCCATCGTCTCCCGTCAGAGCCTCGGACTGGCAGCGCCTCTAGTTCCCAGACACTGGCCTTCCCGTTCCGTCCACAGCTCACTCAGGTTTGATGACACACACCCTGTGCGCGTGCACACTGGCTGCCGGGCCTTCCAGGCTGTTTTTTTACTTTCACTGGTGAATTTCCGTACTGTGGTCTCACGGCCTGCGTGGCCTGGGAAGGCGATAAAGCAGCAATGCGCTGAGCGCCACCTCCAAGTTCTGGCCAACGGGGCGCCCGCCACGGCCTGTGCTGGCCAGCTTGCCTTTGTCTTTGGTTTATCATCAGTATTTTAATTCCGGGATTGGAGGGTACATAGGGAGCAATGACTACGATTTTATTAAAGAAAAAATAACTTTCAATTGGAGTCCTGTTTCTGTCATGCTGGCTGCTTCGAGTTCTGCTGACGATGAACTTTTCTTGCCCTCCCCCTCCCCCGAACTTCAGATGCTAAACAAAGCATATTGGGACATTATTTATTTGTACCGCTTTGGAAACAAGCACGTTTGGTTCTTCAATACATCCTGACTCGTGGGAGAGTTGTATGGCAGGGTGTAATGTGGCTGTTGTCCAGTTCTCTTCCTTCTAGGGGCTGGCTGTGCCCTCTGAGTTGCAGGAAACCAAGTATTCACTTGTGACTGACATTCTTCTGGCGACATCAGAGACTTGTAGACACTGGTTTCCCTCTGAAACGGACCTGGGGTGACCCAGGAGGGACCACAGTGAAGAGCCCGGACACTGCTGCACACCTGCCAAGAACGGCAAGACGGCTCCACGAGCCCACATGCCAGAGCTGCCGCGGACGGCCTGGAAACGCACCGCGCCTCAGAAGGGAGCCGGGCCCCAGGACGAGGCTGGGACGTGTGCTGCCTGGGCTCACGCCTCCCGGCCCGTCAGCCCAGCAACCAACACAGTGGCCGCCATTCAACCTTTTCCCAGAGCGGCTGCGAACCAAACTCAGTTTGGCAACTGTTTCCACCAGAGCACCAGAAATAAGGACGAGCCCTGGCCAGTGAAGATGGAAAACAGGCTTGTTTTATTTCTACACAGGACATATGTACAGCTGTGACGCGAACTATGTACAGAGCAACAGCCGGAAGCATCTGCTCCCGGGTGGTCACTGTATAAATTAGTATAAATACGAGGGCAGGCTCCACCTGCAGGCACAAAACCTTCTCCCCAGGCCTTGGGGACCCTGGGACACAAGGGCCCTGCAGGGGTTTGGGGCTGGGTGGCAATGGGGACGCACAGGCCCGTGGCCACCTGGCAGGCTTCTGCGGCACCACGCGGGCCCCCTCCCCCATCTTGAGAACCCGCAATTTACGTGGGCAGTGCTGCCTTGGCCGCTAACGTGAACCTGCTCATTTCCCAGAACACCGAGGATATGGCAGCCCTGGCGGTGACCAACTGCTGCTCGTCCTCCTGTCCGTGTCCCGCCTCCCCACGGCGCACTCTGACCTGGCGTAGCGGGGAGCAGTGAGCCGTGTCTAGGTGCTTCCTTCTCCATGTCCCGCTGGCTGCCCTGCTGCTTGCGTAAGGGGAGACAGCTCTGGCTGGAGAAGGGGCAGAACTCCAGTGAGGCAGCTGAGCGCACGGCCACATCATCTGAGTGCAGCCTACCACCCAGGACGCGTGACCTCGTCCACAGACCCCGAGCTGGGGGCAGAGCGTGGCAGGACACTGCTCTCCACACACCAGAAAGCCACGGGTGCTAGGGGGAACGGGGACCACAGGAGGGACCACGACTCTGCAGAGCAGACCCGCAGCCAGCGCCACCGTGCCCTCAGCGGTGCCCTGAGCGGCCTCCGGTGTGCCAGGTGGGCTGGGCAGTGCTACAGGTGTTCAGTGCCGCCCCGTCTGGGCAGGAGCTGCAGCCGGGCAGCTCACGCACCTTGGCAGGTGGGGCCAGCTCTGAAGGGAGGCAGTGAGGACCCGCCTGCCATGCGGGGACGGCCCGGCAGGATGGGGCCTGCTCGGGGCTGAGCTCTGACCCCGGCAAGGGCAGGGGCTGGCACGAGCGCCGTTGAGGCGGTGCCCACAGCTGTCTCCAGGGACACCAGGCAGGCCAGTGGGAGACGGGCTCCGGAGCACCCTGCAGGACCAGATCGCACCTCCCCCAGCGGCACAGTCCTGGTCATCTTTCTGTGGAGACTACCATGTGCCCCCACTCGTCTGCCCCAAGCTAAACTCCATCGGCCTGCGGCGTCCCTGGGGACTGAAGTGACATCCTGTGCCCCCGACTCAGGAGGGCGCTTGGAGGGCCAGAGGCTTTGCGAGGCCCGGGGTTCCCGACTGCGGCCAATGGCGGCCCTGTCCGCCTGCGTCATCCTGCTTTTTCTTCCTGTCAGGGAAGACGGGCCGGGCATCCATGCCGCTCTTCACCCTGGAAGCCGCAGGACCTGGACGCCCGCGTGAAGCACTCGGGGAGGGGCTGTCAGGCACAGAGAAGGTTCTGGCTGCGGCCACTGCAAGCTGAGGGCCAGTGGGGTGGAGGAAGGGCGGAGAGGCGCGTGGGGCACTCTGCGCAGTCTGGGCTCAACCTCGTCTCCTGTGCCCACCATGCAGACCTCAGGCGGAGGGCGCGGGACGGCGCTCCCCGGGCCCCGGCTGGGAAAGGGATCGGTTCAAAGGTAGCTGTGTTGGTCTGTTCAAAGCCCAGAGCTGTTACCAACGTGCGTCACGTGTGTCAGAGCTTCCGGGCACTCCCAGAGGGAATAGCACCATGAGACGGCCTCGGAGGCTGGGCCAGGGAGGCTTCAGTCATGGGGGCGCGGCGGAGGCAGGCAGACAGGGCGCGGGCTAGGCCTCGGTGGCAGGAGAGCCCCGGCTCAGCTCCTTGATGCCACAGAGGATCCTCTTCATGTGGCCCACTTTGGTCACCCCAAGGTCCTGCAACAGAGAGGACAGCTGCTGGTGCTGGGGGGGGGGGGCCCCCGCACCCCCACCCAGAACCACTGGGGAGGAAAGTGATGACAACCACAAAGCATGGCCGCAGCACGGCCGTGCACACCAACACCACCCCTGGGCTCTGCCGATCTCCAGTCGGGACCGTCCAGCCAGCCGGAGGCGGCGCAGGCAGGCCTGAGCCCGCGCAACGGCCCCCGCCCACCTCTACCCTCCCTGGACTGGGCCAGGCTGGGTCTCACGTAGCGCGCCACGACCCGGGCCCCTTCCCTCGGCCCGGGCCTACATGGAGGCGGCCTGTGGCAGCTCTCCCTTCACTGTGGGGTCACCGACACCGGGCTGCGTGCTTGAACGCAGGACGGGCCTGGTCAGGGGGGCTGAGAACGTGGCGTCTGCTCTGGCCTTACTCGGCTGTGGCAGGTGCAGCCACGAGCCGGCCCGGGCGCCTGTCAGCCCAGGGTGTGCGCAAAAGCCCAAGAAGACTCGTGAAGATGCGGTGATGGGACGTGGCCAGGGCAGGGGACAGACGGGGCCAACAGGAGTCATGTAGAAGCCGGTGCGGGTCTGGGCAGGCGCCCGTGGAAGTACCTTGAGGTCTCTCCGCTCCAGATGCAGGAGCTCGGAGCCCCGGATGTCGTGCCGCGTGAAGATGTCCTTATACTCACAGAGACTGAGGTGCTCCAGCCAGGCAGCCACCTCCTCTGTGCCCCAGAGGTGAACTGTCAGAGACGGAAGAGCACAAGCGCAGTGAGGGCCCAGAGCCCAGCACCAGTGCAGGCGGCAGCAGTGCCAAGATGCGCAGAGCAGCCAGCACCCGCCACCCAGCCATGGGCCACGCCCGCCACCCGTGCCGAAGCCCCGGGGGCCGGCAGCTTGAGCTGTGACTGTCCCTCCCGGGCGTCACAGCCTCGGCACAGCTGGGTCCCAGCGGGGATTAAAACCAGACAGGAGACATCAGTGCAGGGCGAAGCCAGTGTTTCCTACGTGCCCTGCTGGCCATGCTGGATGGGAGATGCACACCATCAGCTCCGGGCCACACCACCGCCATGAGCAGAAAGAAACCCAGCTGCTGCACAGACATGCAAGGAAGGATCCTGCCTCGAGCGTAGCAGGCACCCAGAGGAATGAGAGGGGTCAGTCTAGCAGGGTTTAAGCCCCAATTTACTGGCCAAAAGGAAAAATGTCCTTTAGCACCATTGCTCTTGATTTCTGCGCCCACAATCACGGTAGCCCAGGGGCGCTAGACCTAGCGGCCTGATCAATGAATCAATGACAGCGATCGGCAGCGCATCAGAGGAGCAGGCCCAGAAGACCACAGCACATCTGAGGCCAGAGTTTTGTGTCTCCGAGTTTGTCTTCTCACCTCCCTACCAATTCCCCGGGGTGGGGCCGCCATCAGCACCCAGAAGAGGGCAAGCACACACGGTGCGGCTGTCCAGCTACGGTGGACTAGAGTAGCCCAGTGATGAAGGTCACGGCACAGGGACGGGGGAATGACATGGCCAAGGGAAAAAGCAGAGACCAGGAGAACCCAGCCAGGACAGCTGCTGACAGCCAGAAACACACGCGGGGGGGGGGGGGGGGAGATACCCGGGGCTCCCAGACTGCTGTGCACTTCTTTGTTCTTATTGTTTTTCTCCTTTTTAAACTTCGTCACCAGGCGGAATTTGCCACTGCGGCTGCGTTTAGAAAGATCCAGCATCACGTTCTGTGGGGGAGAGTGAGACAGAATTCGATCCCAATTCATCAAGGCCTCCCTTGTAGCTGTCAAGACTCTTGGTTCTTCACATGCTCATTCTCCCAGGCATTGTTGATGTCACTGTCTTAAACATGGTTTAAAAATGATCATCTACTTGGGAGACAGACATCAGGAGGATCAGGGTTCAAAGCCTGCCCAGGCAAAAGAGTTATCAAGATCTCATTCTCAACCAGTAAAAGCAGAGTATGGTGATGCACACTTAACATGCTAGCTGTATGAGAGCTTAGTAAACAGGCCAGCCCACCATGAACTCAAGACCTTATTCAATCAGCAACTCAAGCAAAGAGGGTCTGAGCTGGGGCTCAAGAGTTAGAGCAAACACCCTTCTCATAAGCACAGGCCACGAGCTCAAACCACCAAAGTGACCATGCTGTCTTACAGACTGATCAACTGATGGATGGAAGGTGACAAATAGACAATCTAGCTATGCAGCCCAGGCTAACAAATTCAGGACCTTCCTATCTCCCATGTGCTGGGGATTACTGAAATGCCTCACTACACATGTCTGAAGTATCTGTTTTTTAACTTTTTACTATAATAACAATCATACTTCTCATATGATTAAAATTTTTTCTAAATATTACTGAAATATCAGTACATACCATTATATAAATATAGATTATTATGTAAACTAGGATATTTAAGCCAGTCTCCTAGTGCTGATGGCTAGGCCTTGATTATGAGCACTATAAGCCTTCTAAGAGCACTTTGCGCTTCCTTGCTTCCTTCCTATTGGTCCTGGGGCTTGAACTCTGGGCGCTGTCTCTGAGCTCTTCAGCTCAAGGTGAGCGCTCTATCTCTTCAGCCATAGCTCCACTTGCGGTTTTCTGGTGCTTTATTGGAGGTAAGAGTCTCACAGACTTTCCTGCCCGGTCTGGCTTTGAACCATGTGATCCTCAGATCTTAGCTTCCTGAGTAGCCAAGATTATAGGCATGAGCCGCCAGCATCCAGCTTTTTGCGCTCTTTCCCCTGGAGTAGAGCAGAGAGCTGAGAACATGGCAACAGGCTCGCTGCCAGCTGCCGGCCTCCAGGGACATGCGGAGGCTGTAACTACCACTGCGATCCACTGCTTGATAGCCTTGAAGCTGAACATGTGAAAGAATATCCCAAACAAGCAGACTTCCTAAGAATTACTTAATGATAAAAAGGGTCATTACATAATGACAAAACCTATGCACACAATAAGAGGCTCAAAAGACATCAAGCAAAACACACAGAGCCACCAAGAAAAACAGACGGCTACAATCCTGGTAAAGAGCTAGTGATTGACCGAGAAAAATTTCCAGTAGGATTTTAATATAAACAGCAAGTGCACAGAAGGTGAGCTGTGTGTCAGAGAAGCGGCAACACGCACACCCCGGGGGCGCAGTGAAACTGAGCCAAGAGCCAATAAAAAGATAGTTAGGACAATCCCATGCCCTGGAAAAGACAAGACAGACTTCCCAAGAACTCACCTGGGTGCTGTGTGGCACCGTGCGATGACTATTAGAGCTGTCTGAGCTCAAGCTCCACTTGGTAACGTTATACTTTTCCAATCTCAAGGGATCCTATTTTTACACTCACTGCCCATCAAGTGCGCAGTTCTAGTTCCCCTTGGTCCCGGGGTCCCCAGTGGATGTCCCTGTGCGGCGGCCCTCGCTCCCAGCACACTTGGTTCCCGGGAGCACACAGCACTTTGCTACGAAGCACATTAGGCTATGGTTTGAGCACAGGGCGGTGTACTCGCTGAGCTAGCGTCTGGCAGGGGAAGCATACCAAAAGCGTTCTAAGCCGAGAGCAGGTGGCTCATATGCCTGTAATTCTGGCTACTCAGGAGAACTGATTCAAAACCAATTCAGACAGAAAAGTCCTTGAGACTCCATCTTCAAAGCCAGGCTGGAGGCATGGCTCAAGTGGTAAAGTGCCAGCCTTGAGCTCAAGAAAGCTGAGCAAGAGTGCAAGGCCTTGGGGCTGGGAAGGTGGCTCAGTGGTAGAGCGCTTGCCTTGCATGCCTGAGGCCCTGGGTTCGATTCTTCAGTACCACATAAGCAAAAAGAAAAAAGCTGGAAGTGGCGCTGTGGCTCAAGTGGTAGAGTGCTAGCCTTGAGCTGAAGAGCTGAGGGACAGCGCCCAGGCCCAGAGTTCAGAACACCACGACCGGACCCCCCCCCAAAAAAAAAAGAGTGCAAGGCCTTGACTTCAAGTCCCAGGACCAGCTTTACAGGAAAAAAAAAAGCTCCTGCATGTTTTGCACGTTACAGCGAGCTTAAGGCGCACTCGAGAGTGGCGGAGCACAAGACTGGCTTCCTATTTCTTACTGTGTTTTCTTGCGATTGCTTTATTTTTTATTTCCCTTGCTGTGTTTTTGTCAGAAACATGAGCGAGCACAGCTCCTGTGAGCAATGTATGGTTAAGCTTTTAAGAGCATGACATATCATTTTCCTGTTGCTTTTGCTAATCTTCTACTTTCTTTTATAGCTTTTAGAGTATATTTTATCTTAATGTAATTTTTAAAATTAATTACTTTTAATTTTTTTTTTTTTTTCAAAAAACAATACTGACTTTACCTTTCTCTAGTTACCCAAGTCAAAAACATAGGTTTTGGGGTTTAGGGATCTTTTTGTCATGTATTTGGTGAAATTTTGGTTTTGTTTATGGTCATACTGGTTTTGAACTCTGCGCCTTGCACTCTGTGCTGGCTAGGCAGGTGCTCTACCGCTTGAACACACCCCCAAGCCCAAGAACAGAGTTTTTAACTTTCTTCCACTTTAGAAGGAGGAACTTAATCTGGAATTACAGGGCTCTGATGGCTTCACAGTCGGCTCAGGATGAAGAGTATCTGTGTCGCGTTTACAGTGAACACTGAGCCTGTGTGGAGGAGCCTGCTGGCCCCTGGCGCCATACTGCTCCCTCCCACCTCCAAGCCGCTGCACTTTGCGTGCCAGTGACATGGTCTGAGCCACAGAGGTTCGTGGTTGCCAAACCATGTCCAAGTAACCCAGGAAGAGCTTGCTCCCTACTGCCGCCCCGCCCTCCCTGTGCCAGCCAGCAGAGGCCCCGCCCAGCTCCCCCAAGTCCAGCTTGGCCTTGGCCAGCCGTGACCTCTCCTGCCCCTTCCACCTGCTCACCAGGGCACAGCTGTGGGGTGTGCCCTAGAGGACTGGCTGTCACCGTGGGGCAGGGGGAGGGGTCCACAGCCCCATCTCTACACTGAGTGCAGACAGCGGGCTGCGCACCACCTTCCCTCCCCCGTTGAGGCCAGCAGACGCCCCGTCCCAGGGTCTCTCTGCACCCAGGCCCCTCCTTCCTGCGTGCTCCCCTCCCCACTCAAAGGCTTCCGGGGAAGTCTCAGCCCTGCGCCACGTCCGTCCCGAGGCGGGCCGCACACGCACCTCCTCGTAGCCGGGCTCTGTGGGCTGGCCGAGGCCGGGTGTGTCCGCCAGCTTCCTGAGCTGCCGGTCCATCTCGGCGAGGGCAGCCGCCAGCCGCTCCTTCTGCGGGGGGTCCAACTGCTGCTGGGGGAGGGAGACAGCACTGCGGCTGCGTGCGTGGAGGCACCGGGGCCAGCCACGCCAGGCCGAGGCCCCCAGAGTACCTAACAACTCCCCAAAGACGAAGCCCCCCAAGGGCCCAGCCCAGAATGTCCTCTCCTCAACAAGCCCTACAGGGCCAGTCTGGCGCCGGTGAGCAAGGGCAGGCCCTGCTCCCGCCCCACGCTCAGGCGTGCTGGGAGGGGAGCGACGCGACCGCCCCCAGGGCGCTGGCGCTGGCCCAGCAGCACGGGACAGACTCGCTCTGCCCCAGCCCCGCACCCACACCAAGGGCCTCGGAGGCTCTTTCCGTAAGGCAGGAACCCTGAACCACGCTCGGTGCCCAGCACCCAGGGACAAAGGCCACGGCCACGGCCACAGCGGCCGGCCAGCGTCACCATACCAGGGCCATCTTCCCCGCCAGCAGCAGCTCCGTCTCGCTGCGCAGAGCTCTGACGTTAGTCACCATTTCCAAGACAAAGCTGCAGTTTAGCCCCTAGGAGAAACCGAAACATAGAAACTCGTGGGAGGCCAGACTCCAGGGACCAGGGGCCAGAGGAAACACCACGTACCTCGGACGCGTACGCTCTGGGCTTGCCGTACACGCGGTCCATGGCCTTGGAGCTGGCGTTGACGGCGTGCGCGAGCTCCTGCTCCATGTCGCGGTGCGACTGAGCGATTTCCCGGATGCTGGAGAGAAGCGCAGCACGCATTAGCCGTGTGCCCCACGCCGCGGCAGACGCAGAGGCTGCTCGACTGGTCAGCGGGGGCGGTGGCACAGGCACAGACACTGGCACAGGACGGCCCTGTGCAGCATGTCCTAGCAGCAGCGAACAACGAGGCCTACCAGAAAACCTAACAGCAAAACCCTGGCTTTCCCAGGGAGGAGGAGGCACCAAATGCAGCGTAGGACAGAGGAGAGAAAAAGCAAACGCAGCCCTGTGTTCAGCCCGCGAGACTCCTGCAGGGACACATGCAGACTCCGCTGTGCCAGCCTGCCCTGGCCCTGCTCTGAAGGGCACCATCCAGCGGTGCTGGTGAGCTCCGAGCAGAGCCGGCTCAGGCCAGGAGCAGCTGTGGAGGCAGGCAGGAGCCGGCTGGGGGAGCCGGGGTGCGGCTGAGAGGTGCTGAGACTTGCCCACCCGTGGCCAGGCTGGGCTGGAGGAGCCTATCTTGCAAGCAGGCTCCCCAGGCCACCGCAGCCTGGAGGGCACAAGGTGAGAAACCAGTGCACAGCAAGGAACATCCACACGTCGTCCCACGCCTGACTCCGGCTGCGAGGCATGAGCCACAGCAGGCCAGTGGCTGAGGAAAGGAGGTGTGGAGCCCGACACGTGACCTGCATGTGCCAGAAATGGTCACGGGGACCAGAGGGAACTGACTGATGGGAGACAGGCTGTGGGAACCCCGGCCCAGCAAGGCCACTACTTGCCAGAGCGAGGCAGACCTGCCAAGGAAGGGCAGCTGGAGCTGCTGGTCCTTCTCCCGAACCCAAGGCAAGAGCAGGGGAGAAAGGCTAAGAGAAGCTGGGGCCAGCCGACCGCACTGGCTGCTGTGCGGCCTCAAGAAGGGGAGGCTGGGGCGGAAAGGCCGGGCCGCCAGAGAGCAGAGCGAGCCTCGGGCGAGTGCGAGCGCCACTCACGGCCCTCGTGTGTCACAGGCAGTTCACACTCACGGCCCTCGTGTGTCACAGGCAGTTCACACTCACGGGGCTCGTGTGTCACAGGCAGTTCTCACACTCACGAGGCTCGTGTCACAGGCAGTTCACACTCACGGCCCTCGTGTGTCACAGGCAGTTCACACTCACGGGGCTCGTGTGTCACAGGCAGTTCTCACACTCACGAGGCTCGTGTGTCATAGGCAGTTCACACTCACGGCCCTCGTGTGTCACAGGCAGTTCACACTCACGGGGCTCGTGTGTCACAGGCAGTTCTCACACTCACGAGGCTCGTGTGTCACAGGCAGTTCTCACTGACAAGGCTCGTGTGTCACAGGCAGGCTTCACACGCACGGCCCTCGTGTGTCACAGGCAGTTCTCACACTCACGAGGCTCGTGTGTCACAGGCAGGCTTCACATACACGGCCCTCGTGTGTCACAGGCAGTTCTCACACTCACGAGGCTCGTGTGTCACAGGCAGGCTTCACACGCACGGCCCTCGTGTGTCACAGGCAGTTCTCACACTCACGAGGCTCGTGTGTCACAGGCAGGCTTCACACGCACGGCCCTTGTGAGAGCTGGCGTTGCAGGTGGTTGCCGCCATGCCCGACGCACTGCAGAAGGGAGACCCTGGCTGGGGCTCCCTGGCTGTGAGCGAGCTAGTCAGGTGCTCTCCCGCCAGGCTCCAGCTGAGGCCCACCACGGGCCTCACAGTCTGTGAGTGGCTCTGAAAGCACCTGTGGGTTTGAGGCTCCCAGCTATGAAAATCCTGAAGACCCACTAGAGAAATAAAGCAGGGACGGGGCAAGCAGAGGGGCCGACGCGGAGCCAGCGCGTGGCCCAGGCCCATGGCCGTGGGCTGGGCAGAGGCACCTGTGGATGAGGACCCCGGCCGCCTGCCCGAACTGGTCCATCTGCGTGGCCTCCTCCTCAGACAGGATCTCGGGATGCAGCGAGAAAGACGGCGGGCGGGGCAGCTCACACTTCTGCTTGTCCTCCCAGGACTTCAGGGTGTTCTCAAAGGCCTAGGACCCGAGAACCCAGAATTAAGCCACGGGTGCAGGGCAGCCATGACACCAGAGCCCTCACTGTGGGGAGGCGGGGGGGGGGGGGGGGGGACCGAGCGCAGAGCTACACTTCCTACCCTGGCACTTCCCCTTCAGACCTGAAAGAAAACTCCCAGACCAAACCATGAAGCATGCAAACACCTTCGGGAAGAATGCATGGGCCAGCCGTGGATAAGCCAGAGGTGAGCCAGCCCTTGCCCCAAATCCCATCAGATTTTTCTCCTGCCTGTCCTGCCACTTGAACTCAAGGCCTGGCATTCTACGACTTGAGCCATACCTCCACTTCCACTTGGTTATTGTAGATTGGTTCATGGACTTTCCTGCCAGGCTGGCTTTGAGCCACGATCCTCAGATCTCAGCCTTCTGAGTAGCTGGGGTGACAGGCCTGAGCCATTGGCACCCATCTAGGCAGCCAATTTTTTTTTTTTGGGGGGGGGGGGGCAGGGTTGGTCGTGGGGCTGGAACCCATGGTCTGGGAGCTGCCTCTGAGCTTTTTCACTCAAGGCTAGCATTCCACCACTTTGAGCCACAACCCCACTTCTGCTTTCCTAGTGGTTAAATGGAGGTGGAGTCTGAGAGTCTCACAGGACTTAGTAGTGAATTGTAAAATGGTGCATGGACTTGCCTGCCCAGGCTGGCTTTGAACTATAATTCTCGGATCTCACCCTCCTGAGTAGCTGACTTGAGACGGCCATTCTTACCCTGTCTCTGGTTAGCGTCTGTGCCCGGTTCTTGTGGATGATTCGGATGTAGCCTGGCGGCTGGACCCAGGCCTCTCCATCCACCTGCACAGGCACGCCCTCGTCCCCCAGGATGGAGATCTTCACCGTGCGACACTGCGCAAACATCACAGCTGTCACCTGGGGCCTAAGCCACAAGCTCCAGGGGCTTGAAAACAGCATCAGGCCTTCCTGCTGCCACACCTGTGCCCCGCCCCACCACCAAACACTGCCCCACTACCCCACTGCCCCCTCCTCAGGCATCCAGACTCGGCGGGTACAGGAGGCCTCGGTGGCAGATGTGGGCATCAGAGCCCAAACTGGGAGGGGAAGGGGACCGGCCTCTGCCCAGTGCAAACATCTCCAAGCAAAGTCCAACAAGAAGACGATGAAGCCCTGTTCTCATCAACGAAAGTGTTTCTAAAACAAAAGACAAGCTCTGAGTGGCTTGCTTGCTTCTTGTCTGGCAAGGGGAAGAGACCAGCATGCAGCACGGCCCAGCCAGCGGGTTATCAGCACGCAGCCTGCACGCACAGCCCCACCCTCAGCAGTAAGGCAGGCAGAGCTTCCGGGCCCCCCGACCCCACACCATCTCCCCTGCGGCCCGTATCTCCTCCTTCTCGTCCAGACACAGAGGGCTCCGGTGCATCTAAGCGCCGAAGCAGTCTTTCTGAGAAATGAACTCAAAGACTGTGCACAGCAGGGTCCGGTCCGGGGAAAGCTGGGCCTATCCTGAGCCAGACGCAGAGGCTGGCTCCAGATCCCAGGAAGGGGAGCAAACCAGGGAGTTCTAGGCCAAGCCTTTCCTCTGGAGAGCTGTGGGCTCCAGGAGGGGATCAGGTGACCCCTGGGACTGTGGCCCCATACCTGGGCAATTCGGTGATGCTGCAGCTTAATAACACGAGACACAGCCATCTGCATGCTGCCAAACACAGCGACCACCTCCAGAATCTTATCATCGAACGACGGAGCCGTGAAAGTCTGAAAGGACCCACGTTAGAGCTGAACTCTGCCCTCCTTTCCACACACCCGTCCCCGCCCCTTGCCCACCCCCAAACACACACACACACACACACACACACACACACACACACACACACACACACACACTGCTTCCCGCTCTGGGCAGCACGCAGGCGGTGCCTGCTGTGGTGACGTCGTCATCTGTGTCTCTCACACACCAGCCACTGACGAGCAGGCAGCCCGGCTCGTCTCCTCTCCCCCGCCTCAGTTTCCTCATATGTAGGAGCGGCCCCGCACGCTCCCCCTCCTCACATGTGGGAGGGGCCCCGTCCCCCTCCTCAGTCTCCCCATGCACAGGAGCAGTCCTAGCAGGCCCCTCCAGGGGCTGCTATGGGGACTGGACAAACAGCGTGTCGCACAATGCTCAGAACAGCGGCCTGCATGCAGGCGGCACCGCAGTTCTTGAGTTATTATACAAGTCCTGACTCTGCTCTGCTTTCTCTCTCCCGAGCCTTCCTCACGGTCCCCAGGCCCCCGCCCCACCTTGCCCTCCGAGCCTCATGCTGTCTCTTCTCTTCCCTCCCCCCTGCTCCTGTGGCTTGGCCAAAGTTAAGTCCTCCTTCCGGCCCAGCATGCCCCTCGCTGCCATCTCGACAGTGCATGGCCGGGCTGGAGGCCGTCTGTCCAGCCCTCCACGGCACCCACTGCCAGAACATGGCAGGTGCTCAGGCCACTAATTAGGTGTTGAGAGAGCCCGCCACAGCCTCGCCAAGCCCAGCCCACTGACCGCGCACCCATACGTACATCATCCTCCTTGGTGCCCCCCCAGAAGTTGGTCCCACCAGCATAGCTGGGAATGTTGAGGACAGCAATTCCCTGAAGACTGGGGAGGGGGATCGGCCGCCCATCACACTGCGGGCACAGGTGCACAAAGAGAGGAGAGAACACTGCTCAGGTGAGTCAGCCTTCTGTGAGGACCGCGCCGCGCCAGGCAGGGAGCACTCGCAGCGTGGCTGCTCCCCGGCAGGAGCTCAACTGCCCTGCAGCTGAGGGCAGCCGAGGAATCTGAGGGCACTGAGGCAGGCTCACCTCCAGCAGGACCTTCTGCTCCAGGTTCTTGTAGGTCCTGTGGAGCAGCTCTTTGGTGCCCAGGACTCCATACCACATCATGTTCTTGGTCCGACTCCTAGAAAACACAGAGAGCTTGGCGGTGGGGCCCTTGCAGGGAGGAGCACTGTGGAAGCAGGGAGCACTATCACTGCTGCAGGAAGACGTGACAGTCTTGGTTTTGCAGATATGGATACGCCTAGAGTACATTTACCAACACAGAATGATGCTAAAAAGTGCATTTTGCCAAGAATGCAGACAAATCCTGAAAGGCAATTAAATAAGCCTTGGAAAAATTGTATATGTTGTGACTTTCTTCTGGCTCTAGACTTATGCTTACCATCGAAACTTTAGAAAATGCAGAAAAAGCAGGAGAAACGAATCTTCAGAGGTGACACACGTACTGACAGAAGTGTGGGCAGGCCAGTGGGGACTCCTGGGGGGGCTGCGTCAGCCCAGGTGCCAGTACCACCAACTCTGAGGTCTCCTGATGTCAACTCTGCCCAACCTGAGCAGCCACCGGGGGGAGCCCTCTTCCAAGCTGCCCCCATCTCTGGGAGCCCCTCTGCTCTGACAGCAGAGTGACAGCTGTGTGTGTTCTGCTATCCGGAGATCCCCTGCTTCCTTGGCGGGAGGCCATGCGTACACAAAGGGCACGCGAAGGGCCCACGAAGGGCCCGCGCCCCTGGGGCCACACCCACCTGCATTTCTCTGGGTGCTCATCGCGCTTGTTGTTGAAGTCCAGGGATATCTTGGCGTCCAGGCCGATGCCGAAGTAGTTGTTCATGACGCACTTCTCCGTGTAGCACTCTCTGCAGCGTGAGGGCACAGCTGTTACCACGGCCGACGGAGGCCTCGTGCCATTTCTGCCCTTAGAGTAACTGAAACTTTTTCCCCATGTTTTTCTCTTGCCTCCCCCGACATGCAGAGATTTGAACCCAGGGCCCTAAGCTGCTTTTTTACTTACATTTTTATATTTGTCTCTTGGGGAATTCTGGTAACAGCTAAATTACTCATATAGCACATCATAACCAATTTAAAGTATGTAATTCCGCGATGCTTACTATATTCATGGTCACATCAGCTCTACAACCAGTTTTAGAACAAACCACCTCAGAAAGAAAGCCCACACCTGTCAGCCCAGGGCCTCCTAGATACTAGCAGCCTTTTTTCTCTCTTTTTTGGGGCCAACCCTGGGGCTTGAACTCTGGGCCTGAGCACTGTCTCTAAGGTTTTTTGCTCAAGGCTAGTTAGTGTTCTACGACTTGAGCCACGGTTCCACTTCTAGCTTTCCAGTGGTTGATTTGAGGTAAGAGTCTCACAGAATTCCCTGCCTGGCTGACTTCAAACGGTGATCCTTCGAATCTCATCCTGCTGAGTAGCTAGGATTTCAGGTGTGAGCCCACAGTGCCCAGCCCCTAGACATCCACGGCCGGCTATCTCCAGACCTGTGCCTGTCCTGTGCAGGCCACAGAGGCCATCACACATCACCTTCCGCACCTGCTGCTTCCCTCAGCACGACGCTTTCAGAGTTCATTTCTATCGTGATGGCACGCTGGAAAGCTAGACTATGTGATGGACATTTGGATAGTTTTGCTTTGTGGTGGTTCTTTGTGAATATTTGTGCACAACTGTTACTGTGGACACATTTTCGGTCCTCTGGGCTAGACCTAGCGGTGACACTGGTCTGCCCTGCTGAGGCTCTGCCTGCAGCCTCGAACCAAGGTCTCAGGGCATATACACCCATCCCGCGGAACTCCAGGTCTCAAAGCCACTCCCAATCAAAACCCAAAGCGGCGCAAAAATGCCTACCTGGCCCTGGGGCCACAGGGCCTCTTTCCGGGGACAAGGCAGTGTGGCTCCCGGCCTGGGAGTGAGGGCTGTGCACGCATTCTTGATCTCCCACCCCTTGGTAGGGCCAGGCCTCTGCCACAGCCACGGAGCTTGCCCCAGGATGCCCTCCACAGGTAGCTAGTGGGTGACGCAGAAGTCCCATAGACATCAACAGGAAATGAAGCTGGATGGGGAACACTGCTTGGAATTCTGATACATTTAATGCAAGTGCCCAGCAGCTGACCTAGAGCAGAGCTCAGGGACAAAGCTGTTCTAAGCTGAAGACCATGTGGCCAACACTATAGGTAAGTCCTGGGAAGAAGGAGTTAATCCAGGGCAATGGGTATCAGGACAAGGGAGGAGGGAGACGGGAGTCTGAGGGCTGGCAGCTGCCGCGCAGGGCTGACAGGCAGAGGCCTGCCCGGGCGGTGCAGTGGTGACCCCGCCAGGTGGCTGGCACACAGGTAGGGACAGGGAAGGAGAGAACAGGCTGGGGTCTCAGGGGTCCTGCATGAGGAAGACAGAGTAAGAATCTGTCAGGGGTCTGGGGGCTCTGCTCCGGCAGGGATGGCAGCTCTGGCTACCCGGGAGGACAGAACCCAGAAGGAACAGGACGCCAAGAAAGAACAAGACGCAGGAACTGGGAGCCATGTGCCTGCCGCCACCCGCGGACCCTGGAGTGCTACCTTCTCAAAACCTTTATGAACCACCATTACCCATCACTGGCCCCACCACATCGGACACTAAGGCTTGGCAACACCAGCACCCCATGCTGCCTAGAACCTGCCTTCAGCCAGGAGAAAGAAAAATCCAAAAGACTTGACATTTCTTTGGTTTGAAAAATACGGTCTGTGGGGCTGGGAAGGTGGCTCAGTGGTAGAGCACTTGCATGCATGAGGCCCTGGGTTCGATTCCTCAGCACCACATAAGCAGAAGAAGCTGGAAGTGGCGCTGTGGCTCAAGAGGTAGAGCGCTAGCCTTGAGCTGAAGAGCTGAGGGACAGCGCCCAGGCCCAGAGTTCAGGCCCCATGACCGGACCCAAAAACAGAAAGAAAGAAAGAAAGAAAGAAAGAAAGAAAGAAAGAAAGAAAGAAAGAAAGAAAGAAAGAAAGAAAGAAAGAAGGAAAGAAAGAAAGAAGGAAAGAAAGAAAGAAAGAGAAAAATACGGTCTGTGTTCAATGGTCTCCAATGGACAAGGCGGCTCCATTAAACTGCTGCACTCAAGCCAGGTCAGGAAGAAGACTGAGCCCCACGGGCACAAACGCAGCGCACAGAGCACGGCAGGCACCAGCCCCCCTCCCTGTGGCCCCCTGGGGACTGCAGGGAGGACAGGGTGGCAGGCCCCGTGAGACATGAGGAAGACGCGAAGGACAGTGGGACGAGGGGAGCCAGAGCGCGACACCTGAGGTGACAACAAAGGACACCCCAGTCGGCTTCCAGCGGGAGTCTGGGCCCTCAGAGCCTCAAAGTGAGGCGCCCGGGGGACGCGGCGGGAGTCTGGGCCCTCACAGCCTCAAAGTGAGGCGCCCGGGGGACGCGGCGGGAGTCTGGGCCCTCACAGCCTCAAAGTGAGGCGCCCGGGGGACACGGCGGGAGTCTGGGCCCTCAGAGCCTCAAAGTGAGGCGCCCGGGGGACGCGGCGGGAGTCTGGGCCCTCAGAGCCTCAAAGTGAGGCGCCCGGGGGGAGGTGGCGCGCCTGCTGAGGGCCGGGCTCCCTCCTCAAGCAGTGGGTCCCTCACAAGCCAGCACCGGCCAGCACAGGGCTCGCTGGCCAACGTCCACCAAGTCCTGATGATGCCGCCCGGGCCTCTGAGCTCAGCCAAAGGCCTCATACTCACAGGTTCTCCGGTTCGGCACTGAAGGGGTCAGCGTTGATCAGCAAGCGGCTGATGACTGAGCTCCCGGGTAAGGAGTCTGACATCCCGGCCCGCACGCCTGCGGGAGGAAGGACGGGCATGTACGGGGACTGGAGGAGGACGGCAAACTGCTGTTACCCAAAGTTCCTGAAGTAACAAGCAAGTGCCACACCTTGACAACAGTTCACAAATCAGTCTGGCACCAGTGTCTCACACCTGTAATCCTAGCTACTCAGGGAGCCGGTTCAAAGCCAGGCCGAGCTAGGAAATCCATAAGACTCTGATCTCCAATAAATCACCAAAAAGCCAGAAGGGAAGTGTGGCTCAAAGTGGTAGAGCATTAGTCTTGAGCAAAAAAGCTCAGAGACAGCACAGCACGCAGGCCAACTTCAAGGCCCAAGACTGGTACAGGAAAAAAAAAAAGTTAAAAAATTACCATGATCACTCCATATTTAAGGACAGAAACAGGTAGAAACCCTCACCCACAAGACACCTAAAACATGGGTTCCCAGCTCGCTTGAACATCATATGAGCTCTACTTGCCTTTTGGTTAGAAAAACGCTTCATTCAGTCGTATAGACTTGGAAGTTCCGCTTCCTTGGGTCTCTCCTCCTCGGAGGACGGCTGGCGCTGACAGAGCGAGCCCCTAGCGTGCCGGCCGCACGGCCCCAAGCCCCACCCCACCCGCAGGACACGGAGGCCAGCACACTCACTTGGGTAGAGGATCTTGGTGTTCAGCGCGGGAAAGCTGTCCCGGCTTCCTGTGTGCGGAGGGAGAGAGGCAGAGCTGCCGAGGGACAGACTTCCTTTGCTCATCAGCTTCTCGCACGGGGATCTGGACACTGTAAAACAGGACAGTGCACTTCAGATCCCGGAGCCAAGAGAATAGGTGGGGGCTTGGGTTAGGAGGGAGCTATGAAACATCAGGACCCCGGCCAAGTTCAGGGACCCCCAGCGGGGGGAGCCTGCTTCAGGAGGGCAGGTCCTGCCCCTGCCCGACACAGCCCCATCTGGGCAACTATGGGTCTCAGGGGCTCTGAGACCATCCAGGGAGGGCCCAGGCAGGCAGGTGGGGCTTCTCCATGCCCCCGCAGCCCTGCCAGTGCCCCCAGGACACGTGGGCACATGTTGGCGGTGCACACACAGGCTGTTGCCCAGAGTTTGGGTTTGCCCAAGCACTCAAAGCGACGCCCTAACGCCCCACACAGCCCGTGTGCCGAGCCTCCCTGCAGGAACGACCCTGCCACAGCATGCCGTACCTTTGCGATGGCTCCTGCCCTTGGCTACTGCACAGCTCTCACTGTGGGCAGGCGGCAGGCACACCCTCTCGTCCTTCTTCAAGTCCTTCTTCTCATCTGACTGGGACAAGCCCAGGACAAAGCCCTGCTGCTCCTGGGTCTGGGCGTTCTGCTCGTCCACAGCTGTCAGGAGAGAACAGCTGTGACTGAGCCTGCGCAGTGGGGCCTAGGCGCCAGCAGGCTCCTCCTCAACTCAGACCCAACCCCACCCCTCCTCTGCCCAGGCTTCCCGCACACCTGGCATTCAGACCTACAGGTTGGGGAGAGCCTGGGGGTGGGGAGACCGGGAGGTGAGGAGAGGGACCCAGAGGGCCCACCACAAGGCAGCAAGAGGGCAGAGGGCCTAGGCGTCATGCACTGTGACAACGCTCACTGCGGCAAGAAGCAAGTGGACAGTGGGGAGGCCTGGGAAAGACTGGCTTCCAAGCACAGTGCAAGAGAGACCCCGTGAGGACAAGGGGCTTGCTGTGAAGTGGGGGGTGCTGTGTGAGGTGGAGAAGCATCAGAGTGGCTGCTCCACGGGTCCCTTTTGGTCTGCCACCATGTTTGGGGAACGCCCAGCCTGTGCCTAAAGTAAGCTACTACCTGGCTACTAAGGGTCCATTACCCTTCTCGGTGTGTTCGATGATCTGCCGAATTGCTTTCTTCAGGCTGTTTGCTCTCAGCATGAGCTGCTCCCGAGGCCTGAAGATCTGCGGCCGGGAGGGGCACATGGAGCCCACAGGGTGGTCCCCAGCGGGGGCCGCAGACGCCACCAGGCCCGTCCCCATCTTCCGCCTCCTCGGCAATGGTGGGAGGCGGGTTGGACAGGGAAGAAGAGGCCTGGGACTCGTCATCCAAGGTCTTGAGGAGAGAGTCCAGCTTCTCTTTCAGGACAGAGCACTAGAGGAGGGACAAAATGCACGGGAGCACGCTCCCTCACTTCAGTGTGGCCCCCACCCCACCCGGTGCCGGGAGCGAACCTTCTTGGCCATGGCCTCCGACTCCCCGGAGCTCTCGGTCGTCTTCTCATAGGCCTTGCCCACCCGGGCCACGAAGTCCTTCACGGTCTCACAGAGCACCCTGGGGCACACAGACAGCGGGGCTGGGTCCCGGCGCCTGGCTGGCTGCCACCCTGAGCTCCCACAGCCCAGGACTCACTTGGCTGACGAGATCACCACCGAGTGCTGGTCCGAAGTGAGGATTTTAGAAAGATGGGCGGCCACGGAATCTTCATAGAAGAGAATCTGCTGCACCTACAATCACCCCGAGACAGGCGTGCTGTCAGCTCTGCGATGATCAACTTAGCTGCAGCAGTGGCCCTGGGTCTTCCTGGGAGTGGAGGACCCCCCTACCCCGCCCCTGTCCTACCAGCCAATGCCTCACTCACTGCCAGCGTGAAGCAGCATTGACCGGGACCATGGGGAAGAGTTCAAAAGCTTTGTCAAACGGAGGCAGACTGAGGAGATAGGTGTGAATGAAAGGAAACCTGTCGGAACAGAGAGCAACTGCCCCTTCCGCCTGAGGTCATGACACCGGCCGGGGTGTCTTCTTTGTTTGGGCTCCTTTCAGAGCAGACGCCACACTATTGATCTGGCTGTGAATCTTCTCACCCAGTGTAACTCATCTCGTCTGCTTCTCCCCCCACCCCCCCACCCCCATGTGGGAGCCTGCCCTGTGGTGACTGCTTGCTGGGCCCGGCCCTGGGCCTGGGCTGCAGGCTTCAACACCGGCTGGGCAGTGAGCACATACACTCTTCCTCTCCAAGAAGAAAAACGCTCAAAACACTCACGGCTAACTAACCATGCCAAGGCAGGCACTTTGGCCTGCAGCCTTGTTCAAGGCCAACCACTGCCCTGGTCCGATAAAGCTCTCTCTCTACTGCCCTGACCCTCCTGCCTGGAAGAGCACCCTGGGCAGTCATCATGCTCAGCTAGCAGCCAGATGGGACAAGCATAGCAGTGTGCTCAGGACATCCTCTGCCCTGAGGAAACGGAGCTGAACCACGACCGTGCCCTCCCTCAAGGACAAGAATTCAATGCTTAAGCTCAGGAGGCTGAATGAAAGAGAGGCTAAGAGGAAAGGCGGGCCAGGAGCAGGAGTGGGGGGGGCGGCAAGGGGTCGGCTATTCCAGATGTGGACAGTAATAGCAGGCCGGGGTCAGCACAGCTGGGGACGGCAGGCGGAGGGGACAGCAGGGAAGGGGACAGCAAGTGGAGGAGCAGCGAGTGGAGAGGACAGCAAGCAGAGGGGACAGCAGGGGAGGGGACGGCAGCGGAGGGGATGGCAGGGGAGGGGACGGCAGGGGAGGGGACGGCAGGGGAGGGGACGGCAGGGAGGGGACGGCAGGGGAGGGGACGGCAGGGGAGGGGACGGCAGGTGGAGGGGACGGCAGGTGGAGGGGACGGCAGGGGAGGGGACGGCAGGTGGAGGGGACGGCAGGTGGAGGGGACGGCAGGGGAGGGGACGGCAGGGGAGGGGACGGCAGGGGAGGGGACGGCAGCGGAGGGGACGGCAGGTGGAGGGGACGGCAGGGGAGGGGACGGCAGGGGGGGGACGGCAGGGGAGGGGACGGCAGGGGAGGGGACGGCAGCGGAGGGGACGGCAGCGGAGGGGACGGCAGGGGAGGGGACGGCAGGGGAGGGGACGGCAGGGGAGGGGACGGCAGGGGAGGGGACGGCAGGCGGAGGGGACGGCAGGCGGAGGGGACGGCAGGCGGACGGGACGGCACAGCAGGGGACAGCAGGTGGAGCGAGGTCCTGAGCAGATGACAGGGAAGCAGGAAGTCACCAGAGGGTGCTAGAAGGCCCTCCAGCCCTGTGACGGCTGCGGGAAACCCCGGTCACAAAGCCTCCAGCTTGGCCTCAGCTTGCCCTGCTCCCCTACAGGGCTGACAGACTCATCATCAGAGGAGCAGCGTGCAGGGGTACAACACAGGGCAGAGCCCGAGGCCCTAGCGTCCATCCTCGGCACTGCAGTGGGCGTGAGGAGAGCCACTGTACCTCAGAATCCTCACTGAAGTCCTCGGTGACGGTGGAGGAGGAGGCCTGCCGAGGGGGTTTGGTCTCGTACGCCATGACACTCCACCTGCCCGGGCACAAAGTCAGACCACTGCTTGGAGTGCCCCCAAATACTAGGAAGCGCACTAGGCCTTGCACTAAGGGGGAACAGCCCTCACTCTTCTGAGAAGAGGTGGGAAATGAAATAGTTCGAGTGTGCATTGGGGAGCATTCTGCACAGTCATGAGGCCCTGTGCCTAAGCAGCCAGAGACTACAGGCCTCCCTGCAAGCCCTGAGGAATGCAGGCACAACTGCTCCCCCATGCTCCTCATGCTGTTTGCTTTTATCCCCGTCATCATCTGACCAAGCTCAGGCGCTTATCAGGGAAGGACTATACACTCAAGTCAGATGCTTACAAACAAATCAGAGGCTCACGACAGATTCCTGCTCACGCAGCACTGCCTGCCGACTCACCTGTCCAGCATCTTGGTGCTGGCCCTCTCCAGCTTTGCCAGGATCTGGGGGAGCTGGGTGTCATCATCGCAGGCCGAGCCCCAGCCCAGCACACGGGCCAGGTCATTCCCCGTCCCCAGGGGCAGCACTCCCAGCTGACACTGAGGAAAGAGCAGAAAACATACTCGCTCGGGCTCCGGGAGCCTCCCTGCCGCCCTCAGCAGTGGCCACATCAAGTGTGGGAGATGGAGTAAGTGTGTAGCCTGCCCGCACCTTCGCCACAGAGCCCAGCAGGGGACGAGATGGTCCCTTCACCAACAGCAGACACCAGGGTCGCTGCGCTCCCTCTCCACTGCCTGCACTCTGCCTTTCACACATCTTCACACATAATCCTCAAGTCCTTTGGTTCCTAGAACCTTCCCAACAAGCACTGCTGTGATCACACCTGAAGTCAGCCTGTATCTTCCCATCCACCATGCCTGCGTCTCCCCCCACCCCACCCACCATGCCTGCGTCTCCCCCCACCCCACCCACCATGCCTGCGTCTCCCCCCACCCCATCCACCATGCCTGCGTCTCCCCCCACCCCATCCACCATGCCTGCGTCTCCCCCCCACCCCATCCACCATGCCTGCGTCTCCCCCCACCCCACCCACCATGCCTGCGTCTCCCCCCACCCCCACCCCATCCACCATGCCTGCGTCTCCCCCCCACCCCATCCCCCATGCCTGCGTCTCCCCCCCACCCCATCCACCATGCCTGCGTCTCCCCACCCACCCCATCCACCATGCCTGCGTCTCCCCCCACCCCCACCCCATCCCCCATGCCTGCGTCTCCCCCCACCCCATCCACCATGCCTGCGTCTCCCCCCACCCCATCCACCATGCCTGCGTCTCCCCCCACCCCCACCCCATCCACCATGCCTGCGTCTCCCCCCACCCCATCCACCATGCCTGCGTCTCCCCCCACCCCATCCACCATGCCTGCGTCTCCCCCCACCCCATCCACCATGCCTGCGTCTCCCCACCCCATCCACCATGCCTGCGTCTCCCCCCACCCCCACCCCATCCACCATGCCTGCGTCTCCCCCCCACCCCACCCACCAGGCCTGCGTCTCCCCCCACCCCCACCCCATCCACCATGCCTGCGTCTCCCCCCCACCCCATCCACCATGCCTGCGTCTCCCCCCACCCCACCCCACCATGCCTGCGTCTCCCCCCACCCCACCCACCATGCCTGCGTCTCCCCCCCACCCCATCCACCATGCCTGCGTCTCCCCCCACCCCATCCACCATGCCTGCGTCTCCCCCCCACCCCATCCACCATGCCTGCGTCTCCCCCCACCCCATCCACCATGCCTGCGTCTCCCCCCACCCCCACCCCATCCACCATGCCTGCGTCTCCCCCCCACCCCATCCACCATGCCTGCGTCTCCCCCCACCCCATCCACCATGCCTGCGTCTCCCCCCACCCCATCCACCATGCCTGCGTCTCCCCCCACCCTCACCCCATCCACCATGCCTGCGTCTCCCCCCCACCCCATCCCCCATGCCTGCGTCTCCCCCCACCCCATCCACCATGCCTGCGTCTCCCCCCACCCCCACCCCATCCACCATGCCTGCGTCTCCCCCCCACCCCATCCACCATGCCTGCGTCTCCCCCCACCCCATCCACCATGCCTGCGTCTCCCCCCACCCCCACCCCATCCACCATGCCTGCGTCTCCCCCCACCCCATCCACCATGCCTGCGTCTCCCCCCCACCCCATCCCCCATGCCTGCGTCTCCCCCCACCCCATCCACCATGCCTGCGTCTCCCCCCCACCCCACCCACCATGCCTGCGTCTCCCCCCACCCCATCCACCATGCCTGTGTCTCCCCCCACCCCCACCCCATCCACCATGCCTGCGTCTCCCCCCACCCCCACCCCATCCACCATGCCTGCGTCTCCCCCCACCCCATCCACCATGCCTGCGTCTCCCCCCACCCCATCCACCATGCCTGCGTCTCCCCCTACCCCCACCCCATCCACCATGCCTGCGTCTCCCCCCCACCCCATCCACCATGCCTGCGTCTCCCCCCACCCCATCCACCATGCCTGCGTCTCCCCCCACCCCCACCCCATCCACCATGCCTGCGTCTCCCCCCCACCCCACCCACCATGCCTGCGTCTCCCCCCCCACACCACCCACCATGCCTGTGTCTCCCCCCACCCCATCCACCATGCCTGCGTCTCCCCCACCCCATCCACCATGCCTGTGTCTCCCCCCACCCCCACCCACCATGCCTGCGTCTCCCCCCACCCCCACCCACCATGCCTGCGTCTCCCCCCCACCCCACCCCATCCACCATGCCTGCGTCTCCCCCCACCCCATCCACCATGCCTGCGTCTCCCCCCACCCCACCCACCATGCCTGCGTCTCCCCCCACCCCATCCACCATGCCTGTGTCTCCCCCCACCCCCACCCCATCCACCATGCCTGCGTCTCCCCCCACCCCCACCCCATCCACCATGCCTGCGTCTCCCCCCACCCCATCCACCATGCCTGCGTCTCCCCCCACCCCATCCACCATGCCTGCGTCTCCCCCTACCCCCACCCCATCCACCATGCCTGCGTCTCCCCCCCACCCCATCCACCATGCCTGCGTCTCCCCCCACCCCATCCACCATGCCTGCGTCTCCCCCCACCCCCACCCCATCCACCATGCCTGCGTCTCCCCCCCACCCCACCCACCATGCCTGCGTCTCCCCCCCCACACCACCCACCATGCCTGTGTCTCCCCCCACCCCATCCACCATGCCTGCGTCTCCCCCACCCCATCCACCATGCCTGTGTCTCCCCCCACCCCCACCCACCATGCCTGCGTCTCCCCCCACCCCCACCCACCATGCCTGCGTCTCCCCCCCACCCCACCCCATCCACCATGCCTGCGTCTCCCCCCACCCCATCCACCATGCCTGCGTCTCCCCCCACCCCACCCACCATGCCTGTGTCTCCCCCCCACCCCATCCACCATGCCTGTGTCTCCCCCCCACCCCCACCCACCATGCCTGCGTCTCCCCCCCCACACCACCCACCATGCCTGCGTCTCCCCCCCACCCCACCCCATCCACCATGCCTGCGTCTCCCCCCACCCCCACCCCATCCACCATGCCTGCGTCTCCCTCCACCCCATCCACCATGCCTGCGTCTCCCCACCCACCCCACCCACCAGGCCTGCGTCTCCCCCCACCCCCACCCACCATGCCTGCGTCTCCCCCCCCACACCACCCACCATGCCTGTGTCTCCCACACATCTCTCCTCCACTATGGCACCTTACTCACTAATGCCAACTTTACCTTCAGTTCCTCTAAAAACATCCTGATGCCAATAGCTCTCAATGTGGATGCCCCAGGCCAGCCTGACACATCTAGCTGCGTCCCCCAGTCTTACACTCGGTACCTATCATGCCCATCCAGAGTGCACATCAAAGCCCCCCCCATGCTAGATCACTGCTTAGAGTGCCCCCCAAATACTGGCTGCTTAGAGCTTTCTTGCTGTTCACTCTGATGAGAGAGTGGCTAGCCAGAGTCACCAGGGACTGAAAGGCAGCCTGGCCCAGGTCCTAAGGCCGAGTCTACACCCTACCCTCCCTCCCTAGGGCCATGCGCAGAGGACATGACCTGCGGAGACAGAAGCATGTGCCGAGGGCGCAGCCTGGCAATGCAAGAGGGACAGCAGAGACACAGAGGACACAGAGGAGAGCTGGCACAGAAGAGCACTCAAGAGGAGTGCAGTGGGGCTTCCTAGTGCCTCACAGGAGAGCAAGACAGTAAAGCTGGTGTGCAAGGTGGCAAGGGGGAAATGTCAGCCCTGAGGAAGAGGAAGGCAGAAACAGAGATGAGATGGAATCAAATGCAGGATCTGGTAGACTCTGCTGTCAGCACAGAGCCTAGCGAGGGGCACAGGGCACAACTGTCCCAAAAAGTATGGCCATGGGCAAGTACTGCCCATGGGCAAGCCATGGACAGAGGCCAGAACACACAGATGGCCCAAACCAAAGAGGAAACTTAGGGCTGGGGACCACTGGAGAGAGCTGCACACACACAGTTGTCACACGGCTAGCGGGGGGGAGCAGAACCGGCTGTCAGGTTTCTGCTCAGACCCTGATGGACAGGACCCATCTTCACAGTCCAAGGAAAAGCATGCTGGCATCGTGGGGCTGTGTGATGGCTTAGGACTGCAGCAGGACACCACAGCTGAGGGTGTCCCCAGAATGAGCACAGCAGCAGGCCTGTCCAGCCACCGTGCCTTCCTGAGGTGGGCGTGGAGAATGAGGCTCTGATCACACAACACAAAGCAGAAGCTGGGAAGAGAAATGCCACAGGGTGTGGGAGCCAGGAATGAGAAAGAGGGATCAGAGCACCATGGGCCAGGGAAATCAGAGGAGACAAATGCCTGTGGAACTAGGTGCAGTAGAGGAAGATCAACCATAAGGTTTCATTGTCATAGCAACAGTGACTTTGTCGCAAAGCTAAGTGAACTGCTCTAGGTACACCACTAGGAGGAACTATTTCTCTTTCCTGAGCACTTGCAGGGGCTGGGTGTGTTCGGACTCTGGCGGACTTTCGCCTCCAAGGCCACCCTCACCCCAGTTAAACATGTGACAGGACTAAGGGGGCTGCACAGGTCTCAGAGCACGCAGAGCGCAGTCACTGAAGAATCTACTCCAGCCACAGGGAGACTAAAATGTTTTAAAGACCACAACTGGGGGCTGGGAAGGTGACTCAGTGGTAGAGCACTTGCCTTGCACACATGAGGCCCTGGGTTCGATTCCTCAGCACTACGTAAGCAAAAAGAAAAGAGCCGGAAGTGGCGCTGTGGCTCAAGTGGTAGAGCGCTAGCCTTGAGCTGAAGAGCTGAGGGACAGCGCCCAGGCCCAGAGTTCAGACCCTATGACCGGACAAAAAAAAAAAAAAGACCATAATTGGGAGTGTGAGACACTATGGGTTAATAGTTTCTTAATCTTGGTATAGATATCACATTGTGGCAGGAACAGCAAAAACAAAGCATTTTTTATTTCAAAGTATGTTGATGACAGAAGGACAATCTGGAAAGCATTCTTACCAGATACCAGTTTACAAAAATAGAAAATGCTGGGGGTGGGAAGAGCTAGAACAGGTGATGCACATCACTGCGTGGTAAATTGCATTTTAACTTCACCAGAAATTAAATAAATACAAGAGAAGACTTGTTGTCTACACAGTTGGGTAGAACCCGGTCTTACGTCACAGTGGTACAGTGGTGATCTGGTAAGGAGTGTGTGTCCCTAGGAAGGACAGTTGGGCTCAATCTGGGGGTCCTGGAAGGACAGGGCGCAGCTTCCACAGGGCTGGCGCCTCGGTGACCTCAGCGGCACGCACAGTGGGGGCTGACCCAGACACCCAGCTCCGTCCAGGGTAAACTGTCCCACAGAGGTGCTGGCTGAGTACAGTGAGAAAGGCCCAGCACACTACTGATTTCAAAAGCATACCAACAAACTTGAGGCATGGGAGCAGAGTCCATTTAAGGCAGCAAGAGTCCATTTAAGCGTGCATCATGAACCAGGGACCAGTAATCCCAGCTACCCACAAGGCTAAGATCCAAGATCATGGTTCAAAGCCAGCCTGGGCAGAAAAGTTGGTGAGACCTTTATTTCCAATTAACCATCAGAAAGCCAGAAGTGAAGCTGTGGCTCAAGTGGCAGAGCTAGCCTTGAGCAAAAGAAAAGCTCAAGAGAGAATGCTCAGGCTCTGAGTCCAAATCCCCTAGTAGCAGCATGCACGTCTGCATGCATGCACACACACACACACACACACACACACACACACACACACACACGAACGACAGCATTTTGGGTCCCATTACACATAGTATGAGAGATAAGTTAGGAAAGGAGATGAAGTGAAAATTCCATGGCTGTGATAAGCATTTTCTTAGTAAACAACTAGGAAACCCATTTTTATTTTAATGACAAAGTCCAGACTGAATGAACCCTAACACTGACCTCATCCCCCCGCCCCCCCCCCAAGGCAGAGGCTTTGAACCAGAAGTCCCATCACCTCTCACTGAGAGCAGGGCACAGGGGGACACTGGCCCCAGCCCTGCCCTCTAGCTCACTGAATTTCCCACCTGTCTATCAAGGCAGAACCCAGGCTCCAGCACCGTGGGGCTCCTGCCTGCTGCAGAACCCTGTGCTGGTGCCTACTAGGAGCAGATGCTCTGAAATGGCTCAGAGCTCAGCTCCCTACCCCCACCCCCACCACTCTGACCTCAGCAGGACTGCTCCTCCAAGTACCTGTTTGTGAAGGTTGAGGCTATCGATTTCTGAGAGGACCCAGCCGACACTGCCATCCCCACCACAAACCAGAATCCGGAAAGTGTCAAATTTCTGGAATAACCGTAAGCTGCAGAGAAAAGAGAAAGTCAATGAACCTTTCCTGCTTCTACAGGAAAAAGAATGGGTCCGTCAGTCCTGGGCTCAGGGAAGAGGCCTGTTCCTCTAGACGCTCTGCCAGGCCACGAGAGCTGTCCCCACAGCCCTCCACTCAGAACCTGTCAGTGTGGACAGCAGTGGCACTGGGTCCTAGCCAGGCCTTCTAGCTGGGGCAGGGTCTGCTAGGACGGAGGCAGTGGGGCACTGATGCACCTCAGAGCCCTGAGGAGACGCTGACACCTACAGTGCACCACCACCACACCGCCTACAGCCTGCCACAGCCCAAGCCAAAGGCAGGAGCCAGGGGCCCCGCCCACACGCTGCCCAGACAACCCTCCCCTGTGCCTTCAGCTGCCTCCTGCCCCGCACCTGGGCACCACCTCAGCCTGCAGTCAGTCTCGGCCCAGCATTCACAGGACCCAGTTTCAGGTGTCCATCGGATGCCTGTCCCCTCTCAGGGCTTCAGGCTCCAAGCCCTCCTCTCCCCGTGGCTCCCTGCTGGTCTCCCTTCCCTTCCATGTGGGGTCCCTATTGGGACACTACAGCTGTCTTCACAACCCTCCTTCACAGCTGCCTTCTGCATGCCCCTGACCTCTTCTTCACAACCACGTGCAGGCTTCGCCCGGGGACCCTGAGTCAACAGTCCAAGCCCTCCCAAAGCTCACGCTTGCATCCCCACCAGGACGACCACCCTGGTGTCCCGCAGCGTCTCCAGAAGGAAGTGTCCTTCAGGGAATGGCCTAGCCGACAGGCCAGCACCCACACTCTAGCTCCTGTTCCCACTACACCCCCCGGGCCCGGCCTCCACCATGACCACCAGAGTCGTGGAGCCTCCTGCCTGTGCTCCCAGACCTTTCTAAAACACCATGCCACCCAGCGCCTTGCTTTAAGAGCTTCCCTCTCGCCACAGGAAAGGGTCAAACTTTGCAGCTACACCGAGATCTTCCTCTGCATCTGCACATCACTTCCTGAGGCCAGGCAGGGCCCCACCTGGCACCAGGTATGCGGGAAGACAGAGGCAAGAGTACACAGTGAGCACGAGCTGAACGTAAAGGCTGGCACAGCCAGACACAGGGACAGCAGCTTGACCTAGGATCCCAAAGAATCTACGCATCATCCCACTGAAGTGGCAAGTGGCCTGCCACAGGACCTCCGGACTATACATGTGCCACCTGGGGCCTTGCAGACCCCACCTCTAGTAGTCAGCCCAAGCCTAAGCACTCAAACAGGCTGGGATGGGCAACAAGCCAATAACTTGGGGCTCAATGCAAGTTCTGAGCAGCAGGCTGCACCTGGCTTTCAATGACAAGAGAACCAGCTCTACGCATCCTTTGAATTCTGGCCTCAGGCAACTGTACCCTGCTCTCTAGAAGCATGGGAAGGTGAAGACAAACTCAGGAAGAAGAAGTAGTAGGTCTAGGTCCTGTCAGGAACTGGGTAAGATCAACTGTTCACAGACACAGGAAGTGCTATTTCCATGAGACTTCCTTCCACTGAAGTTCACTTGCACGCATGCCGGACTGAGCACTAGCTTTTCACCCAAGTGCTAGTGTACTGTCTGCCTGCCCAAAGCCACTGCAAAACGTCTGCCCAGCATCCCAGGAAGCCAATTTAGCAGCCTCCCTGAGGCCAAGTGTGGAACACCTCCACTTCTGGAGTGAAACCATTTCATCAACCTCCGAGTGACGAGCATCCTGCATCATCCACAGAAGAAGTGTATCACAGCAATCAGGCCATGAGCACCATTTGTGACTGCTTGCCATCAGCCTAGGAATGACTGGGAAATATCAGCTGACGAGTCAGTGCACACATGTTACATGTACCAGCCAAAAATACCGGCCAGCCCAGGCTGTGTGCCAGCAGCACCTGGCTCCCAAAACAACTCTCTCCTCCTTGATTCCCCCCCAGAGGTAGCTGGGGCTACAAGCACTGTCCATACCACCCTACAACGCTAGGCCGTCCACTCAGTCCAACCTGAACTGGTGCTCCCAAATAAAGAAGGAATTAGTACAGAATGCAACCCCACAAAAGCAAACGTTCCCTAAAGCCTGTGGAAAGGACAAAGCAGTGGAAACTCACCATGGTTCCCCAACTCCCACATGAAAAGCCCCGGGTGTGGGTGCCTCAAACAGAAGCGTCCCCCTCCCCCCCCCCTCCCCCCCGTAGCCCCACTAGAGAGAAGCTCCTTCCTGGAACCAAGCCAGTGGTAGAGAACAAGGCAGGTGACATGGAAACACTCCTGGGCTGCGGCTGGCACACGCGGGCAGCACGCAGCACAAAGCGGACCCCAGCTGTTACCAGTTGTCATTGGAGGTTTGTGGGATGCGCATGCGGGCACAAGTGTGCCACGTGTGTGCATGTGTACACCTGTAGTGGAAGACAGAAGGACACACATCTCTAGCAACTATTAAGAGCAGGTTCCTCTGCAAGTAGAATTAGGGGAGAGGTACTTCAAGGAAGACAATTTCTTTCCCACTAAACAATGTCTGTGTCTTTGAGCTTTCTAAAATGCACATGCCTTAGTCTACAAAACACTAAAAATTCCAACTCTGTAAGAAATGGTCTGGGGGTGTAGCTGGAGACCACAGAAGTTCAAACCCCAGCACAACCACAACCAGAACCATAAAAGACAACCTGTAAGAAAGGCTTTTCACAAGCTTCCTACCCGAGGTGCGGGCCTCCATTCATGAGGTCAAAGACCTGTGCAGGGTTCAGCAGCTGCTTGAATCTTCTGAGAAACTTCACGCCTTGGTTGTCCCCACTTTTGGAATTGACAAAGACCAACAGTGGACTTGTACAAGATGGGGGACAGGTGGCCTTCCAGAACCCTGTGTGTGAGAGTGAGAGAAGCCGTGTAAGCACTCCGGAGGCGGGTACCGAGTGGACGCGAAGCGGGGGCCGCAGCTCACACGGGCGGACACACACAGGCACACAGGAGTCGCTGGAGGCACGTGCTTGCATGAGGCCACTCCAGTGTGACGTGAGCCCCGCAGACAGAGCATCTCCAGGGGCTCCAAGTTTCACCTCACTGTGCTGCTGTCACCTTTTCCTCCAAGCCACGCGCCCCAGGGACCCTGACTTTCAGCAGAACTTGTGTCTGTGTCACAATGCCAGCCTAACAAGTGAGCGAGCACGCTGGCAGGGGCAGGGACAGGCCAGCTCAAGGGGAATGGGATAGCCTCTGACCCTACTTCCACTGAGAGCCATGGAATTCGTTTTCCAGGCAGATGTGACACACAAGCGGTAACTCCAACAGCAAAACCTATTACACCAGTTGTCTCCCTCCGCCCAGCCCCATGCACAGCCAGAGGCTGACCACATCCTCCTGTCTCCAGAGCTAGCAGCGTGGGGCGGTGAGAAGGCACGCGGCATGGGCAGCGGCAGTGCGGGGCACCCACCATCAGAGTCGATGCTGTTGAGCGCTGTGGGCGGGATGACCGACACTTTGCACAGGCCAAGCGGGCACTTGGTCAGCAAGGACTCTTTACACGCCGTGTGAACCTGGAACAAGAACCCACGTGTCACAGAGAGGAGGGAGGAGGGGAAAGCCACTTCCTCACACACCCCTCACTCCCCGATGCCCGGCTGGTGAGCCACCATGGGAGAGACAGGGTTGCCTCCTCAGCACCCTGCGCTTTGGACTCGTACCTGAACAAACACCCAGGGGGCCCGTCACAGTCCAGCCCCAGCCCAGGGCTGCTGCACTACAGCTACCTGTAGTGAGTCAAAACCATGCCCTCATGTGCTGACCAGCGCCACTGCTACTAATAGGCTCCCGCAGGGCGATGGTCTGACGAGGCTGGCCGGCATGGTCACGGCAGCCCAGGGAAACGCCTCTCAAAGACCCTCCCGCACACGGAAAGCCCTCATCAACTGTCTGAGATACACTCTGAGGCAGCTGGGACGCTTTGTGTTTGGAAGTCAAAAGAAAGCAACCCTAATAACTTAGTGGAAGTAAGAATGATCAGACATGAGCAAAGACAAGTAACTGGGCAGCCCCAACCCCAGGCCCTCAGAGCGAGGGGCCTCTGAGGTGAACTGGGATGGCCAGTCACCCGTGAGCCTCTACACATGAGGGCAGGGCAGGGCGGCAGCCAGGCCAGGTCCACCCCAACGGCCTTCACCAGGCAGGGCAGGGCAGCCAGGCCAGGTCCACCCCCACGGCCTTCACCAGCACAGGGCAGGGCAGCCAGGCCAGGTCCACCCCCACGGCCTTGCACCAGCACAGGGCAGGGCAGGCCAGCCAGGCCAGGTCCACCTCCACGGCCTTCACCAGCACAGAGCAGGGCAGGGCAGCCGGACAGAACCTACTCACCATGGCCTTGCACCAGAGGCAGCGCCAGTCCTGCAGGCGCAGCACACTGCCACAGGTCTTGTCACACACCGTGCACTTGGCGCTCACGGGCAGGTTTCCTTCCAGCCACTGGTGGGGCATGGAGATCTGCAGACCAAGCAGAAACATGCTAGGGGCATCCAGAGCTCTGACCTAAAGTCAGTGAGGAGCCCAAGGGCACAGTGGTCTTTGCAAGCTCAGCCAAGGCCTCTCCCTGACAGCCAGCATGGGAGAACCCATCCACACCACAGCACCAATGGGCGGGGCAACGAGACTCCTGGGCGAAGGACAGTGCCGAGAGGGGCAGTGACCACTATTGAACACCCTGTCCCAGTGCGACCCTCTCAAATGAGATGCACGGGGCAGCACACAGAGCAAGAAGGGACTGTGCAAGTCTGTGCCTCAGCTACATCTCCCCTGGTGTACCCCGTCCTCATCCTCGATGATGTCCTTCCCGATGGAGGCCAGCGTGGTCCACTTGCAGTTATTGGTTGCACGCACAGCACACCGCTTGTGGGCCTTAAATTTGCACACTGTGAGAAAAGAAGCACATGAATTTGTGAGCTTCAGGGAAGGCAGCTGCTTCGGAAGAAGGAGAAGGAAGGTGGAGCTCCTCTGTGTGGTCCGGAGCAGAGCATGCGCACAGACCAGATGGCGGAGAGCCAGGAGTGAGCAGCTAGACTCACTGCTTCGCGCGCACACCACTGCCACAATACTTGGCTCTGCCCAGGAAGCCACAGACGACACTGAAATCTAAGTCCACACAGCTCCTACGCACCACAAAATACTTGAGTATTTTCAATCATTGCCACAGGAAGGACCAAGGCACGCTGCTGCTCACACACCCTGCTCCGTGTTCAGCGCAGCACCCTGCATAACTCTTGTGTCCTATGAGACACTTTCCATCCTGCTCATGACACAGGATGCAGACCCATGCCAGAGGCCCAGATTCTCCCACAACCACGTTCCTCTGTTCCTGTGGAAGCACTGTGACAACTGTCGTGAAGAGCTGCTCTGCAGGTGACGCAGAGAGGAATGGAGTAGTGGAAATCACTTTACCCTCGACTGGCCAAAGCGTCCAGACTTCTGGGCTTTATCAAGGACTACCTCGGGCCATTTTGGGAAGCAGAATAATCAAGCAGCCCCCTACCTTCACAGGACAGCCCATGTGACGTGACCCCAGACAGAGCTTCACGACACACGTTGCAGTAGGTTGGCCGTGCGTGGGAACAGGCGTACCAGTTGTGCATCCCTGAGAAATGGTCCATGCTGTACTGGGTAGGCTGGAAGAGTGAAAGAAAGATGGCAGAGGTAAGAGGCCCTCTGACACCCTTACATGTGGCGGCTTGCACCGAACTACAGGAAGTACCCAGCAGAGGAGGAGGGCGAAGGCAGGGTCTGTGGAAGGATGCGGGCGTGTTAACAGGGACACAACTGCTAGCGATGCTCTCAACTGCCATCCATGTGTGGGAGGTGCAGGACGGCAGGTCGTTAAGGCAGGAGGGAAGCAACAACAGGTGGCAGAGACAGTTGCCAACAACAGACAACAACAACAGGCACAGGTGGAAGGATGTTTTTCTCTTAACCTCAAAATGCTCCCTGTTCTGGACAGTCTTGAGCGCTGCAATCCAATCTTCCATTTCTTTCCTGCTATCGGCACATAAGATGAGCTTCCTACAGGGGGTGATGACCTAGAGGAAGAACACGGTCAATGTACCATGAGCAAAGGTGAGGAGACAGCTACAGAAACTGTTGACACCAACCTGCAAAAACATAAAGAGTACATACGTGTGTGTGTGTGTGTGTGTGATTATTTCATTGGGTATTTACACTGCACGGTGTAAATAAACTGATTATCCTGGGCTATATAGCAAGAACAATCTCATAGTGAAAAGACTATTTAATTTGTTTCTATGTCCATCAGCAAGAAACCAAGAAACCAAAGTGGGCACTTGCAACTACTTAATTACTTAGACATAAAAAGCTGTAGAAAACTTGAAGGAAAAAACAAAAAACCCTCAGTAAGTAAGGGGAAGCAAACACACACACACAAAAACAGACCTCCAGAGGTCTCCAGAGAGACCTAACCTGAGGTGGAGCATGGAACAATGGAGGAAAAGGGATTGAGTTACTCTTCAGAAAGTGAGCAAGTGTCTCACACACACAGAGTAACAGCAGCCGCTACAGAAGAGCCTCAACAAAGTACTGGGAATGGGGTTATAAACTTGCTTATAATCAACAATGCCAATGATAGCCACAATGTAGTTTTCATAAATCGATAGAAAAAAAAAAAGGCTATGCGCTTGAATTTCACAGAGGAAATACAGAACAGCTCAATCGACCACTCCAGTCATGGGGACTGAAAACAGCAATCTCCTTTCTCCTATCAGATGGGCAGAGTGGTGAAGGAGATAATCCATCCAGAGTTTGGCAAAGTGTGGGAGAAGCATTCTCAGTATTCACAGGAGCCAAACAGGGCATGCAGTTTTTTAGAAAAAAATGGCAAGGTTTATCCAAATTTCAAAGGTCCTAAGCTCCAACTTTCATTTTGTATTTTAATTATGTAAACTTCTGAATGACTCCAAAGTTAAATCTACAAAACAGAAGTCTGCCTGTCTACTTCACTCTTCTAACCTAGTAGCATGAAAAAAATACACATATTTATCATTACACTTTAGGTTTCTTGTACATACATGTCTATCCTTACACCTTCCTTTTACGGAGCGGTATGCCACACACATTTCCTGCGTGGTCCTGGCCCTGCGCGCTCCTGGCGCCTGGCATTACCTGTCCTTCCCTTTCGCAGCATGGCACACCACCAAAGAACCAGTGGTTCCACCAGCGCTCTGGTGACCAACCAGAACACTGCACTGCCTGAAACGCTTCGCCACTGCATCCAGTGCCACAGTGTATCTTTGGTGCAAATTCCCAGAAGTGGCGATGCCTTGAGGAGTAAATGCAGATGCGATTTTGCTAGCTGCTGACAAATTTCCTTCCACAAGGGTTGTACCATTTTACATACCTACCAACACGTTGTTTTTTTGTTTTGTTTTGTTTTTGGGTCCGGTAGTGGGGCCTGAACTCTGGGCCTGGGCGCTGTCCCTCAGCTCTTCAGCTCAAGGCTAGCGCTCTACCACTTGAGCCACAGCACCACTTCCAGCTTTTTTCTGTTTGCTTCTGAACCCAGGGCCTCATGCATGCAAGGCAAGCGCTCTACCACTGAGCCACCTTCCCAGCCCTACCAATGAGTTTTTAATGCTTATTTTCCTGGGGATTCACAATAAAATATTACTTAACTCTTGGATTTCTGCCCATTTTACAGCTTTTACATTAAGGTGACTCAGTTTAGGAACAGCCAATTTAAATTATTAGATGACCCTGTTTTGGGCACAGAACACATGAAAGCAGTTCTCTGCAGTGACTGAGCTTCACAGAAGGGGTGAGTGGAACCAGGTTGTCAGTGGGGGTCTCAGTGCGTGGCTTATTTACTCTCATAGCCCCAGGGAGCCAGGTTGGGCACAGATAGCAAAAGAGCTAGGAGTGTTCCGGAGCAAAGCAGAGAATGCAGCTTAGTGTTGCCCTCCTAGGGCTGAGAGGGAGGGAGCTTCCCTGCCACCCCCCAACCCACCCCTGTGGTCTGCCCATACTTTTGTTAGTGTTTGCTCTAGACCTGAAAGGTTTCTACCCAGATGGAACTCACACTGGGACGAGACAGACAGACAACCATCTCAGACACAGACAAGGGCAAGAGGAAAGCAGAGTGGGACGTGGGAGTGGCGCTGTGCTGGTGATGCTCCAGGTGTGGGCAGGGAAGCCCAGGGGGAGCTAGGACTAGAGAAGCAGAGCCTGGGCTGAAGATCTGGGCATACCACTGCCTGCGCACAAAGTCCACAACATTTCTTTAATAGTTCATGCAGCAAAAGTAAAAGCAAGAACATATACTTGACATCGTGCAACTCTGGGAAACTTGTCCCTTTATGATAGCTTTGTCTACTGCTCCCACAGCAGCCCCCACAACTCCAGACTCAGCAAGTGGTGCGAGAAAGGAATCTTTGGCCCACACACATCCTCAGGTGCTAAAGATGGACATTACTGGAAGACTTTCATGCGGTTAGGCCACCTGGGCAGGGGATTATACACAGAACCATTATGGTAAAGATAGGGATAGATGGAATAAGTGAGTATGCATTTGGGTTCATGGGGCGTGAACACTGAGCAACAGATACATGTTCAGGAGCCTGGCTCCAGCTTTTCTTCCTCAAACATGTGCCTGCTCTGGAGTGAAGAAGTCTGCATCTGTAGAGACGGACCCAGATCTGAATCTTGCCTGGCCACTGACTGGCTGAGTGTGAGCAGGCTCCTTCTGAAAGAAAGTGGGAGCTGGGCGCAGTGGCTCACGCATGAAATCCTAGCTACTCAGGAGGCTGAGATCTGAGGATTGCGGTTCAAAGCCAGCCTGGGCAGGAAAGGCCGTGAAACTCTTTTTTTTTTGTCGGTCGTGGGGCTTGAACTCTAGGTCTGGGCGCTGTCCCTCAGCTCTTCAGCTCAAGGCGAGCGCTCTACCACTTGAGCTACAGCGCCACTTCCGGTTTTCTGGTGGTTTATTGGAGATAGGAGTCTCACGGTCTCTCCTGCCCGGGCTGGCTTTGAACCTCGATCCTCAGATCTCAGCCTTCTGAGTAGCTAGGATTACAGGCGTGAGCCACCAGCGCCTGGCACGTGAAATTCTTATCTCCAATTATCCATCAGAAAACTAGAAGTGGCACTGTGGCTCAAGTGATAGAGCACTCACCTTGAGCTGAAGAGCTGGGGGACAGTGCCCAGGACCAGAGTTCAAGCCCTATGACTAACAAGAAAAAAAAGAAAGTGGGGGCTAGAGGTACTATGCCTCAAGTGATAAGAGTGCCAGCCTTGAGCAAAAAGTCTCAGAAGCAGCGTCAAGGCCCTGCATGCAAGTGCCAGTACCAGCACACACCCACGCACGCACACCCACGCACGCGTACACACAGTCCTTAAAGGAAAGGTGATGATCAAAGCCTCCAGCAGGGCCATGGGGTATTGAGTGGAGCCCAACAGGTCTGGCACTGTCTGTAGGCCCCTGGCTTTGAAGCTCTCACTAGCTCCATACTGTGCCTCTATCTGAGAACCAGGGCTGCTAACGGCACTGTTACCTAAGTTTTAGCATCATTGTGGGGTACTGAACAGTGATATCTCACCAAGGTTAAAACAGCACTTTGCACAAGAGCCTGCCCCCCAGGTCACTGTTAGCACCATCAAAGCCCTCCATCTTCCAAGAGACGGTGTCCCATGCAGACAGGACCTCTCTTGGAAAGGCTCTGTTATTGGCAGTCCCCAACCAGACCATGAGATCTGTCAGAGAAGAAGTCCCTGACTTCTCTCCAATCAGGCCCTGCCACCTCCGAGCATCTCAGCTAGTCTGGACAGACAGCCAGTTTACCCCAGTCCCTCCTTGCACTTCTGACCTGTCAAGCTTCCATTCACCACACCTGACTCCCCCCCCCCCCCCCCCCCCGTGTCTTCACTGCTTTGGAGAGATGTTCAGCACTGCTCCTTAGATATTAAAATTGCTGATTTTTTTTTGAGGGGGGAGCCAGTCCTGGGGTTTAACTCAGGGTCTGGACTCTGTCCCTGAACCTCTGAGGTTGGGCTCAAGGCTAACCCTCTACCACTGGAGCCACAGGGCCACTTCTGGCTTTTTCTAAGTAGTTTATTGGAGGTAAAGGCTTACAGACTTTCCTGTCCGGGTTGGCTGTGAATTGCGATCCTCAGATCTCAGCTTCCTGAGTAGCTAGGATTTCAGGCATGAGCCACTAGCACCCACCTCAGACATCATTTTTTTTTTTTTTTTTATTCAAAAGCTAGTCCTGGAGCTTGAACTCAGGGCCTAGGTGCTATCCCTGAGCCTCTCTGTATTCAAGGCTAGCCCTCTACCAACTTGAAACACAGCGCCACTCCCGGCTCAGATATCATTTTTTTAACTTACCAAATTCCCTGAGATCAAAAGCTTGATCGCAGGATCTTCTGATTCTCACATACTGGAGTGTAATACTCCACATGGAGTATAAGATCCATACTTCGTGGATAACATACAGGAAATCCTATCAAGATTTAAAATACATATCTTTGGCTGGAGAGTGGTTCAAGTGGTAGAGTATCTGCCTAGCAAGCATGAGGCCCCAAGTTCAAATCCTAATACTGCCAAAATGTATGCATCTGTCTGTCTGTGTGTCTTAGAAACAAGACATGGAGCTTGGCACTGGTGGCTCACACCTGTAATTCTAGCAACTCAGGAGACTGAGATCTGAGAATCATGGTTCAAAGTCAGCCCAGGCAGGAAAAGTCCGTGAGACTACAGCTTCAATAAACTACTTTCAGAAAAGGCTGGAAGTGGTGCTATGGCTGGAGTGGTAGAGCAATAGTCTTGAGCACAAAGAGGCTCAGGGACAGTGCCAGGCCCTGAGTTCCAGCCCCAGGACCAGCCAAAAGCAACAACAAACAAACAAAGAAACCAGATATGGTTGTGCATACCTGTAATCCTACAACTCAGAAAGGTAAGGATTGCTGAATTCTAGGTCAGCTGGGGCTATATAGTAAGACCTTATCTCAAAGAAAACCACAAAAAGAAAGAAAGAAAGAAGGGAAGAAAGGAAGCAAGGAAGGAAGGAAAGGA